GAGATTAACAGGGTGCTTGGGCTGATTTCAGCAAGAACGATACGATACTTTGGTATAACTTGAACAATAGACATGGAGAAGCAATGAATTTTGGCTAGCTTCGGGGTTGCTTTCTTGAATGCAATATTCATTTTTGGCTATACCGTGCAATTTTCCTCATCCTTGAAACTGAAAGGATCTGTTTCGTTTCTAATTGCATTTCTATATTTACTATCACTCATATGTGAGTTCCCTTTCACAATTACAATTCCAATAGGAAAAAACTCCTTGCATCGAATGAGAATTTAATCAAAGCTACAAGAAGCAAGTCCGTAATTTAGCTATTTCCTACTATTGTTCCAGTGTACACAACCACCCAAACTATTCATCAACTAGTCCAGCGCTGTTACGTACTCTTACAAGAGCTCTTGAAACATTTATTAGGCTACATTTTGTTGATTACAGAAAAACAAAATCATGGGTTGCGGCGAACTCTGTTTTTGACTCCCATAGATGCACGTCCTTGTACGTAGACTTTGTGTCAATGTTTAATACGGGGTATTCATCTGCCCGCATACTGTAAATATCACACAATCTATCGGCAGTCTGACACTTTGCCTTTTCTACCTCCAAAAACAATCCTCTCAAACTGCTTAGCAAACACCTTCTCTCTTTGAGATCTTCTCTCTTTACTCTTCGTTCATTCCCTTTTCTTTTTTTAGAACTCTCGGGTTTGACGGTCCTCTGCTTGCTTTGTTGCACATGGGGTGCACTTTGACCGCCAGCTACTAGTGGGCGGAGCAAAGAGAATGGATGATTAGGTTGTAGATTTCCTACGAATACTGACTGTTTAGGTGGGGATTCGGCCTGTGCCGGGGGATGCACCTACCTGCTGATGTTCCTTTGTTTTGCGACATATTAAGGAATAGTACTCACACTAAAGCGGTAAAATTCACTTCTAAAAGGGAACATACGTTTCAATTTATTGTACCAGGTCTTCGACTGTAAATCTCTCGTCTGGCCTGACAACGGTGACTCTTGTTCCCGCTGGTTTTCTTCAGCAAAACGCATTTTCCATTTTCAACAGTCACAGGAAACACAAGTATACATGATAGGTCCTCTTTCTTTTTCTTCTCCATGGTATACAAATAGAAACCTTTTTAATACCTTTACCTTCTGCGAAAATAGTTCCTATCTTCGATTTAATTCTTAACAGATTGAGTAATAGTCATCCTCAAGACTGAGTACGTAACAGAAGACAAAACACTAATGTCCCTTGAAAACGAAATATCATCAACACAAACTACAACTGTCGCTATCGAGTATCACTACGAAGTTTGTCTTCGTTATAAATGATAACAATATATACACTCGGGTGTCTTTAGTAGAAAGGACCAATCTCTAACTACGAAGGTGAAAACCCTCCCAATCGCCGTTGATTTCGTCCACTCAACTTTGTTGGAGAGTCATCGACAGATGATGGATAACATCCCTTTGACAACCTCTTGTCTCTCGTCAAGCAACTAGGATTCATTGTAAGCTCACTACGCGCACACGACTCTTGTCTAAATATTCAGTAGAGCTAATGTCAAATCAATTGGTGTTTTATCTGGTTAGTTAAGTGAGTACGTAGATTCGGGTCATGGGTCCAATCGGTGGAACGACAAAGAGAATCGAAACCACAGTGGAAAAGGGGAATTACATAAAAAAATAGCTTGTGATGGTTAGCTGAGTTATGGTGGCAGAAGATGTTAAAATAGTTTTTAGAAGCTGGTTGGACAATGCTCTCTGACTATAGAATAGAGAGTAACCCTTTTATATTGGAATTCTCAAAGAGAATTTCACGTGAAGAATAGTTATATTAAACCGACACCGCTCTCGAAGAGTTTGTGACCTCGAGAAAAAGCAGTAGCGGGGATTATATGAATTCTTAAATTAGACACTTAACTCTTTTATGTCTATTGGATGGCATCCATCTTCCAGCTCGATTTGGTCGCGGTGGTTTTGGCTGCGAATTAGATTATTAATCGAGACCAAAAAGCGCTGTGTTATCGGACGAGAACGTACTTAAGATCTCCATCAAGCTCGGTATTCTCGTTACCGCTCTCCTTGAAACTTCACCGAACTCAGGAGGTTGTTGCAATTATCCCATGTATTACTTTGCAAGTTGCACTGAACTTAGCAGCACAGATCATGACCAGCTCTCTCTTCATTCGGGCATTATCAGACTCAGACTGTTCAGTCTCTCTTTCCGGTCGCTATCTTCTCGCTTCTCAGAAAACAGAGCAGCGGTTTTCCAATTGCCTTTCCCTCACGAGATGTCTATCATATTTTCTCAGAGTCCTCAGAACTGCTTGTCTGCTGTTAGCACTTCCTTATCGCTGTCTCAAAGTTAGGTTTTTCTTTGGCAGTTTCTTTTGCATATCGCTAAGGCATGCCTTCTTCAGGTGATAACCCTGTTGGCTTCAGCTATTGCTTATATCTTTCATCTTATACTCATACTTTCTCGTCCAGGCGCCTTTTCGGCTTTGGGTATTGAGTTGTCTGTGTCGCTTTGGTATGTACCTTCCTTTCAGCTTCTCTAGTGACAAATTTTCGAGTGCTTAGTGGCAGTCCACACGATGGTCTATAATTGCTCACCTAAATTGCCATAATTCTAAGCTCTTGTTTCATCCAGAACTTGCTTTTATCAGCCTAGAAATCGCGCTCTTTTGCTTTCTTACCTTAAACAAAAAGTATTGGCAACTTGTAGCTTTCCAAGTGTCAGTTCTTTGACCTTCTCTATCTTCATTTTGGTTCCGTATTCCCAGCTCGGTTGACACCCACTGGTGGTGCACATCAACCACTTCACACGGGCTGGGTTTTTTCTTTTCGAATATGCCTATATGGCAATTTTAGGGGCTGTCTGCCACGCTCCGTCCCACTCCAATAATTGCCAAGTTAAGTGTCATGCCACTGGATATACACCACTCTGCGATATTCATCTCTCCGTTAAGATAGATCACGGTCCTGACTGTTTGATAAGGCAAACCCTTTTTCCAAATAATATTCAATGGTAGAAATACGAAACTGCTTTGGGTGGATGCTGTTGTTAAATCCTGATCAGGAAATACTTACACTTACTGAGAGAACTGTCTTTGCACTTTGGGCAAATATTGACTTCCTGGCTGCTTTTTGAAACATTGACAGACCAATATCAAACCTTTAGCGCTGTTTGATTTTTTAGGAAAATTCTCCTCTGATAATTTCCTCGTTTTGACATTTTAATTGTTTTGCATAGCATCATACTACCAAAAAAAGACCTGATTTAAACAATGCACATTCCTTTCAATGTCTTAACAACAACCTGCGCACCAATCAAATGTTTAGCCACAGGGATGCAACAGCCGGTAATTTACGCTGATGTTTCTGCCAAAAATATTGACAAAATTTTGATTTAATAAGAATTTTCAAAAAATGTTTCCTGAAATATTTTTTACAAAAAATCTGGAAAATTGAATAACATGAAGGTATTGATAAGGTTTGCCTGGGCCTGTCCCACCTCATGAACCTGGCCCAAATAGGTGGAGAGGCTGTCTAGCCTCAAGCATTTTGGTGTCCACAGCTAGCCTGGGCCCAGGCCTAGATTTTGCATCGTGTGGATTAATGGCTTTTAGATCTTTTCCTAGACAATGCTGGTTCGGAAAATTCATTTAAATCACTAATTATCAACAAATTAAAAAGAAAACCATGTAGATAGACCAAAAGACACTTCAACTAGCTCAGAAAAAAGTAAAAGAACACATCGATTGGTCAGCAAAATTTTGCAATCACAAGTTTTAAGCACATCTCTGTAGAAAATTGTTTTTCTTAGCTGTTCTTCGAACAGGCCAAACTCTTGGTGACTCACAGTTAAGAAGCTTTAGGCTCCCCTTGCCACTATGGGCTATATTATATTTGAGTCCAACATTGGGCTCAACATAATTAAAATGATATTAGGTCTAGAATTGAATAAATGTTCAAAGGGCTTCTAGAGACCTTGATACAAAACCCCAACACACAACTACGCAACACATGCATCATAAAAGATGAAGCAATGTTAAGGATCATATAAATCCTCACCTTATCTCTTCACTACCCCCACCACCTACCCCACCAGGCCTCAAATCGCGAAATTGGTCTAATCATCGCTACTAAGCCTTTCCATAAGTTCTGGATTTTTCCCTACTTTATCCCATTGATTTTGACAAATAAATCACATAATTAATTAAGTTGCCAACTCTATTTTGGTTATTTTGATTTGCAGTCTATGTTTACTTCTTTCTAGCAGTGGAATAAGGGTTGTCCTACTCTTCTTTACCCACTAGAGAATGCAGTAAAACGATTTTTGTGCCTTGATGGCAAATTTAATGAAACCCCGCACTTCTCTCCCGCATATCTAACCGTGCTGACCAACCCACTTATTCACCTCTCGACCCTCACCTGTACACTCTCTCCCGTTGAAACTTGTACGCCACCCCCATCTGCAGTCACGACGGGAAATCAAAGGTGGCAAGGATTAGTGATGCGCTACGTACCTGTTCTCAGCTCCGTCTTCCAAAACACTCTGCTAATCTGAGTGAATTGGCAATAATCAGAATCTTGAAAAGTGAGTATTAGTGCTTCTTGTTGTCCTCTCTGTAATCATCGTACAATTTCTTTACGCTTGTTCTCGCCGACAATCACGAGATGGGTCAAAGGAGAAAATAGATTGAGTGGTACCCTTCCAATAATGTTGGACTTTGAGCTTTGCTCGGAGAGCAACTCTCTGCCGCAACTCTTCTCCAGTAGTGAAATAGATTGTTTAGATTCAATCAATCAACATCAAAAATGACTTTGAGATGAGAACAATATGCATAATAGATACAGAGAATGAAGAAAAATCGATGTTACCCGTAGTTGAAATAGTAAATCTAACACCGAACTTCCAAACAGTACTTAACTGATATCTATAGTAATCTTAGCTTACAGTTAGTGTTGTAAGATCTATAAGATTATATGATACCTTAAGACACAGTTTATGGTACTATGTGAAAGAGATATCTCAAGTCTTGTTGGAATATTCAATATCCTTTATTTCCGCTCTAATGTACGAAGAGTGTTTTTCATCAACTATCATGTAACTTGTTGAAACTTCAAAAAATTCTTCTGTTTAAATATTAGATAGAAGAATATTAATTCTAATATTGATAATAGATGCCAATATCGCACAGCTTTGAACGCCTGAAAACTCTATTTCATTCTGTCCAAGACGGGTAACTCACAGTAACTGATGCAGCGTGAAGATTTCCAACAAGCTAATGGGACAGAACAGGTTTCTCGTAACCGGTAATTACATATTCGACACATGCTATATTTGAGAGAGAATACCACATAGAAGCCACTTTCTAAATTTAGAACGTTCGAGAATTCTCTTATGGTTAATGGCCGCGCTCACAAATTTCACAGACCATGGCGAGTGAAGAAGCTGCGAACATCATGAGTATGGAAATCATAGCGAAGTGCCACTATATCTCTAGGCTTCCTGAATATTAACCTGTGTAATCTTTCTAAAAGCATAGTCAACTTACACGTTTTTTTGAGGGCGATGAACACTCAGTATGGGCGCAAAAGTCCAGACAGGAAAAATACGAGGTTTTGCAATGGGTCACTAAGAAATTGGTATATTGCTTAAATTACGCTAATGGGGATCGCTTTCATGTGAGTTTTGTTAGAATTTATCTATTGATAAAGTGTATATTGCAATAGGTGAAGGTTTAGGGGAAGGGGCTCCATCGGGTCCTGTGCTATATGCGAGTAAAGCAAGCCATAAAGATCGTCGTACTGTATTACTTATAAAAACTTGTTACTTATCAAGTTCTAGGTTCTAGTAAGGCTTAAATTAGTTTGTCAGCTGAAGAATGAGCGGGCCAGATTAATATATTAATCCGCTGTATACCTAGGTTCTTTTGTCAGATCACTCTTCAAATACGCATGAAGTCGAATAGCAATTATCATAAAGAATCAAAATGCATATTTCAAATTCTGATAAGCAAGACAATTGTTTCTATCATACTTAGGTCTTTTTCTATAGCAGTTATTTATTTACATGACTATAAAAATTACTTAATAACATTAACATTGCGTCTTATTTATATCTATCTAATTCACTAAATATATGAAATATATTTATTCGTATTAATTACAATGCATACAAAACCTAGGATTTACTGTACAACTTTACTTCTTAAAAGTCGGGTCTATCATGAATAGCCAGTACTTGCAAAAAGTCTCTTGTACTTATGAAAGCTAGTTGCATAGAGGTAAGGGTCTTCGTGTTAGGCCATACATAAGATATCCCCACGGTAAGATCATTTTCAAATCGGATAAATTTTAAAAAGAAAAATCGACAAGGAAAATGCAACTAAAGACAAAGAGACTCTATGCAGAAGTTTTTAGATGTGAGAAAGTCAGGAAAAGTGTTGTCAAAAAAATTTTGAGAGAATTTTCAAGAGTTTTTAAAAATAACGGCAATAATATATCGAAATCTTTTTTGAAAATATCAGCTTAACGTGTATCATAGGCCCGTTGAAATCGTTTGTGTTCCCAAATCAACGCTAGTTTACCGTCTCTCAAGATTTGTTGTATTCTTGCATCCATTTTCTGAAGATTTTATTCTGCTTTGTCAGTTCAAATTCCTTAAGAGCACGACGTCGTATGTAGGTATAATTGTACCACGCAGAGAACACCTAAAAATTTAAAACCAGATAATTAAGCATTTACCTTGAAAAGTTGAGAGCTTGATGAAGTTGATACCTACACATTAAAATCAGATTACTTGATTGGTTGGCAATATAATTTTTCTGTTTTCAGCAAAAAATCTTTCCCTTTCTATCTGAACAATGATAGTTGTTTATTGCAAATTCTTTTTTATGGGAATTTTCGACATTTCGAAACAATTTAGTCTGCCCTTTGCGAGTACGTACGAATCATTCGATCAAAATATGAGTACGAGGCACGTAGGGTGACTTCATATGTTTCTAGCCATAACAAGAATCAATTACTCTCTCAACATACCTCTGAAAGCTGCTGTCGTGTCTCGTGCATCTCCATAGCTCTTATTACTTTTAGTTTAATTTTCACTTTCCTCCAACGCTTCCAAGACCTTTCCAACAGCATTTGATCATACTAAACCGAAAAAAAATTCAATAAGTAAGCACGGGGGCTATGAACAGTAGATTTTTCAAGTTGATATACTAAACCAGCATAAGATAGCCCAATTATATAAAAAACCTTACATTATAACGTTTTTCGTTATGACAGTATTGAGATGTGAGAGGACTGGAGGCCAGAGAAGTGTTGAAAGAAATTGGTGAGAAATGCGAGAAAAAAAATTTAGTTTATGTTAACTTGAAACTGTATTTAGTTTTGAAATCTAAATTGTAGAAGAGAAAAGACGAGAGAGAATCTGTGTACCGCCATTATATTTTTGAAATACTTTTCTGCTTTAAATTGAAGGAGCCAGACCAAAATGTTAAACAAAAATGTACATGGATAAGCAACATAATTATATGAATCTCATCACCATAAGTATCACGACAGACTTCCGCCTCACTACTTTCCCATGCGCAGGAAAGAAAGAGCACATTAAAAGTATATATTGAAAATGAACCCACTGCGCGTTCAGCTTTGTTCGATCCTAAGCTCTGATCCTTCCATACAGAAAAATACTGGGCACAAAGTTTTAAATCCAATTTCATTCGCATTCGCTCAACTAAACATTCCTTTCGCCATCCATAGAAGCACTTCTCCCTAATTAATGAATAAAATAAAGATTAGTTTAAGATATCAATCTGCATAATTCATTGGAAAACATAAGAAGAGATTTAGCAAGGATAGACCAAAGACATTGGCCTAGGAGGCTAATATTACGAGTTTGACAAAAAAGGAAACTGTTTGTTTAAACTGTAAAACGAAAAATAGAAAATAAAAAAATGGGTTGGTTTGGAATGAGAAAAAATAGAATGTGGACTCGTTATTAAGCTGAACTCAAAGAGAAAACCAGTACTCACATCAGTGATTTGCGGAAATGTGCCCTTGCAATTTGTTCATGAACCTTCAAGTTAAAAGATAAAAATTGTTATTTACAGTTTCTATGAATTCTTAATGACTAATAAAGTAAATGGCCATCATAATTATTGAGGCTTTGGCTACAGCTGCCAGTAAAAGGTAAATTTACTTTTGATGGTGTATCATGTTTTGTTTTCCTGTTTTCATATCAAGTCAATCTCACATTTTCTTTTCAAAGAAAAATTTTCAATCAGTCTGGCAGGTTACAGTCTTCACATTTCACGGATTGAGTGGACAGTGGTACAGCACCCTCTCATTTTGCCCCAAAATACCAAAGGTTTTGTTATTTGTGAGGATGGCTCAATGGTTAGGGTGGCGGACAAAACATCCAAGGATGAGTGGGTGACACGACGAAACCTTCACTAAAAGTCGCCAGCTCTCTGTAGCTGCAGGCGAAGGAATAACAAGGTGAAAAAATCAAAGACCCGATCGATAAGCACCGCTTCTTAGTGTCCTACAAAACTATTTTCTAAAGATTTATAGTAAGCAATTGAAAAACAGATTTTCTAATTTATACACACAACCTGAAACTATGTCACTAAACATCTTGCAAGCTTTACGTTAAACTAATGAACCATTTCTCATATTTTCTTGTCAATTATAGTCAGGAACTACATATTTTCTATGTTTTTTCAATAGCTATGGTGTACAAACCTCCTCCATCTTCTTATCTTTTTGCAGCTGTTTCATTTTTTCCTTCCACGTCTGAAACTGCTCTTGAAGCTGGCAATATAAATTAAATTATTTTGATTATTCTCCTGAAATTATTTAACAAGACAGTCAGGAAAGTGAAATTACAAAAGGACAACAAAAAAAACAAAAGGAAGAGAGTAACCGAAACACAACATAGCAGGAAACACAATTACAGTAACTGCGGAATAATATGCAAAGATGCTAATTAACACTCATCTAAATGCCACCTGTCTTTTCTTTAGTTTTTCTTGATAAGACAAAAAGAAAATGGCAAAAATACAAAAACTACAAATGTAAGAGAATAACTAACTACATAGAAGGAAACAGAATCACAGTAACTGCAGAATCATTATGAAGATGCTAGTTAACTCTTATCTGAGTCTCACCTGTTTTTTCTTTTGTTTTTCTTGATAAGACTCTAAAGTTTTCCTCAGAAGCATCTTGCGCTGGGTGCGCCTTCGCCATCGAATGAAATTACTATGGAATCAAACAATAGAAATAGAGAATCTTGTCTAAAGAGAGAAAAATGTATCTATGATACGCCCTATAATTATTTAGGCCACATTTCATCATTCCCTATAAGAAAAATTTCGCAAACATTTCGAAATTATTTCAAAATTATTAACACCGCCAAGGACATCTGTGCCTTGCCCTCACAAAACTGAGCACTATTCCTTGCATAAGAATTGTTTGCTCTTTATCTTTGCTTTGCTTTGCCCCCGTTGCCCTTTCGAGTGCAGGCTTCCCCGAACACCGCATGTTTCTTCAAAACAGCTTCTTAGCAAAGTGTTAATAATTTCATAATGCCATCCATAGACAGGACAATTGTCCAAGCAAGCGAATCGAATGAGTCTTTGCACAAAACAACGGGAACGTATCAAATTTGATATATTTTTGTTAGCAGAATAACAATGTGTAACAAACAAACTTAATCAGACACGCCCTGTTCTTGCATCACTGCAAATACGATACAAGAATTAAGAAGAAAACAAATAATGCATTTACCTTTTCAACAAATTTCCCTGAAAGCACATCCTTGCCAGCGTTTTTCCTCTGGTTTTAAGCATCCAAGCTTGGAACCTTTTCTTAAGATCTTTTGTATCTTTTTTCTTTCTTTGGGCATCAGCAATACTTTCTAAGCCAACCACAGCTAAAATAGGACAACTCAATGTCAGCATAACTTGAGTTTTGCAACCTATGTTCCTGTGTTACCTGTGTTACTTGGCTAGCCGTGTTTCTCTGTTACCTGTGTTACCGGCGTTACTTGTGTTACCTGTATTACCTATGTTCCTGCGTTACTTGGCTAGTCGTGCTCTCTGTGTTACCTGTACTGGCTGTGTTACCGGCGTTACTTGTGTCATCTGTGTTACCTATGTTTCCTGTGCTACTTGTGCTACTTCCTTACAGCCTTGCTTACTAATATACACAACTTTAAAAAAATGAAAGGCGTCATTTTCAAAAAAGGAAACGAAAGTTTAATTTTTGCCTTTTTCTTGATACTTTGCCCCTTACCCTTGTGTAGGCGTCCTTTTTCACACCCCTATTTATACACAAATAGATGCAACTAGTAGACAGAGATTTTATTTTTTGATCAGCTAACACTTAAATATATGATAAAATATTGCAATTTATATTAGTTTTTTCTCTCGATTAAGCCTCTGCGTAACCACACAAGCTTTTGGTCATATTTCCATAAGGCTATCCAGTACTGTACTGGAAGTTGTTGGTGCTAAATTTTACATTGAAAAACTAAACCCCTCAGTCTCAAATTTTTCGATCACTAGCAGCTTAAACGATACAAAAGGCGTGTTTCGTGTAGTCTGTGCTCCAGACCCCTAACTTGAAGTAAAGTTCCTCTAATTTCAAGTTAGGGGTCTGGAACAAAATCTAGTTTCTTGTGGATTGTGAAATATAGAATCAGTATCAACTCATAACTTGCTTCACAAGTTAATGTCACTTGTTACTTTTGAAAGACATTTTTGAAGATAAACTACGTTAAAATTGTATCTTAGTGTTACACATGTTACACCGAGGTAAGAGGAAAGTAACCTGCTATATTAAAATAAAACAAACCTTTGGTTCGTTTTCTCCAGATATTTGCATATTTTCGAACAGTGATTGTCAGCAAGCGCTATAAAAGATCATAGTGACTAAGATATTTGATCTCACTTGAATCAAACAACATAACATTCCATCCATGCCTTCTCAAAGATAAAATACAATAGATTAAGAAAGTTTCTCAGATTTTACTTTTTATTACCACAGTTAAATTTAAAAGTGTATGTATAAATTTGATTTGATATACATATTCGATACATATGATCGAAGAGCTTCGTCAAGAAGATTGAAGAAGTTGTGGAAAAGTTAAGTTATCATTGCTTTCAACGTGAAAGGTGCACGGCGTCACACTGCCGGATCTTGGCAAGAGTCTCTTCACCAACTCAACTAGGTGTTGAAACTTTACCTGTTGAGATGTTAAGGAAATTTGCATCGAAATATAAAGTGAAATCATGTGGAGTACCTCTTTGATTCTCGCCAATGCTTTGCTTCGATAGGCTGCATTTAACCACGTGTCCAATGTCTGCAAAAATCACATATGACATAAGAAGGAGCGATGCGCACTCTCGTGTTGCAAGAAAGAAGGTAAGAAAAGGCAAAGAAATTACAAAAACGAAGCTCAGATCATTTGAATTTTTAATTCTTTTTCTGCATAGCCTTAAAAATGCATGAAGTTTTCCTGCATAGAGGAAGGTCTCTGAAGCTTAGGCCTATTCACTAAAGAGCAAAGCAAGATTCTGCAGCAAAAATTTCTTTACTATCTTATTTAATATCTGCCTTTTATAAATCCTTAAACAAAAATAGTTCAAAATGCGAAAATGGGCAATATATTCCTGGTACAGCAATGGATTTGACGTACAAAAAATAATTCATTGAGAGCAAAAGCATAATATCAATACTCTATATTAAACATTTCTGCATACTTTTCTCTGAAGTAGTGCTCTACAATGCTTTTCTGATCTCCCTTTGAGTGCGTTGATTCTAAAGTTCACCAAGCAAAGCTTGAGGATTTCTTGCTGCTTCAACTCCAAGTAATTCTCTAAAACCATGTCATTTTTCTGTACATGTTTATAGAATGTTATCCACTTTTCGAATGCCACAGCCAACTAAAATAATGAATAATTGGTTGAATTTACATTCAGACTATAATATTTAACGACAGTTAGCATGCGCAGGGCTGTAAGAGATTCCTTGTACAATATCTCAAAGGGCAACATAACAACCTACATATCCCAATAACAACCAAAGTATGGGAACTTTAATGTACTGGAAACAATCGAGGAGAAGCAAAAAATTGTATATAATCTGATTTTCTTGGTCACTTGATACCGTTGGTTAATGGAATCCCAAGTGCAAAATCAAATAAGAAAATAATTTATAAAGAATATTAAAGTTTGAATCATGATTTAACATCTAATTAGAAAAATGTTCCAATAGATTCTTTTTGCATAATCTATTTAGAAAAATATTCTAATAGACTCTTTTGCATAATTTATTTAGAAAAATGTTCCAATAAATTCTTTCTGCATAATTTATTTAGAAAAATATTCCAATAGACTCTTTTGCATAATCTATTTAGAAAAATATTCCAATAAATTCTTTCTGCATAATTTATTTAGAAAAATATTCCAATAGACTCTTCTTGTACAATCTATTTAAAAAATTGTTCCAATAGACCACATTTGTAATAATGATGATAATGAATAACAAACCAAAAATTTTCTGATTTACTTTAAAAATGGATTTGATCACATTTTCTTTGCATTTTCATGTATAAAAACAACTAATAGTTGATTATATAAAAGTAGTAAATTGGTGTTCAAAGATTATTTAAGAGAAAAGCAAATATTTCGTAAAAATATATACCAAGTTATTTTCAACAATTGTTTCAACAGTGACTCGGGCCTCCCTGAGTTCCTTTGCTCTTCTTGTCTTCACGAACCAGTAATTTATTGCACTGTAAAATAAACATGATTGCATATTAATAGCATATTAACATAATTGATGATATTAAGATTGAGATAAGGAAAAAATGCTAAATATAACTTTGATGAAATATAGATTACAGCTAAAATCAATTTTTCTCCTTGCTGTAATTTTTGGATATTTATGTAGAAGTAGCAAAAATTTAAACTTTGAGATGCTTTCAGGTTCTATGGGGTTGATGTAAGGTATCGATGATATTAGAGTTAGAATCGGAGAAAAAACTTTGTCAGTCGCAAGGATTCACGGATAAAACGAATCAATGTCCAAAGGTGTCTGATAGGAAATGCAAAGATCAAAACAACTTTATCTACGTCTAGTGGGTACTTAGATTTAAACATAGGGGGCCCTGAAAATAGTTGTATAGACTTGTTTATACTTACGTACAGGGGGTCATAAAAATACTTGATTCACTAATGGCCACACCAACACAGACAGTCTGTAAACTGACTCACTCGACACGTTGAAATGGTTCTAGAAGAAAATCCTACCTTGTCGTTAGATGCTGCTCATGGTGAATCCGTGCAATTTTCAGACCCTTTGCACTGTCAACCCATTGCATAAACGTACTTTGCAAAAGGTCCTTTGTTCGTTCTTGGAAGAATATCTTTGCCGTCTCTTCAAGGGCCAAATGCGCTATCAAATAGTAACAGATGACTGGTAAGTGAAAGGTATACTCAAGAATATCTGGATGTAAGTTGTTAGCTTAGAAAATTTAAATATGTTAAAAAGATGTGCTTTGTTCTTTCATGGTTTTCATGCCCTTTGAAAGGAAAAAGTTAAGTAAATGGTATAGCTAGGAAATAAATGATCTGAGAGTTAAAGTTTCCGTTAGACCTGCTATATGAAAATAAGAAGATCCGTATAGAAATCCATTTAGCTCATTGACTGCTTTTCTGTTTAATCCTTGGATTCCTTAAGAATTGTTTCTTCTTATACATTAACCAACACAGACATTAACACTGTCAGCTTTGCTCGACCAAGGGCCACAGTTATAATTGCGAGCCTTTTACTTGCCATTTGAAATATCTTGCTCATTTCATTAATTGAGCCTTATAGCAACAAGGCCTATATCGTGAGACTTAAGAAAAATAATGTGTCCTTACCTTGCGTTTGCGAAAGCCATTTCTTAGCAGCAATGACAACTACCCTTCGTTGCTGTCGAATTAAAACGAATTCATAATCATGTTAGTCTCTCATGAATATCAATTTTTAATGAATAAAAGTGTGGATTCTGTAAAAGTTAATGAAATTCATCACAATCTACGCCAAAGAAAACGATTCGGTTAAGCCATTCCTTCTTGAAAATGTAGTATGACAAATAGTCCCCATAAAAATCCCGGATAGTGTCTCACGGCATCAACATACCTAAGAGCAAGACTTCTTTATCATTGCAGCTTTCATGAACGCAATTTAGGTGACAGGGGGGTTCTTTTATCAAAACCTCTACGAATAACGCTATTATGTACCAAAGCACTAGAAGAGCTGTTTTTTTTAAATTCTAAAAACTACAAGAAAACTTAGACTTCGTTTTCCAAAGTATACCCCCGGGTTTCCCAAAAAAATTTCCTATTCAGCTGAATGATATGTAGTAGTTGGTGGTTCTGTTTCAGGGAAAACAGTACTTAATGTTTTCACAACAGCGTAATTTTTTTCTAAGGTGTTCGCAACAATCAATGGTACTGAATATCGGCCTTTATTAAGTTGCTGCTGAACCGGAGGGAATCTTTATTTTAACAAAAGTATTGGAAAATGAAAGCAAAATGAAGTAGAGCACGAATATGCAAGCAACGTTTGAAGAAGCCAGAAATTGAATTTGGCTAAAAAACGCCATTAAGACGACTTTGATTCTTTTGAGAAAAACAACTATACTGTTTTACTCAATACACACCTTGTTTATATTTACACACTTCTGAAGCCAATTATGAAATGCTTTCTTTGTGATCAATGCTCTATAATGACTGTCAGATTTTCTTTGCCTAACATTTTTCCGCCATTGCAAAAAGGCCTCCATCTGACGTTCCCTATGCTGGATTTGCTGACGTTCTTTGAACACTCGGGAACAAATAGCACTGCGTTTCCACCAATCAAAAACATTTCTCGTCTGAAAAAAATCACGGTTTTTCAGCCTTGCACGCTTCAAAAGATGTTTTAACGGTCGTCTTGTAAATAAAAATCCTTTTAAAAGCCAGAAAAGAAATTCTGTTTAACTATATAAAAACTATAACTACATTCAGTGTGCAACTTGGGGCCTTTAAAAAAGATATGGTTAACGAATTTGGCTACAAATTCAGTGCCTTCGGCTTCCCTGACAGCTTTTGAACCGCAAGGGTAATCAGGTTCTTCTCTCTTTATAGTGTTCTTTGGGCCACAAGCTGTCAGAGTGCTGCATTGCCTATCCTTCTACCATTGTTAAAGAAAAGCTTTAGATAAATTTCCGACAGCACAGGCCACATTGCTACGAGCATACCAGAATTTCTACCACCACACAAAATCTCAACATATTTAATAAGGGCATAGTCAAGGATATGATAAAGTCTGGGTGTATTTCGCTAAAGCTGTTTTGAAAACCATTTTGTATATCAGCCTCAGTTACCTTGGTTCTGACAGACGACTGCTGATAGTCTTCCAGGCGAATAACAAGATCTAGTCTTTGCTCCGTGTATTCATGCCAAAATTCAATCACCCTTGAAAATAAAGCAGATTTTCTGTAAGATTTAGCGAAAGAAATTTGCATTCATATTTTCAAGCTCTCGGCCAACTTGTAAACTCACGAGAATCAAAATTGCGGATAGAAACTCGTGCAATAAGAAACATAAATCCAAAACGCATCCAACAGAGTGCGTAATCGTCACAAAAATAGATGCTTTTACAGCTTAGGAGACTAATCACAATTCTGTGATGCCTCGGTCGAGAGCCTTTCTTATTTAAGATTCTCTGAAACAGAAACAACAACAAGTAGAACTCGAGAATAAAAAGAGAGAGAACCAACTTGATCATAAGGCTTTCGCGGTAATGGTCATCCGCAATCTTGCATCGTTCAGCTTCTTCTGACCAAATGAAGAAAGCCTGGGCAACTAATTTGAAATTCTTTCTTCTCTGGAACTGAGCGACCTGTTTCGACAATGCTTTCTCCTCTGGAAAGAAAACATGTTTGAACACTGATGAGTTGCAGTTGAGAAGATATATTAGGCTTTTTACGAATCATGGTTTAGTTTTGATTAAGGATGAACCAAAATATTGTAGGGTGGATTAATGCTGACATTACGTTTTTGATAAAACACCGATTTGCAAACAGGAAACTTTCATGGGCAAACAGATTATAGTTTATTGGTAAGAATCCCTTCCCTTCTGTGTTTTTTCCTACATTAGCTATTCAGACACAGTAGTAAGCCAGATGTCACCTACAAAAACTTCCATCATCGGTATTTTATTGGTAAGATTACTGGCAGAAAAATGTCTCACTAACCGAGAAGTAATCCTTTATGATGTTTAAAGAAATTTTTTAGAAATGTCTTCCTTCTTTTCATTTGTTATCAAACTCAACATTTTCGAGGTAACAATTTTCCATAAACATTAGAAACAATTGTGTTTGATATATTCAACAATTCATTTCTTTAGAAATTTTGCAACAAAGTTTCATGGAGAATTGGTGACGTTTATATAAAACTCGACCAAATGGCTGAAAATTTAGGCCACCTCTGTGATCTGGTCAGCAAACTGTAGTTAATCTACCTTTGCCAGGTTCTTTTTCGTAACCAGCTGAAAGTTGGTTTTTTAATTCAGACCCAAGATTTAACAACAGCAAAAAACAACTAATCTTCATACTCACCCTTCGTCCATTCCAACCAAGTGTAAAAGATGGTACGGAATTTTTGACCTTGAGTATTCTGTTGAAGAATATCAAATATAGACTTAGTTTCTGTGACATTATTATAATGTATAAAAGACATTAAAGGGAGATTCTCCTTAAGTTCTTGTCCTGCATTTTGGGATTTTCATAATATTGGGGTCATCCTTTCTTGCACTATATGCGACATCCGACCGCCCTATATAGTGCGCTATAACAGAAAACAGCAAAGAAAAAGGTCTTAACGAATATAATCTTTTTGCCCGTTGTAAAAATTCAACAAGAAAGCTATAAAATTCACTGTTACCTGATAATGCAATTGAGCTCTCTTGGTCGAATTAAAAGATTTCATCCAAGTAAAAAAGACCTGAAAAATTCGTAAAGGAAAAGGTCGTGAAAAAATAAACGCTTAGTTGAAATTAAAGAGTTAGAAAATATTTTAGAGACAAAAATAAAAATAATTCATGCTAACCTTATGTAGAAAACTATGTACTTCTTATTGGAACCGAATGAAATCAAACTTTTTTTTACCTTTTGGTGCACACAAATGTAAGAATTGACAGTTTTACTTTGTAAAAGGATTTAAGAAAATGTGGATTTCAGAAAAATGTCAAAATTTCTTTGGTACCAGGGATCTTTTCGTCTAATCTTTTTCATTTTTGTGCCTCAAAATCGCACATTCAGCTTTTCAACGAGTCCATAAATAAAACATATAGAATATAAATTTCTGATAGACCAAGAAAACATGCAAGAAATTTTTTGTTGCAATTGTGGTTATAAAATGAAAGGCAAACATGCTAAGAGTTTCAGAAAAAAAATTTCAGAAAAAAATCACGTTAAATGAGAAACGTTTTCTCTTCAGGACACACGTACTCATTGATAAACAGCATTCCATATATTGAAGCGAAATGGGCTCATATGCTGATCAATGGTACATACAAAAGTTATTTATGAAAAATTCAACTACATTTGAAACACAGATGATTTTCCATAAGCTTAACGCATATTAGCTTGAATCTTAACAAAAAATTAAAAATAAAAACAATTGCCTCCCCGGCGGGGAATTGAACCCCGGTCTCCCGCGTGACAGGCGGGGATACTCACCACTATACTACCGAGGACATGTTACTTTGGACAGTGCAGATTAGACGAATTCTTCGTTATGCTAATTGATGTTACGATGGGCCCCATTTCTCAAAACATGCCTTTCTTTGACTACTGAAAAATCCTAGAATAGTTCGGAAGATATTTTCATAATTTTCTTCGTGGTGCTTGAATGGTCTTTTTTCTCAAAACACTTCCGCTCCATTTTATAGTATATATTTTCCAGATTTTTAAGCATATAAACCCATATGTTGATCAAAATCATGGATTTGCAATCGGGGCAAACGTCTGGGATCACTTTCGAATTTACCGGGGTTTATAATTACCTAGAAAAATACGGAAAATTGATTCATAAATAACTAGGCAAGTTTATGATGAGCAAAAAGAAGATTTAACAAACCTTTGACGTTCGCATATTCACAACTTTCTGAGATGCCTTCTCTAACTCCTTTGATTTTGATGCCCCTCTATGCCAAGATATTATCACCCTAGGCGAGAAAACTCAAAAGGTTACTCTTAAGGTACCTACATATTTTTAAGGTCAATACTTATTGTTTCTCAAGAGTTTCTTAATTTAAACGTTTTTAATAGAAAACTGCTTTTAGAAACGAGCATTGGAAGTTCAGAAATAAATAAAGAAAGACAATTTAGTACTCAAAACAAAACAACGAAGACACACAGATATTATAAATAAGCTAAATTTTGTGTAAAGAAGAATATCTTAATAAAGTTTTCATAAATTTTTCACAATCAATCTCAAAAGTCCCTTATCTTCCAATGAAATAAAATATTTGAATTTGACATAAAAAATTTCTCCCAAGCATATCATTATTACACTTATTTAAAGCAAGTTTTTTTATACAAATCGGTGTATATTGAAATACTATGAACGGTAAGAAACTCTTGTTTCAGTCACCTCTCTATTTGTAAAATGTTGCCGCCTAAATTAAGAAACAAACAAGAAACATGGGTTATCCAATGCATGCTGAGAAATACCCCAGAAGTTCTCAAATTAGATCTAGTTTTATCTCCTCAAGCCTAGGTTTAAGTTATTGAGCTGCTTGTAGCTCAAATTCTGATTGTGGCTCAGATTCTCTTTCTGGCGCACTGACATTCACTTTTAAGTCCTTGTTAATATAAGAAATGGTTGTGACAAATTGACAATTGCTTTTTCTTTAACCTATTGATCTAGCAAAACATTTTACCAATCGTCAAATATTGCTGGAAAAGATGCACTTTGTAGGACTAGATTCTTGTCAGAAAAAAGAGACAATAGAACCGTGAATGGGAAGGTTTAGAAAACAGGAACACAGACAGCTAACTCTCGATTGCAGTTTGCTTTAGGCATTGCCTTATTTCAGATTGCGATTTCTGATTTTCCGAGCTCATGACAGGAGCAAGTAAGATTTGTAAGTGCAAAAGAAAGTCAAAAACTAATTTCTCTCGACGAAACGTATCCGATAAACACCCTTTTATCAAATAAATTGCGCCATTACCTTCGAATGAGGAGTTTGGTTGATAACTCCTCCGCAGCTGCAAAATTCTGCATCGCTTGTTTCCATGCCAGAAATGCTTCCCTCAACATTCTCTGCTTTCTTCGTTGTAAAAATTGATCACTCTTTGACTTGTCACCTTCCGATATATGTACGGCTTCTTGCCACCTTCCAACGAGGGAGTGGAGCCTTCTTTTTGTAGTGTACTGTTTGAATAGGGTTAAAAAAATAAAATTATACAGGAATGGGTTGTATCGTTTTGGCACGTTAAATTGCAGAGTTTGTGTCAGGTGATTGCAGAAACATTCTATTTGTGAAGAAGTGCGCAAACTTCAGATGTCAAAGCAATCTTAATGTACAATCAATTGATATAATTTAGGTCTAGAAATTTTCTAAAACACGACAATTTGAAGGAACATGAGCCGCAAAGGCTACTTTTATTGCTGCAAAATATTATATAAACTTAGCCAAACTTGCGGGTAACTATGGAAATACCATTTATAACAATAAAATTGCCATTGATAACTACAGATTACCAAGGAATACCATAAAATACCAGGATGATTTACCTTTCTTTTCCACAGTTGAAACACTGAGTTGATTTTCATGTTCCTTAAATGTAACTTTGCGACGAGATTATGGTCCTTTTTCTGTCTTTGTTGCATTGTAAATGTAAACACAGCCTTGAAGTGTTTTTGCAGCATCTTTGTTCGCTGAGAAAACGTAGAAGGAGAGTCCAATTCATTATGTACTTATTTCTAATATTCCTGTTATGGTGAAAAGCAAACCTATTCTTGAATGAAAAATGTTAGTCAAACACCACAATTATAGAGTATACACACAAACACTAGCAAACGATGACCTTCCATTTAAAGCATACATAACAACATTGAACAAAAGCATAGATAGAATGGAAAACCATTCGAGAACTCAAGGATTTATAGAACATGCAAGGAGTTTTTGACTGTGAATTCGTGAGTCTGACTTACGTAGAATTTCTCTACTGCCAGTCTACAATACAGTTTCCGGTGCCACAAAAGGTAGACTCTTTTCACTGTCCAGGTATTTCTACTGCTGACAAAATGCAGTAATAGGTCTCTTCTGATTTTCCTTTCTTGTGTATACTTGAACCAGGCCCTGAATGTTCGGCTGAGAGGCAAATGGCGCCAATGACGAATCGCACCAGACATGAAATGCTCACGATTGACCCCGACGCTCTCACTTTGAAATGAGTAGTAAGACATAGCATCCTACATGGTACAAGCCAATATGATTACAATGATGATTTAAAGTGATGAAGATGATAGATGATTATGATTGTTGCTGCTGATGGTGTTTGATTGGAATGATTAAGTGAAAAATTGTGATGAAGTAATATGACTGATTGACGTGGAGTGATTGATTGAGTGATTGACTGATTGGGGATGAGCATAACGATGATAACAATAAATGATGATTGTTGTTGTTCATGATCATGATTGATAATCAAGTAATCAAGATATACTTTTTTAAAATGGCAATCAATAATATGGCAAAGAGTCAGTCAGCTCCAACATCAAAGAAGTACTTGCCTCATCCATGTTATGACCGAATATTGAAGCTGGACTGTCATCATCAGCTGACTTATCGCTTTGCAGAAACATAGTAGACTGATTCAATGGATCGTTGTTTTCAAGACGAGGCAGGGACGATGGGCGCACAAGTTCAGTGTAAACCTGAGAAAATGTGAACATGATATCGTTACTGGCTGTTAAAGAAAAGATCTATTTTTCTCAAATCCTGCTTCATTTATCAGTTACAAAATGTCATCAAAGACAGTTGCCCTCAGCTACTTGATCAATCCCGGAGCTTTCTAATTCGTTACAAAGAAATATCATAATACGCTGCTCAATTTTTTGGGTTGATACTCTTCACTTGGCAGACTACAGATACTTGTCGTCAATGTGATAATTTTTCAGTTATAGTTAAGAAATACGAAAAACGGAAGGTGCACTTATACTGGAAAAAGTTTCACTTAACATTCATAGACCCTACATATTGAAGATACATACCTCATCCGAGTCGTCGTCGTCACCCTCGCCTTTGAACGAGTTTGTAAACAAAGGAGGCACATAAACAGGCGATTTATTCTTATTAGAAAGACTTCCACTACTCGGGATACTGTTTGGCGACTTTGATCTCTCGCGGACTGACCTTGATCTTTCAAGACTTGAAGTCCTGCCTCGATCTGATGGTGATGAGAATGTATTAGATCTATACAGACCAGTCAATGGGGATTTTGGACTACGATCAAATGGATAATCTGGGGACAACGAGGCTGGCGAGTCTCTCCCTGCGACAGAGCGGGCAGTTGCTAGCGGGGATACAGGCAAAGGCGAGCCGATTTTGGCAACGTTTGGTAAGGACCCAAAGTAACCAGAAGATGATCTTAAAATCGGCATATCAACAGAAGCGTAGGATTCTGATAAGGTGTGATGGCGGACACTTCTTGGTGTGTCTTTTTCTAGTCGATCTGTGAACCGGCCTATGGCATCTTGAATTTGGTGCTTGACATAATCTTTCCATTGCCTAAATGCTCCATCGAGACATTGAAATTTCTTGTCCTCGATATATTCGCTACGAGAAAGAGAAATATTTAAAAGCGATGCAAGCAAAGGTATTGTTGAAAATTCCAATAAAAATTTGCTCAGTGCAAACATTGTTCTTGGTGTTACCATGATCCACGTTTCAGAAAAGGAGCTTTGTGGCAATTCATTTGCAAAATTAAAAAATAAAATAGGGGCCAAGAGAAAGGGGGGAACTCCAACCTAGAAAGTTAGCTAAGAAATCTTGTTGTTGGAATCAGATGTCGTTGACCAGATGTCGTTGACCAGCTGAGACAGTTTAAAATCAAGTCAGCTTAGCTAAACGAACTTTATTCAAATTCAAACAAAATCAGTTTAGTTGACAAACAGAAAGGCATTGATTAATTTTGGCTGATTTCACAAGCAAACGGAGCGAATGTCACCTACCTGACAATACAGTGGACATGAAATTGCCTTCTCCACCGTGATAATGCAACTCTTTTTGAGTTGTATGCACAAAAATTTATCGCTTCGTTCTCATTTTCTTCTCTCATTCTTTTCAATAAATCAGCTTTCAATAACCACCTTCGAAATCCGATTTTTAGTTTGATGCGACGGTTGGCCTAAAATGATAAGCATAGCTCAGAACTTCTCATTCTACTTAAAGCAAACTAATTCAACTATTCGTCCAATTAGCAATCCCTAAATATTGCTTCAATGGAAGCTAAAGCTTGCGGTAAAATCCCATCTGTCTCTTGCACTCAACTTTTCGAAAGACTTGCAACTATATTTATGGCAAGTTTAGTCTCTAATAACAGCACGGTTTATATATTTTAAAGCAAATGTAAATGATATGATGTATGATGTAGCATCAGTCTTGATTAATCATAGAAATCGGTCTTGATTAATCATAGAAATCTGTCTTGATTAATTATAGTATCTGTCTTGTTTAATCATAGTATTAGTCTGGTCATGATTGATCATCTTGATTAGTCAAAGTATCGGCCTTGATTAATCGCAGATTCAGTCTTGTTTATTCATAGTTTCGGTCTTTGTTAATCATAGTATCGGTCTTGTTTAATCATAGAATCGGTCTTTATTAATCAGAGTATCGGTCTTGTTTAATCATCTTGATTAATCAAAGTATCAGTCTTGATTAATCATAGCATCGGTCTTGATTAATCATAGTAGGGCTGTCAGGGAGTTGATTGCCAAGTTAAATCTGACAATAACACATTTGCTTAAAAAGTGATTGAAACAAATTGGATACTGCTTTGGAAATTGCAAACCAAAAGGCTACCAATTGGTTACTAACTTCGTAACAGCCTAGCACTACCCGCCCTTTATCAAAGGAAAGGTTACAATCTGAAGCTTAGTGACCATCTGAAGGTTACAATATTCTCTAGACCTGAATAAGTGCATTGATGATACCTTTCTTAGATATTTTCTTCACAAAATACATAGTTGTATGGAAAGCCGCGACAGCAAAACTGCCTATTGAAAGATAAGGAGCGATAAATGTTGGCAAAGAGCGATAAAGAGTGTTCTTTACTGACTTAAGATTTCTCCCATTAATTATGCACAAGATTGATGACGATCAATAGTAATAATTACATCTATGAAGTTGTAATACCTCTAACGCTTGTAATCTTGACCGTCTTTCAACTCTGGCCTCAGTATTGGTTTGCCAGCGGGTTAAATACCTTCGACTCAGATCTTTTCTGTGATGGTTTATCTCTGCTACGAAATCTGCAAATGATGGACACTTAATGAGACCGCATTTAGCAACAGCAGCTTCAAGATTACGATCAAATTAATACCAAAGATAGCGCAAAGATTATGATTAGATTCCTGCTAAGTATTACTCAAAATATTATCATCAGATTACTGCTAAATATTACTCAAAAGATTACCATCAGATTACTGCTAAGTATTACTCAAAAGATTACCATCAGATTACTGCTAAGTATTACTCAAAAGATTACCATCAGATTACTGCTAAATATTACTCAAAAGATTGCCATCAGATTACTGCCAAGTATTACTCAAAAGATTACCATCAGATTACTGCTAAATATTACTCAAAAGATTGCCATCAGATTACTGCTAAATATTACTCAAAGATTACCATCAGATTACTGCTAAGTATTACTCAAAAGATTACCATCACATTACTGCTAAATATTACTCAAAAGATTGCCACCAGATTACTGCTAAATATTACTCTAAGATGTCCGTTACGCTACTGCCAATTATCAGTCAAATATTGTCATTAGAATATAAACCGAATATTGGGAAATATAACTAAAGCGATTAACATTAGATTATTACCAAATATTACTCCAAAGAATACCATTACGATCCTGCCACGGATTACAGTGTTTATGGTTAAGTTGTGGACTTCTATCAATCATGAACAAGATACTGAATTCCATCATTGAAATTGTATATCATAGCAAAATAAAGCAGTCGTATTTAAGACATATATCTAAAAGAGTAGAAAATAAAAGGTTTATAACAGAATGTTTATGGGTGCTTCTTTGCGGTAATTGTAGTGGTACATATCTCAAATTGAGTTGAAAACATAGAAAACTGCCAACAGGCAAGAATCAGCAAATAGAATCAGCGAGGGATATATACTTCCAATAAAGGTATTAACGAGGTAGAGGCATTACAAAGGTAGAGGAAGACGAACACAGTAATTTGTAACCAAATCTAGCTATAGCATACCTTTCCATCTCGATATTACTCGTAACAGCAAGTTCTTCTCAACAGACTGTCGTAATACTCTTTCCTTCAATACAAATAAATATCTTTCCCTAAAAGAAAACCAAAAATAACATGAACCTATATACAATGTACGATCGATTTCCCTATTACATAAAGAGTCCATTGCGCAAAAACTTTTATATCTTAGAAATTAGATGAGCTAATGACATCAAACACACGAACCTCCAACTGAAGAAAATATTCTGCGTTCTTTCCAACTCCTTCACTTTTCTATATTTCACTGACACAAGGTTCCTTGTGACTACAAGCCTCCATGCATCAAACACTCTAAAAATATAAATCGTAAATGTAACTGACTTCTGTTGTTGCTGAAAATTGCTGAAAATTGCAAAACTAGGTTCCTCTTGTGATGGATGGAGAAATGTGTTTCCACTTGGATGCAAAGCTATTGCAATTTATAGTTTGTTTGTCATCTAGTTCTCAGTGCCGCATAGGCAGAGCTTTACGTACTTTGATGTGTAGAAAATGACGGCTCTAAGTTGCAAATGTATTGAAAAAGCTAGGTTTTTCAAGAAATAGCTAGAATTTCTTCCAAGGGGTTGTACCCTCGGGATACTGTAACCTCCTAACGAGTTTCTGAGATCCACGGCACTGGGAATTAAGAGCTGCATATAGTCTTAAGGTGTTCAACATTTTTAATCAACTCAGCTACAATAAAGTCTATAAACATTCGATTATTCAATTGATTGAAGCCTAAGAAATTATAGCATAAGTGCAGATAAAATGAAAAGAAAATAAGAGATTAAAAAATATTGGAAGCCATGTTAATAGTTAACAAAAGACTCAAGAAGATGCTGGCAAATGTATCCGTGAAATCAGTCAAGAAAATACTTCCATTGTTTAACAAAGGTGACTTCGATGATGATCTGATATTTTGTTTTATAACATCCAAGCAATGAAAAACAACAAACCTTGCCAGATCGCGTCTTTGCTTCCTAGCAACCATATGATGTATCACGTGATCCTCTTGAGTGACCAGCCTCCATGCCGTGAAAACTCGAGCCTTGCAACTTTTACCGAGGATTGCTGCAATTACATTTGCCCTTTGCATGTCCCTGTCTGCTTTCGTTTTCTCACGAACCCATTGCATAAAGAGAGCTGGAAATCAAGTCAAACAGTATGAAATAACATATAAAGCAGCGAAAAACTACATCAAGGCTTTATTAATACTACAACGATACTCACGAATATAAGGTCTTGATCAAGCAGATGCCTCTGCAGAAACTACAAATACAATCAAAGTGCACGTCATGCGATACTGCAAAGAGCTCTTCTGAAAATAACCTGCTATAATTTTTTTCCGGTGAGGCTCAAAGGATAATTGCTTTGCAAAACAGAATCTTGGAGGTTATGCTCTGGGCAGAGACCAGATAACACAGCACAAGAGAAGGAAAATTACACGCGGGAAAATGATGCTTGAAGGACGAAAGACCAATATATGTTTGTGTCTTTATTATGAATTCTAAGCAAGAATCGAGGCTGGACCATCATATAAAGTTAATATTGTATTCAATATTGAAAAAATAACAAACTTTGTCAGACAAGGTATTACTAGTGAGTCTTCACATAATAGTTACCTTTCAGTCGAAGGAACTCAAAAAAAGGAGAAGCAGCAATCAATTTTTGATTCAGATGTCTCTTCACTATTTTGTTTTTCCATTTCATTGCGGCATTCCTAAAATCAAAAAGTCTTAGTGTCACAGATAATAATTTTAAATTAAAAAAAAATAGAACAAAATTTTATCACTCATTGCATGTCTACAAAAAGGATTAAATTTTCAATCTTTCTTCTTACCTGACAATTCTCTTTAATCGATCTTCAGCCATTCTTTCCTTAAACTTAATGACGTCATGCGAATGCTTCCATTTTGAAAAAGCCTCTTTCAGCAGCACGGAAGATCGCAGCGAGTGAAACGAGGTCTTACAGTGCCTAAAAGTTGTAAAATCAGGGTGCAAAATTCAAAAAATTTATTATGGTCATGCAAAGTTTAAAAAAATTTATGATACTTGCTTATGATAAACATTGTCTTCGGGAAAATTGGTACGGAAGTGGAGGCTTTCTCTCCAAAAAAGTAGATATTTCATCAAAACTGTCACTTTAAAAGAGACAACTTAAAATAAAAGCGATCTTTGACAGGAATGTTGGGCAATGCATGGAACATAGGCAAAAAATATCTCAAAGAAGAACGACAGGAAGAAAACACTGGAAATTTTGGCATTATTAAAAGCTTTGAGTGAGACTCGGAGTGGCAATTTAGAGCCGTCCTGTCCTGTTATTTTGAATTTAAATAAATACTTGGTGGAATGTTTAGGTCTCAAACTCCAAGTTAAAAACAAATAGTGTTTTTTCTACCGCCAACTTACAACCAGGGGCGGACACTTAGGCAAATATTGGGGGGGGGGGGAACCAATTGCTTTGATAAGATGACGTCACATTCTCGCATTCTTTTAGAACAAACGACCATTTCCTTCCAAAATATTGGGGGCGACCACCACCGCCTCGTCCCCCAGGTGTCCGCCACTGCTCACAATAGGGCTGAATAACTAACAACGATATTTGGCGAAAAAGTTTCATCTTACAGAGAATATTTATCATATTCTTACCGTAGGATTGCTGACTTTTCAGTGAAATCTTTCCACTTTTGAAACATTGATTTTAGCTGTATCTTCATAACCAACTTGATAAACATGTTTCTTTTTCTTAATCTGGCTATTGAAAATGTCATCCAAGGTGTAAAACATTTCTCCATCAACACCTGATATGAAAAACAAACTTGTTATATTTCTTTAAATTACGCCTCATTGTACAACTCTCCTCGGGAAAAGCAACGGGAAGTCCCCTATTTTGAAAAGAGCTCGTTATTCCAATGAAAAGAATATCACAAATTCATAAATTTGTTTTCATGCAATTTCGCTAATGCAATTGACATAAAAATTGTTGCTTTGCCTAATCGCAAAGAACCTTTTTGAATTTTAAAGCAAAAAGAAACATTAATACTAGTTATGTGCATACATTATAAAAGTTGATTTAAAAGAGAAGGCAAATTTACCCAATATATTTGATAATTTTTTTATTTTTGGCCAAATAATCTGAAAGAACACCATAAAATACCCCTTACAGTGCAAAAACAGTTAAATTTGTTGCAAATTTAATGAGATATATCAAGGATAAGAAATGACTTTTTCTAAATGATTGTTGTTGTTTTTGCCTGGTTCAGTTATTTTAGAACGAAGACCAGCTAACAGTGATTTAATGAGAAAAGAGCCTGGGCTCAAGTGGTCATCAGCCAATTTCCAAAACATTTAAATGAGTTGGTACATATTAACGGTCGGAATGGAACAATTCTAGATCTTGATGACGTCACTGTACCTACCACATTGGAATGATTGATGGCGATCTGCCTTCGAAGAATCGTACGACGACACTGCAGTCTCCATAGGACAAACGATCTTCTACAAAACAGATGTTTCGGAGGGTCACATTTAATACATTGTTAAGTTTGAGCAATTTTGAGCAACGCTGTAACAAAACATTTTGATGTTTTACGACTAAAACTTAGATAAACCGTTTGCCCCACATAATATCGATTGCCAATCTCTCATGCTTTTGATAGCAGTCTCTAATTGATGTAGTGGAAAAACCCTTTACTCCTTCACCATTAACGCCGTGAAGAGAGCTAAATTTTATCTTGACAGATTCTATTTGACAAGCCAGGATTGGTGTCATCCTCAGTAAACTTAAAAGAGATACTTGATGAGTTAGGAGGCAGTGAAATGTACCTTTTGGTCTTAAGGAAATGTAAAAACGAGTTTAAACTTGTGCAATGTGAAAATGATAAAAACTACTCTACTAGTGAATAGAGTTGAGAAAATATGGAGCTTATGTGCCATACTTTTAAGCTATGAATTTGACAGGGATTGAAGTAGAATGGCGATACTTACCTTTCCATTGCTATAATATGATGCTTCTCGGCCATTCTGGCTTTTAGCTTTGACCTCCATTTAGCCAGAGCCGCCCTCATCATAGCACGACTACGGTACTCCTTACAGGCGCTTAGATGGCGCTTGTGAAGCATTCTGAGGAATAAAATTGTTCTAGCATTTACTTTCAAACACTTCTTACAAAGGTAGATGCTATACTGACATGAAGTTCTTGCTTGAGATGAATAAACGAAAGTAAAAAAGACTTGGCAAATAATGAGTGAGGCAGATGTAGAAGGAGGAAGGAAGGGAAAGGAATGGGAATGAGGGGGAAGAGAGGAATAATAGGAGAAAGGAGGGAAAAGGAGGGAAAAGGAGGGAAAAGGAGGGAAAAGGAGGGAAGACGGAGGGTAAAGGAGGGGAAAGGAGGGGAAAGGAAGGGAAAGGAGGGGAAAGGAGGGGAAAGGAGGGAAATAAAGGGGAATGAGGGGGAAGAGAGGAATAGAAGGAGAAAGGAGAGGAAATGATTGAAAAGGAGGGGAAGGGGAAGGAAACGAGGGGAAAGAGTGAAATAGGAGGAGAAAGGAGGTAAAAAGAGGGAGGGGACTGAGTAGAAAATAGGAATAGGAGAGAAAAGGAGGAGGGGAAAGAAGGGGAAAGGAGGGAGATTGGAAAATGTGAGGGGAAAGGAGGTAGGACAGGAAGAAGGGAAGGGAAAGAGATGAAGGAGGGAAAGGAGAACAGAGGGAGGGAAGAAGGAGTCGAAAGGAGAAGAAAAGGAGAGGGAAAGGGAAGGACAAAAACCAGATTTTGGGCAGTTCTGTTTAAAAGCCCGAAGAACTGAAGAAGATTCCTATAGAGCAAACGATACAGCAATTAGATACGATAATGTTACCAAATGAAGAAAACAAGCTCATTGACCACCTAGTAATCCTTTGTCAGAGTTCATAACTTGTTTTAGAAACGTTCCCTAATATTTGCCTTCAGGGGTGGACACTTGATCAAGTATTGGAAGGCAAGCCTAGTGTTTTAATAAGATGACGCCACATTTCCTATTGTTTTAGAACAAAAGACCATTGTCCTCTAAAGTGCGGTCGTCCCCCCTCGCCCCCAGGTGTTCGCCACGGTTTGCCTTCTCTACAATTACGTTCCGTTGTTCACTAGAGAAGGAAGAAGTATCATTTCTTTACATTCATAAACCTTACGTTTTTCTTAATTTATATTGAGGGCTATATGTACAAAGGGGCCCCTATTCCGCCAACCGTGTGTGCATCAAACAGTGTTACATAACATTATATAATTGAATTTTAAGACTGGTCAATACCCATCATGGCATGTATGTAAGTTGCGGTGTTCATTGCGGTTAATTTCGAATTGTTATATCAAAAGCGACATTTTTAGTTTTATCATCCGTGGAAATCATTGTGGTGGTATCAACTGAGGTACATCTTGTGGCATCATTTGTAATAAGCTGTGACATTCTTTATAATACAGTTCATTTATGGTTTCAGTGTAGGTATGGATGTTGCTACAGAGATTGCATCTGATTTCATCCCCCATCCCCTACATATGAGAGATTTTGATAGTCTTGGCGTGTTGATAGCTCAGGGGGGGGGGCAGAAAACACAACACGTTGTATATTCATAACATAATTTTGTAACACCCATCGAAATATCCATCAATAAACAAAATGTGAATGATGAATATTATCCGTTTATATCAAAATGGGGATTTGGATTACGACGACGAAAATCTGAAAAACGTTTCAAAAGAGAGACTTTCTAAACTTGTTTCCTTTTCCCACAACATGAAAGTTTGTTAGAGACCAGTTTTTGTCTGATTATGACACACCCCAACCCTAATTTGTACATAAAACCGCTCATTCGGCCTATGTTAGCGTTCTGATTCATCTTACAATTACACTGACGTTTGCAAAAAATCTATGACTTGAATTATCAAAATAAAGTTCGTGATTGAATGCCTTGTGAATTTTTTTAAGACACAAAAATTTTTTTGTTCGAAGCAAAAACATTTCTGAATTGCTTACAACAATAAACTCGTGAAAAATACGATACCAAATTAAAAAACACTTTGACCTGTCATTCAATCACGTGACAACTTTAAACTTGATCCAAAAGTAAAAATGTAACAACTTACTTTGAATATTGGGTCCATTTTCTCCATCCATTAAAAACATTTAAGAGAAGCTCTTTGCTGAAAATGAAAGAGCAATAGGATAATATAAATTTGCAAACAGAATTGTTTGATATCATTAATGTTGTCGTACAATAAACAAAAATTACTGAACTGCGAGTTGACAAAAAATACTGTCTACAAAAATTGTTTAAAATTTTGCAATGTATAAAACTTTATCGAATAAATTTTAAGACATTATAGGGCAAGAATTTGTCTATATGAATATTTACCAAATGGATCGTATAAAGACCGATGATTGAGCAATAATTTCTTAAGCAAGAATTATACATGAACTGTTTAAGTATTTTTGTAAAAATCAAATCGTGCACGTGCAAACCAAACAAATACTTTCAATTATTAAGAGAGCTGCTCCTTTGCCTCTATAAATACACATTTTGTTTCTGCCATTTGCTTTTTCCCTTTTTTTCAAACGAATTAATTTTCTGCTATTTATCAAAATGATCTTACAGTTTAGCTATTCTTTGCACAATTCATTAAAATACGAACTGAGGAACTTGAAGCCAATCGAACTGAGCCGTTCAAACTACCTTGCAATTCTTGTATCAAAAATTACAAAAAAACATCTCAAAGTCTCACTTCATTTGCCGTTTTACAAAACAACTTTTGCCAATGCAGTTTCTCCAATGAAGAAACAGCTTCCTTGTTGACTGGACTTCAAAGCGAATTCTGTGAAATCATAAACAAATAATTTCAGCAACTGAACAAAATGAATAAAATTCAAGTTCCAATGTATTTCGTAACTTTATAAAGAAAGGAAAAATTACAGTAATCCGTTAGCAGGATTTAAATCTTTCATTGTTCATATCTCACTCGATGTTTCTCGGCTATGTAGTCAAAAATAAATATTTAGAAGAATAGATTTTTAACAGATTAATAGATTGTCAAACCTGTTTAAAGCTCTGTATCAGTGGCGGACACCTGGGGAGCGAGGGGGGGGGCTAGGGGGGCGACTGCCCCTCCAATACTTTACAGGAAAATGGTCTTTTGTTTGAAAACAATGGCAAATGTGACGTCATCTTATTAAAACAATAGGCTTGCCCCCCCCCCAATATTTGACCAAGTGTCCGCCCCTGCTCTTAGATATATATGCTTCAAATTGCTAGTGTCAACTACAAACCACACAACACTAAGGACTATTGTCACATTTAATCACCATAATCATTATTATACGTCTACCATCATTATCACTAAAATCATTGATTTATTGTAAATCGAAATCAGCAAGAAACATTCTTGTACCTAGCAAGCTTCTGCATTTTCTTTTTCACACGTCTTTCGGTGACATACACATTCCACAGCTGAAAGGATCTTGTTAACAGTGACAACCTGAATTGAAATAATGCAAACAAATAAATATTGGCAAATTTAAGCATAAAAAACAACAGTTTTGATTACGATAAAATATATCTTTAAGAAAGACTGTTAAAAAATAATTCTACAATTCAGGTAGAATTTAAAAGCATTTAATCCCTGCATTAGGAACGAAAATGCTGCAACTTATTATTGGCACAAAAAGTACATGAGTGAAAATTGTACCACAAAATTTAATTTGACTCACTTGTAATGAAAGGATGCAAAACCATCGCTTTGCTCCATTTCAAATTGAAACTTCCATTCATAATATTCTTTTTTGACTTCTTTTCTCCGAGACGAACCCGTGGTCAGCATTTCCCTGTAAGTAAAAATGCTTTTCCCATTGAAAACTTGCTCTATTAAGGTCTCAATTGCCTGGAATAGGTTGCTTTTGTTAAAACAGACGTAAACAAACCATTGTAGGAATAAAACTTCACGCAAACATTTGATTATTCTAATCGCAATACAAGACTAAGCAAGAGCTATGGGGAACTCGTGAAATCAAAATTGAGGGTCGTAGTAAACAATAAAACACAAATGACGAAAAGTAAACAATAGTGTGAAGTAAAGAAAACCACTGACACTTCAAACAGTCGGCTGTAAACCGGTTTCGCCTAATATCAGAGCTCATCAGTACAGCTAGACTGAATAAGGACCTAAAGCTGACCTAGGGCCAGCAGTTAGGCTCTCAGTGGCAATGCATGTGGGAGGTAGCGTTATCAATTTTTTATCTTGCTGCAAAATGAGAACCAACCGTTTCATCTGCAAGTGAATTTGTTTCCATTGAACGAAAACAGACCTCATCCTTTGCTTTCTCTTTCTGTGTAAAACCGTCGTCCACTGAAAAGAATTAAGATAAAATTGAGAAGTATCAAGATAAAATAAGCAAATATTATAAGGACTTAAAAGATAGATAATGGATTTCCCGTCTGTAATTAGGATACTTTGGTAAACTATAAAGATTCTTTATCTTTTTGCGGAGAAAGTATAGATCTTATAGGTCATGGAGTGAAGTATACATGAAGTGAAGGCTATGTTTCAACTCAGCAAACTTCAAATAGGAACGACTGATTATGTGTAGCTTGAGTATGGCACGAAAACGTACAAACATTTTTCTTCATAAGAAAAAACTATTTTTTACCAAGTAAGTATCAGGGTGTAAAATTTCGATCAGAACAACAAGTGATTCAATTTTTTCGGATCGAAACGAGCCAATAGAAATACAGGACCCAAGATCTACAACCAATCACCGTCCTCTTACATGGGATGCTGTTGAAATCCTAAAGTAAAGCTACAATCCCGGACAAAAATAGCTCAAAAAGTTGATATTTTCTCTTTCTTTTAAAAAAACATATTGGATGCAAGCTACTGAAGCACAAATGATAGAATTACAAATCAAATATTGATTTGGGGGGAGTGACGGGGTTCGAGTTTACAGGGGTGGCAATATAAAGTAGAAAACTGCAAAAATCCATCTTTAAAATTTTTTTCCAGGATAGTCTACACGAAAAAAGATGTAAACAGGATAGTCTACACGAGAATTATACTCAGGGTGTTACGTACCTTGACCCAGGCTTTTGCCAATCGCCGAGAATTGTTTTTTTGCACAACTTCTTCAGTTTCAATGCTACTTCGTCGATATTCCTTATACCATGCAACAATGCATTTCTTCATTATGGTTTTGCGGTTGAAATCAACTGCTAATTGATGTAGTCTTCGAGGAGACGAATCAGTCGCATCAAGTGAGAAAGATCCCTCGTCATCATAATGATCATAACGATATGTGAACTTCGGTGTACTTTGGAACCTACCGCGAAAAACTTTATCAAACGAACCGTCTTCACTTGCGGGTCGGCCTAAACTACGATCGCTCACACTTTTTCGGGATCCTGTCTCTTCCAAATCTAAAGTGGTTACCCTTGTGAGATCTACAGATCCTGTTGGAGCATTATCTATTTTCATTACGTCACTATCATTATTTTCGACGTCTTTAGAAATGTCATTACGACTCAGTGAAGAAGCTAATAATATGCGATTCAAGATTATGTCTGCCCGATCTAGTATGGATTTAGGACTGTGTCCGGAACTGATTTTAGCTTCTTGTAAGAGGGAGTCGTCTCGCAATGTCTTCAACGATCGCTCGATTTCCTCAATCAGGTTATCTTGATCAGTTACATCATGATCAGCAATGCCGTTTGAATCAGACATCAAAGGAATTAACTTATGGTCATGATTTCCTACGCTTTCCTTACTGCTACTTTGATTAGCAGTGATTATTGTCCGCGAATTCCCGCCTTCATTCCCACTCATCGATTCGTTTGCTGAGCTAAAAGAAAAGTTTGAGAGACTGAGTTCGCCATCAGACGATTTCCGTTTCTCATAGCAATTTACATCGTGATTGCTTTGCTTTGATCCACACTTCGAAATGCCAGAAAGATCTATTGAAGCTGGCGAATTGATCGAGTTAAACAAGTCATTTCCAAATCCATCCTGTCGATATGCTATTTCTACCCTCGAATTATTACGCGAGCTTCGAGCAACTTCTGCTAAACTGGTGTGATGTGAATAGGTGGAATCTGCATCTGGATTAACCATTGTCGACTTACTGAACAGATCAGCATCGCTATAGTCGCCATGATTGTAATCATAGCCATTTGCTGTTTTGAGAGCTGGGAAGCTTTTTGAAAGAAACTCGGAATTCAGCCCAGGTCTTTCACGATTCGTTGAATTACCACTATACAAAACATGGTTTTTTGATCGAGGATCTGTTTTCCCTTTAACTTGTGCATCATAATTCCCTATTCGGGTTAATAAACGATCAGTACTCTTTCCGTTATTCTGTGATTGGCTCGCATCATGACCGTCATTAAATACTGATTCTTGATACGCTTTTACAGTCCCCCCTTTTTTTGGAGTAGACCCAGCTGCAGCGAGATCCATTGTGTCAGTTGCCATAGCATTGCGATAGGGTTCTGCAGAAGGTTTCCTAATCAGCCCAATTTCATCCAACCTCGCACTTAATTTCGCATTGTTTCGTGGTAAGGCAGCGTATTTGCCAGGCAATGGCACCCTTTGTCCGTTGTCTCGATCTGATGTCAATATGGACTCTTTTCTGTAACCTGAAAAGCTTGAATTGAATTGCTGAGCTTGATCTGTTTTTCGGTCGAGATATCCTTCCTGGAATAGAAGAACATTGAAATGAATAAATTTCACATTTCACAAATCAAATGCTTATTGATTTAACACTTAGAGAAGATCCATGTTCCATCTCTTAAGCTTTTAGATAATCGTAAGGCCAAAGGTATCAAAATGAAGTAGGCCTTAGCATCCAAAAACATTGAAAATAATTCAAGGTGAACTCATTGCAAGATACGAGAATCAATAAGGGCTAACCAATTTTAGCATTCCGAGTCGCTGCTACATCTTTCACAAAAAAATTTCTCAAAATCTACTGAACGAAAATTATTATATTGTCTAAACTTTTCTTATCTTATAAACAGGCTAATTTTACTCTCTTGAAAAACCTGAGATTCTTACTAATTCAAAGAAAGAGGAAGCTGGCATTTTAACATTATAGTAAACTGAGACTGTAAAAGCTTCCTTGTTAACTAATTTGTTCATATATATTTACATATGCTGCAAAAAAATTAACGAATATAAGAAGAATATCGGCGTCTCTAGCGGAAATTCTTAAACAGACAATCGCAATTTGTGTCATGTGGAAAGCAATGAAATGCAATCATTTAAAAATTTTTGAAAAAAATCAAGTTGCATGGATGCATGGAATTAAAGTTGGTCAACCAGAATTTTGAAAAAGAGAACTTTGGTGCATTGTGTAAAGAAAGTAAAAATTACAGAATGTTAACTCTGGCACTAGCTAGGAGGATGTTATCCTTAACCCTCAAAGAAATTATTAGAATTGAGCAAGGCCTTCTCGACATTGAATCTATTTTGAGATACAGCTAAGGGGGCAGAAATAAAATACGACTGGTTGGGTGACCAATATTTTGTTTATACTGTTTTTATAATACTAAATTTAAAATGGCTTTGAAGAAAGCAAACATCTTTAAAAAATAATAAAGCTTTTCGTCTGTAACCCCTCAGTTATTGAGTATAAAACGGTTGTCTTTTTATCTAGCAGTTTTGCAATCGATCATTAAAAAAATGGGAAAAACAGTTTTCTGAGGACAGAAGAAAAGAAGAGGTTCGTTTTCACCCTTGAATTCCGGTGTTAACACTTTCTTTAGGCATGTGGTATTGATTGAGAAAACTTAGAAGTCTTGTTCACGTTTAATTGGCCTATTTCGATCCACAGCTGGGTATATAATATATATATATATAGATATTCAGAAAAAAACACTATCGCTTAAACGTTTCGACCGAAGTCTTCATCAGTAAGTCTTTTAGCAACTTTTCTTGATATCCACTGTATTAAATCTTGATATCCACTGTATAAACCTGATTACTGATGAAGACTTCGGTCGAAACGTTTAAGCGATAGTATTATTTCTGAATATCTATATTATTTTTATTTCACTCGGTGTATGAGCTTTTGATAGTATTTATATATTTATCTAGATATATTCGAGGTATAATAGATATATTCTAACTTGACATCTTTAATTACTATTTTCACGTAAAATATACTGTAAGGAACGCCAGCTTTGAAATGTTGAAAATGTTTCTCTTTTTAAAAGCTGTTTATACTGTTTCTACAAAGAGGTTGCACTACATGGAGAACAAAATCAAAATACAGGTCACCTTGAAAAATCACCAATAAAAGAACTTAAACCTGAGCACAAATCTAGATGACGATTATAAGCTATTAACTGTCCTGTGGCTGAAATAAACTTATACAATACAAAAGGACTAGCTGATAAATCAGATCTTTGCCGAATCCAATTAAAAACCTTTTTCTTTATAACTATCCAATTTTTACGGCAGGTTTTCTAATTCAAATTACCCAAAATTTAAAGAACTTGGACATCTTTCATGTATATAGTGGAAACCCGCATAAAAGAACCAGTTTTTATAAGAACATTGAGGCTGAAATTTAACCTTTAAAACCCCATAATTAAGAACCTCCAGGAGGCTGAAATTTGGAAAGGTTCTTATATATATATAAGAAAAAGGGGTTTTAGAGTAAATCAGGTTATGGTATGTTGCATTCTAATTGGAAAATCTAACAACACAAATTAATTAGATTGGTTGAAATTAAACATTAAAAAAAAGCTGGTTTAAGTGTGTCCCAGTGGCGGATCCAGACTACCGCCATTACCGCTCGAGCGGTAGTCAGATTATTCAAAAAATTATAGAAACAAGGATCATTTTCATGTTTACCCTACTACTTTAATTAAACCATATTAAATTATTGAAAATATTTGATCGCGCTGCAAACCAAGCCTTTCTTCCTAGGAACATGCCTGAAATTTCCACAGAGACAGAAATATTTTTTGATCCTTATCGCTATGGAAATTGCGTGCCAATTGCCGAGCCACATGTTTGCAAATAGAAGGCTAGCATGGGGGGATGATGAAATCATGGCTTGCTAGCTAGGGGGGTTGAGTCGGTGTAGAGCGGATTCGAGCTGCACTGAGCGGTAGTCAGCCTGCCTAAACCAATCAAATCATCAGAAATCACTGCCAACCTGGGGGGATGCATACAAATTTTGTTGACAACCAATGAACAACCGAGTTGACTACCGCTCAGATGGGGGGTTGAGTAGTACTGCCGCTCAACGCGGCTCAAATGTTACAGAAAGATGGGGGGATGCCTACATATTCTGCAAGTGGGCAAACTGTAACTTCAAAGCCGATGTGACCCATTATTGTGTACAATACACAACTATTCGTAGGAATATATTTTAAAAGAATATTAAATTATAAGTCAGGCCTACAATCTTCGCCAAAAGTATGATTCTTTGTTTAACAAAAGTTGCTCTCAATAATTGCATATTTTATCTAGCTTTTTAAACTTGTAATTTAAACTTGTAATTAACAGGTCTGATTTTCATAAGTAATTGTCCGACTAAATGCAAGTTTTAGGCGACACTTCGAAATTCTGCCAAATGTATCTTTTTTTCTAATTCTATGGTGTTCCTCGTCTAAATGCCGTAAATTTTTTTAGAATATCCATCCTCAGAATATTGAATAAGATTATTTATTTCTTCTCAAGGTTGTTGTAAGGATACATGAAATTTCAGTAAAGCACCGCTTGTGTCTTGAAAATGGTCTACATAAGAAATTATAGAAAGCAATAATCATTTTAGAAAACCGGGTGTGACCAAGAAATGGGTGTGGTCTAAAGGGTGTGGTCAACCCTCTATCTCATTTCGGCGGTAGTCAGATTTTTGGCTGGATCCGCCACTGTGTCCATTATAACTCTTGCGGTGGAAAACATTGTTAATGTATGCAAGGCCTGTACGTATATAAGAGCCTTGTTACGAACCTTTTAGATTGGAAATTAGAATAGCAGCCTGTTAATTAAGAACCTATTCAGGCTGCCAGAAACAAACATAGGTTCTTTTATGCGGGTTTCTACTGTATGTAAGGCAATAAAGTCAGGGGCTGGATATATTTTTCAAGGAATCTAACTTGTAGACAAACTGAGCAACATACTAGTTATTTAACCATATAATCTCGAACATTTTTCTTAAAGCTTTTTTGTTATGGATATTTCAGAGCGTTTTTAAAGCTTGTGTTTTGATGATAAGTCGGCGTATCTTCGGACTAGAAAGCTTTAAGAACTGAAGTATCGTAAAAAGCTTTCTATAACATAAAATATCAAGGCAGACTTTAGTGACGCTGATGTGCAAACTATTTGGAAAAATAACCCAATGCGAATAAACATAATTAGTATTGCTTCTTTATCCTAGTGCAGCCGTCTGTACTATCCCGTTTCAAAACGTTTATTCTTACTAGTTTTTAAAATTTAAAAAGCACGAGCCTCTATAAAACTTCGTTGGCCACACATCCTTAAATCGTAACAAGAAACTGACTCAAAAAAAGTCAGAAAAAAAGTCTGATAAATTCTTGCTTTTCTGGGATAATTTCTTTAATATATAACTTAATAAATCAAATAACGGAGTGTTAATAAGATAAGGTCACGACTTGGCAATATTGAATGAAACAACATGAGTGTAGCGAGTAGAAGATCAGACATTTCATCAGAGCATACCTGCTGAGTTTTCAATTGAGCTGATCAAGGAACAGTCGAAGTTGTTCACTTGAAGATGCCCGCAAACGCTGTTTGGTGTACCACCTGTTCTTTCGATATCATTAAGCGTCGGTCATAAATAGCGCTATTCAGTTTGAAGAGGCAAAAGCAAAGTTTCTTCGCGTCAACTCAATTCTTTCAAAGTCCAGTTTTGGCACGTTCAAAACAATGAAGCACGCAAGCAAATCTGTGGACAGGTTTCATGAACAAGCTGGCTTTTGATCATAAAACAAGCAACCTGGTTCTATACAACGTGTGATATTTGCAATTCTATTGTTCTCTACACAGGGACAATGTCAACAGTAACTCAAAAAGGCTTTTCTCTGCAGACAATACCGATAAATAGTTGTAATTACATATCAAATCTTAGTGTAAATCTTCCAAAGCGTCTATTTGTTCTCTAACGTATACCCATGCTCTCCTTCACAGCAACAGGTTTGAACTTCATTGGCAACAACATCGGACTTAACAACAGCTCTACGAATGTGCAACAACAGCAACTCTAATGCTAAACTATGACACGGGCCATTGGTGTTTTGAATAGATTTCAAAAGATATAATTGGCACTTAAAAGTGACCCATGGAACATAAAAAGGGCTAAAAGGATGAGTACATAGACAGAAAGCTCCCTTGAGTTAACTAAAGATACCCTTAAACTATTGATACAAACATAGAGATGGTTACAAACAGTAAAGTTCCCATTTTCACCAGCACAAAATAAAATTAATTAGTGACACCGCATCGCTTGCAGCCATAACTTCAAATTTTAAAATGTTTGAAAAGTGCTATGAAATTCAATTTTATAAATTGGAATCAGACTTGGTATTATATGATTAGATCCAACATTATTGATGTAGGCAGTAATGCTATTTCTGTGATACACTTGTGGTATCCTAGCAATGTTCATTGATACTTGTGGATAACAATGGGGGTGATTGCGTTGGCAGCAGGGATCGCGGAAGAGGGAAGATACGGGGGCTTTAGCCCCTCCCAACAAGTTCCAAAATGCACTTGAAACCATACAAAAATTGCCCTGCTTTTGGTTTTTAACATGTTGAGCCCCCTAAAAAACATGTTAGCCCCCTCAACCAGGAACATGCTCCGCGGTACCTGGCGATAAGGAGGGGGCTGTCACAACTTTACCTGTCATCCAGGTACAGCCTTGGAAATTTTAAGAACCTTGGAAATTGTGACAGTTTTCGATTGTCTGATATGGAGAGACACAGAGTTGTAAGTATGAGATGCAGCATATTCGGATGCTCTCTTGCCAAAAGTCGCAGTTCTAGCCGTTTAACCGTTAAAATTCACCACGTTTATTCATATAAAAAATACATACACATTGTAGCAATGCTGATAACGTTGGACTTTCGTCAAACCATACCTCTCCTCCTCACAAGGGTGCTTCCAAAATTACACTCAGAAACATCAATATTAACGATGGGGTTGGAGATGGAGGCAGAAAAATTGAAATTGAAACAAATTGCTTCTGAACTGGTAGTCCCCAAAAGAGAAAGTGTCAAATTCTTCACAAAATCAACTTTAAAGAAATCAGCGATACGTGATACGCGAATTTTCAAAAAGTAACCGTCATAATGAGATAAGCCTCTGGATTTTCTTAAGCCCTTTTTAAAGACCGAACAGACAGCTTGATAACTGCAAAGAAACTGCTCGACCTAGCAAATGATAACATACTAATAATGACCGAAGAAGTTAAACTTACGTTGCTTTTCCTCTCATTGTGGTCTTCTTGACGGCGCATTATTTGCCTGCCTTTCCAAGCAAATCAACTCACTTTATTGCTGAAGGAGTTTACAGAAACCGACCAGAATTACCCATTGTTGTTATTATCCTTAAAAGAAAGTTGGCAAAGAGCTTAGAAAAACCTTCAAAGCAAAAAATAAATCTCGGCGCATGTTTGAAAACAATTAGAGGTGTTTTGAGTCTACGTAGAAACAATTTTGCATTGTTCGCATTCAAATGTTGCAGAAAATCTCTTATTTCACAAAATAACAACAATTGTGTGGCTTCGAGGAATTTCTGTGGACGGAAATTAGATTGCGGTTAATATTAATATATGACACTAAAGTTCTTTGAAACTGATAAATTTCAACTTCCATTAAAAACTTGACACAGTTGCACTGAGATAGACTTTTCAAAAGTCTTTTCGTTTTTTATAAACCTTCTAAATAAATATAAAGTTTTGCACGTTCCTAAATTAAATTCTGCAACTTAATATTGTTACAAACAAAAGAAAATAGAACAATTTTATCTATGTGATACAACTGAAAGAGGTTTTGTTAGCACTGTTTTTGCTGTATAATCTACAAACAGGAAAATTTGAAACTGACTCAAAATATGTATGAATTTAGAAGGGTTTTGCTTGTAAACGGCTGACAAATGCAGTAGTGACTCTGAAATGGTTTGCAAACGAAATGGCATGATGGCACCTCACCTGATGCGCCATCCTCGGGGAATGGCCTTACATCGAAGCTTCTCTCCATGTTACATTGGACTTGGGAGCTGGATATTCCCAAAGAGACAGATACGGTATCAAAGCTCTTGGCAGGTCATATTCCCTTTAGGCCGAAAGTTTGTTTTCAACAGAGAGCATATATCCATGGTGATTATCACAGCTCACAAAGCAAAGTGTCAAATTCCGTTTTATCCTTACCGAATTGGGACACGTTAAGGAAGCACGTCTGAAGTGGCTTCCTGTTCGGATCTCTCCTCCTCCTCAGAGAACATGCATGTTGTTGGCACACGTTACATAGAATATCCCGCTTTCAAACCAAACCTCCTGCTTTCAGGAATTTTTTTATAAATCTGTTCTAAAATACCATTTCAAAAAATCTACACTAGTGCATGTAAAGTTTGCTATCGTACCTTTCTTTAAGATTCTTGAAATATAGCTTGTGAAATGTATTCTGGCTCTTGATGCAGACCTTTTCAGTTTCGTGTTCCGTGATCCAGCGAATCAGAGGCTGCCATTCGTAAGTTAAATATCTAGCTGTGAATATTTTAATCGAGAAATCACAGCCCCCCCACATTTTGTTAGTGACAAAAACATATGTTTGACTCCTCACTACAACATGAAGCTTATTGATAAATAGTTTCGCAAAAATGTAAATCTGTTTGTATGAATTGAATTATAATAATAATAATGAAGGAACATTTATACTGGATGAACACTTCAACTACCTAAAGCTTTTATAAATGTGTGTGAAAAAGAGAACATCCAAGTTCAATTTGAGCGTTAAAACTGATATACATTCAAATGTTTGTGTCATCTCGATCTTCTTCGTATTTTTATAGAAATTTGATTCGTATCAAAGTAGACTTGACTAGGGATGTAGATAAGGGACAACGTTGTACTTCACTTTTCAAGTTTACCACCTACCAATGGCTTTAAGGAAATCACTTTTTGCAAGAGCTGATTTCTAAGAATTTTCTTTGCAAATTTGGCGTGTATTTATTTTCTGCGGACGGGGCAAATTCAAAAATTTCACGAAAATTTCACGAAAAGTTATAAAAAATCTCCCGATTTTAAAGATTCTTAGGTTGGAAACGTCTGATTCTATAAAGCCCTGGGATGGTGCTCGTAGATTTTCCTCTTACTTCCTAGCCCCAACTGTGGCAAAAGGTTTTTGCAAATGTTTTTCTATACACTAAATTGGGCAAATTTAAATCTTTTGTTGAGCAAAGAAAGTAGGGGCAATGCCTCCTCTTACCCCCCCCCCCAAGCGTGAGCCCCAAACTGGAAAGAGAATGCTATGAAGCCTTTGAATTTTACTGATTGATACTAGACAAAAGGCGAAAGAAACAAAAACGAACAATTACCAAATTCAATCTTCGCTCTTTTCAATTGCAATGATAACTAAAATCAATGTACACGTTACGGCACTGAATACTTTAAGTAAAGATGAAATTTTTCTTACATTGGAAATTTTACTGAAGACTATTTGCCTGCCAGAAATTGGCACTGATCTAAATCAAATTTGGTGTTGGTCGGAGCTAGCTAATCACCTTGCTTTAGTGCAGCCATCGCTCTTACCCCCTAAATGACTCAGTTCAAAAACCTCTACCCCCTCCTACAATGGTAAAAAACATCAGAGCCTTGACGATTTGTATAGCAGCCGGGGGCTCGTGGGGGCTGAGCACCCAAAAATAAGTATTTTTCTTCCTGTTAATCACTTTTAGGAAATACAAGCGAGTACCCCCGTTGTTTTTTCAATGCTCTACACTTCTGACTCTAAGTATGCCTGTCACTGCGCGAAGAAACAATTTGGGGTTGAAGGAAAAATATCTGAAAACACCAGGCTTCGCATACAGTGTGTTAGCAAGGGAAGACGGTTACAGGGTGGACGCGAATAAAGTACATCCGTTTTAATACCATTGAAGGTAGTTAGATGCATCCTGATCTGTCCCCTCCCAAAACAAACACATTAAAATTTCAAACCTTGAATTTCCAAACAATCAGGGATGGAAATTGTGGGCTAGTTTTTCTGAATTGTCGGTTAAACAAAATATAAGCGCTTTTGTCACTAAATTTTATCATTGGTAGGCAAGTTGCTTGTTGTTGGAGGTTTTGACTCCCCCACCTGAAAATTGAATTTCCACTTCTGGAAACAATAACAGACAATCAAGTCCCTTAGCAGTTAGGAATTTATAGGTGCATTGTCTGTTGAAGTGCCAAAAATGAACCAAAGTCCAGCAGCTATCTTCGCATCCTGCGCCTTCCTTTAACAGTTGGTCGGGTTGATCCAGATCCAATCGCAAATGCTCCTGCTTGGAGTTGCGGGGTGTTCATGATATCACCAGCAGCGGGCGGGGCACTGCCGAATTGAGTAGGGGTACCAGGTCGACTAGTAAAACCTTGAAGGGAAAACAAAGGTATGTCTTTAGGAACAACAAAACTTGCAGATATATTTGCAATATGTTTTTATGCTTCAATTCGCTGGGTTCCAAAAGGGGGATCAGTGTTCCGTTATAGTAATACTTTATGATAATTACAATGCTTTAAATTCCTTTCATATTTCTTTCAAATTATTTCACTTTCTTCATTGCATTATATCAACACTACAAGAAAGGGGAAAATTTTGAAAATTTTATAGCACAGAAGGGCCCTTGTTAAGTGCCTAGAAAAGATGCCTAAAAACGATTCTTCTGACAATCTATGACCTGTTTGTGGGGTGTGCATTCAAGTTGAACAATATCAAACTCTCAAGCAAACAAACAGATGATCAAGTTAAACGTCACAATATTCTTCTTAAATAAACTACATCTTGTGTTATTACAGCAGAGAATAAAACATCCCTCGACTGTCAATTTAAATGTTAAAACTGAAACCAAATTAAAATTTTTTTAGGTACTTTATGTCAAATTTAAGAGGAACTATCTAATGCGATATTTCATCCGGCAGACAAGTTCCTCGTTTTATAGGTTCCCGAAAATAAAACTGTTCATGCCTACTTGATTGAATATTGTTATTTGATAAATTTTCTAACCTACTAGTCTGCTACCTAGCCAAAACAAACTAGAGAGAGCAAGAAACACTCGATACTTAAGCCTGATTAACACGAGACGAATTTTTCGCGCGAAGCGAATTTTTCGCCACGAATTATTTAGCTGCGGATTTTTCTCTCGAATTCGAAGTTCAATTTACACTGACGAAATTTTTATGCGAATTCGCTGCGAAAATTACAAAAGAATATAGCGACTGTCCGAAGAGTGCTCTTATCAGAAAGCTTTAAATTTATCAAAAAAGCGATACTGGATAAGAAGGTGGGAATTCCATCTTTCGGTAAGAGAGGTTTACGTTTACATTTATAAGACCAGTATAACTTCTTCAAATACTTTCAAAGGTCGCTATCGAAACTTGCACAAGCATGCGAGATCCTGTTCGTGCATCTGCTTAAAACTGTTGCTCTTGAGCAGGCCAATAAGCAGGCAACAATTCAGCAATTTGAAGAAATTCTTGCCTATTTTATTTCTGGCATATTGGTAGAACGACGAATCTTTCAAGCCAGTTTTCATCAATTTGAAATTCAAATGTTTGAATAATAATCTGATATAAATCAACTTACATGGATTGTGTACAAGGAACAGGAAATGAATAATTACCAACCTATTTTAGTGACGTTTTAAAGGCGAGAGTGTTTGAGACTTAGGGAACAGGAAATGAATAATTACCAACCTATTTTAGTGACGTTTTAAAGGCGAGAGTGAAACTTAAGGATGGCCTTCTGTACATCCCTGATAAATTTCACTAGGGATCGTCAAAGGCATTGAGTCATGATAAAAGAAGAGGGTATACTCAAACATACCCAAATATCTGAGTCATCAATTTCGTGCTGCAATGCTATTGGTTGGTCAGACACTGATCATATGAAGTTGCCTCGTACTGGTTTGAAAGCAGCTTATGTCAATAGCAAGTTGTCAATAACGGATGCTGATATCACATTTACCTACACCGATCACCCCGAAAAAGAATGCCTATATATAGAGAAGGTCTTTAACACGAATCAATGCCTTTAAACATTGGGAAGAATTTTCAAAATGTGCGTGAATTAACTCACCACTGTTAGCTCCTCCGGCACCACCTCCAAACGAAAACGCTGCTGGTTTGGAAGCACTGACGGCAGCACTGAAATCAAAGCCACCCATCTGACTCGGGGCATTATTTGCACCAAAAGCAGAGCCAGCTCCAAAATTCGTTGGGTTACTTGAAGGCTGTCCAAAGGCATTTTGGGTTGTAGAGCCAAATGAGAAGCCACCTGCAGTGGTTACAGGGTCGGTTGGTTTAGATTGCCCGAAAATAGAGCTGCTCCCAACAGAGCTGCTCCCAACAGAGCCGCTCCCAACAGAGCCGCTCCCAAAGGGATTTTGTGTCGCATTTGACTGTCCAAAGATAGATCCTGATCCAGCACTGGGAGTTGCATTAGCTCCAAAAGAAAACCCGCCAGTTGTTGCAGAGGCTTGAGCAGGGTTTCCACTGCCAAAAACCGGTTTACTTCCACTGCCGAAAGAAAAGCCTGTAGATGAAATGGGAGTTCCAAACATCGACGATGAAGAGGTTGTCACTGCTGGCGTAGAGCCAAACATCTGTCCTCCTGGTTGGCTATTTTGGTCAAATAAAGTGCCAGTGGTACTCAAAGTAGGAGCGCTTGCTCCGAAAACAGAATTACTGGCACTTGTTGGTTTTGTTATTGACGCAAAAAGTGCAGGAGCAGCAGTTGCAGGCTGTGTTTGAGAGCCAAAAAGGGACGGGGTCTGATTAGCAGCTTGGGCACCGAAAACGGACGGCTGTTGTGTTGCACTTTGGGTTGCACTGCCAAAGACATTTTGGGTAGTTTGGAGTGGATTAACTGCAGCACCAAAAATATTAGTAGTTCCAGATGTAGATGCTTGTGCACCAAAAAGATTACCATTCTTGGAAAGGGCTGTCTGAAATAAGGTCCCTGCTGTAGTTGACGCTGGAACATCTGTTCCAAACATGGGAATATTTGCAGAAGTCTTTCCTGTGTCAGATGAGACGCTTTTTCCAAAGGAAAATCCACCGATGCCTGCTTCTCCTTGCTTGCTGTTATCAAATTTGAATCCACCAAATCCGGCTGGTTGGGTTGTAGAAGATGTTGGTAAAGACGGTTTTGAAGAACCAAAGCTAAATCCGCCAAGGGAGGCAGAAGATGTGCTGGCTGTCTGGGACGAGGATGCTGCAGATGAGCCAAAACCGAAACCAGAAAAGGTAGAGGAAGATGTAGCCGCAGCTGCAGTATTAGAAGATGCAGGAGCTGTGGGTGTACCAAAGGTTATAGAACTTGTTTTTGAATCAGAAGACCCCGAGCCAAAAGAAAAGCCAGTAAAGGGTTTAGGTAGTGTGTCAGATGTTGTTGGTAATGAAACAGAAGCAGATGCTTGTGAGTTTCCAGTTGCTAGTGAGCCCCCAGTTATTTGTGTCCCTCCAAAACTAGCGGTTGGAGTACCCTGCTTTGTCTCTATTGAACCAAATGTAAGTCCTCCAAAAACTGTAGCATTTGCTTGAGATTTCGCTACAGAAGGCAGTGAGGCACTAGATATATTATTTGCCGGTGTTGATAATGCCACTGATGATGGTTTTGGTGCAGTGTCTAATTTTTGTCCAAATGTAAAGCTAGTGGCCACTGAAGACGAGGAGGTGTTTGAAGTTGGCGTTCCAAAAGAGAGTCCACCAGCAGCTATGGGTGCCGTGGGTAGTGCAGCTGCCCCAAAGGTAAACCCAGTTGTCGACAAAGTTTGGCCTTGAGAAGATACTTGGGCGGTTGATTCTGTGTTTTTAGACTGAGAATCCAGAGGTGTCTTTGCACCTGAAAAACTGAATGAGCCAAAAGGCGGTGTATTTGTTGTATTTGATAAACCAGCGGTAAGGCTCGTTATCAACCCCGAAGGCTGCTTAACCTCATTAATCTCCTTAGACGTAATTGGTTCCTTTGATGTTTCTGATTCCGATGCCTTCTGCGAGGCTCCTCCTGAAGCAAATGATGTGGGTTGAAGACCAAACTGAATACTAGAGGTCGTTGAAGGTGTCAAGGACGATAGCGATGTAGAGATCAATTTAGTTACAGGTGTATTGCTGTTTAGCTCTGGCGTGACAGTAGCTGTTGTCTTTTCAAACGAACTTTGAGTTGCAGTAAGAAGCGACGTTGTTGTCTGGCTTGCATCCACTGTCGACGCAGCAGCGGTAGAAACTAAAAATCAAAATATTTACAACTCACTTGGGAATCACTGCACAACTATTGATAGCACTTTCCCGTATCGTACAACAAATTATTCTTGAGGCAGTTTAGGCGACAGGTGAATGCATTGATTGAATTGATATTGAGGAAAATGCCAATAGATCCAAACAGACAGCTTTGCCTACCAACTTTGTTTACCAAAATTATTAGCAATGAGAGCCAATCTAAAAACTTAATATTGAAAGGCTAAACATAAGCTACCATTATGTGCCCCCTTCAATAATCTGATGTGTGAAATATACTGCGAAGGAGACAGAAAACCTCCATTTGGGTCCAGGGCTCCGGGACACATTGTGAGAAGGTCTTACTATATTTGGCATTTCCGGAATCTTACCATATTTGGCATTTCCGGAATCTCTTCGCATTACGCCCTCCCGCCGTCGGTATTGATTAGAGTTAGATGCACGAGGCATGGAGAGAGGTTCTCTCTCTTGAGTATAAATAATTACCTATAATCATCATATATATATATATATCTTCTAGTTAGAAAACATGTGTCTCTCTGTGGTACATACCTATGTCCCGCCCAAGTCACACAAAAATAAACGAATAATTAAGAGTAGTAAGAAAAAACTTGCTTTTTAAAGTTTGAACTTGACTAACCTGCTATAAAGAACTAATCATAAATAGTCGTAGAACTGCAATAAACTGAAATTAGAAAAGTGAGTTTCTTGGCAAAACTACTCAATACACAGGACTTTGTTCCCTTTCTGAGGTAAATTCTTAAATTAAGTGTTAAAAACTACCTGCGCTCGTACGATCAATCTCTTCGTCGTCTTCACCATTGATAAAAGCAATTGTCCTCTCTAATGCGGCTTTCTTATCTGCTTTGTAAGCTTCGCATGTCACTCCGCGCTCTCCGTATTCTTCTCGTCCCATCTAGGTAAAACAATACACACTCTTACTCTGGTACAGTATACCAAATTTCAAAATAGTACAGAACAGCGGACAAAGTAGCATATTAACGTAAGTATTTAGCGTATCATTAAGTCCACACAGTGTGAACGTTGGACAACCAAAAGGAGAAGCAGAGACATATTCGCAGGTGAGATCAAATATAACATGAGAGATTGAAAGAATTAAGATAAGAACGGGGCGATTCATTGGTTCCTTGTTTTTGATCAAACAGCAACCGCTAACCCCTCACATTGCAGAAGTATTCAAGTGAGAAAATCAATCTACTCTCCCTGCCTATATACACAAGGATTTTATTTATCGTCAGACTCTACCCTGCTCGCACAATGATGGACGGAAACAAACTTTTATGACTGCCTGTTAAAGGTGAACTGACACGCAAAACTATTTTTTGATATAATGCAGAAAACGATGCATGGAATCTTATTTTCAAGTTTTCGGTTAATTATTATTGTCCGTTTTGACGCAATTCCGCTCTAAATGTCATGAAATTATCGTTGAGTGTTCGACCATTGTCGGCATTTCATGTGACCCAGCGCGTGTGACGTCACAAACACCATGTTTTGATTCCTTGAATGGAAATCACGCATGGACTGGACAGTTCAGTTCATCTTGTTCAGTTACTATTCGAGGAGATATACGTAGCCTTTGATCCAAGATACATGAAAATTCGAGGCTAATGATATATACGAAGGATTTGTGCTGGCTGGTACTGCGTTATATTAGCAGGGAATTTAGTTTGGAAGGAATAGACACTTTTAGCTGCTCGAAGAAATTCTCAATTCTGAAGTTAATCATGTGGACGAATGTAAGAATCTTTTCATTTTATCATGAATCTAGCTTCTTTTTCGAATAAATTCAATATATTTTTTACTTCGATATACATCCATATAAATCATGAACGTTATTTTATTTTGGGTTTGCAAACTCATCGGTTCACCCGAGTTACAGGGGTGCAGCGGCCTGGGAGTTGAAAATTTTACTAAGATGTTTTCCTGCAAATAGCGAAGCGATTGTACCAGGTGCTTAACCCCTGAAAATCTTTCATGTGATTGAATAAAAAATATGCCGAAAATGAGTGACTTTAATTCGAAATCTTTACTGCGTATATTGAAGTTAACCAGGATCAAAGACCGAGATTAACTTTTGGGGGGAGAGGGGAAGCCCTGATAAATTAGTCTAACAGCAGCCGTATTTAACAAAATATAAGTATTTTACTAAGTTTATCAGAAAATAAAAAATCCTTCCAATATTTTTATCGCTACCATTATTTGATATGTTGGCCCGCCACACATTGGGTCCTGCAAGACGGAGGAAGGGCCTCAAACGCGTTGAATAATACGATATTTTTGCAAATCTTATTATGAACGGTTTGTAAAGGAGTCATGATCTGTTTTCCTATCAGATTGTCGAAATGGAGCCAAAACCTACTCAATTAATGTATCGATGCTCATCCGCAAAGTCATGAAAGTACCACCCTCCAGACTGCCGTGTTGTTCAAGTGATGTGAACATGGTGTTTGTGACGTCAGGATTATGCGGAAGGCTCGGGCAAACTCGTCCGTGCTCGGGAAATGTTCGGTAGCTAACTTTGACGCTCAATAACTCGAAAACTGTGTTGAATATTAAAAAAATAATAATGTACCAGGTATTTTTGCTCGATATGCTTTCATTTGAGGTCAAGTTAATTTTGCGTGTCAGTTCACCTTTAATAGTCTGGGTTGACAGTCTTATAGTTAAAAGGACTGAATTTAGACGGGGGTAACGACACTTGACATTACCTCAATGTTTTCAATATCAGCGAGCGAGCCGGTATAGATGGGAATCCTTTGTCTCTTTTCCGGTGTCCGGCTTTTAAGGTTGGATGGAAAACCAGATGTTAGTACCCTTTGGAAAGATGTCTGCAAGCAGGAAAAAAGAAAGCTTAGTCGCATACCAATGCCGAAGAAATACACATTGCAGTTGTACCAGATGGAATATAAAGCAGTAATATGCAGCACATGGGTGAACATTCGAGGATCTTTTAACATTCAGCATTCAACGCAATCAAGAAATGATTATTTTGATACATTTAAGCAGCTCTTACTTGGTAGTAGTATACTTGGGCTCGTTTTATGGTCACGGCACCAAAATGTCAAACACCATATGACAAAGTACCGTAAATCCTCGAATAAGCCCCCCCCCCTCGAATAAGCCCACACCTAAAAAATCATTTTTGCAAATAAGCCCCCCCTTGAATAAGCCCCCATGGGCGCTTATTCGAAGTAAGCATAATTGCAGAATAATATCTGATTTCAAGAAAGCCCCCACAGGACAATAGCTATACAGTATAACTTCCTTTGACTGGAGACCAAAAAGCAAAAAAGCGACTTTTGTGATGATAAAAATTATAATATTTGTTAGTTCTTTGTTAGATTTGCTAGAAAAATAATGTCGTTTTTATGTCGACCTTTGGGGAAAATACTAAACTTTGAAATAAGCTCCCCTCTAATAAGCACCCCCCTCGAATAAGCCCCCACCCAAAAATTTATTTTTGCAAATAAGCCCCCGGGGGCTTATTCAAGGATTTACGGTAATCAAGTTTTGTTATTTTTACAATTAGCATTTTATCATTAGTTTTTTTATTATTATTATTATTTATTATTAATACTTTGATTTAAAGTTGGCTGTTCGAAACAGCTAGAAATAAAAGCTAATTAAGGCCAACTATTTACAGAAGGTGTATACAAAGGAAATACATAATAATTACAAAAGTCCTAAACCATATATAAAAGTTTTGCAAATCCTACAGTTGAAATGTTTGCATTTTGTTGTCTTAAGATGTTTTTTAAAAACAGTCAAAGAGACTAAAGTTTTCACTTCTTTAGGTAATTTTGCCCATATTCTTTGACCCATGAACCTTACGGTGTCTGTACCATAGCATTTGGTTCTCACTTTTGGTAGGTTTAAATTGCTCGAGCTTCTTAGTTGATACGGCATTGCCTTTTCCTCAAAAATTTCCATCATAAACGAGGGCCATTAGTTTTTTGGTGATAACGGAATTGGAAGAAGAAGCTAAGGCCTTTCTAGAAGAGCAATGGGGCGAACATGCAAATGCGGCTTCCTCGAATATTGACAAGGAAAATATGAGAAAATATTACACCCATATCTACAGCACCACCCACATTCTCTCACATCACCCACCACCATTCCCTGCCCCACTTCCATCATCCCATTTTTTTCTCCACTGCGCTGCATTCACACCATTCAACATCCACCAATCCGGTATCACCATCTCACATTTCAAATTCATTCACTCGATCGTTTCATTTACTCTGAGAAGCCCTGTATGCCGGGGCGAAATATTAGTATTCGTTTAATTTAATTTATTTTGGAAAATTTATCTCACAACATTGGATTCTCGTCGCCGCTTTGCTTTGTTTCTGAATTTTATCCTCGTATTTATATTATACTGATTGCAAGATTCACAGAATCCGGCGGACAGCCTATCCTGCGGTTCTTCCTTCTCACACATAATATGAGAAATCCTATGAAAAAATTGACGGTTTAGAAAGCCACCCAAGCCTAACCTCTTCCAATCTTCCAGTCGTTCTTCAATGTAGCGAAGTATCAAATATGGCAAATATAGAAATCTCACCGTCTTAGAAAATGGTGATTTTGGACTTTCAATGTAATTCTTCTGGGTTTCCTTTTCGTTCTCGTCATCAATTTTGGTTGGAGTTTGTGTTTCCACAGATCGCAAAGGTGTTTTCTTTTTCCCTGGAGTTTTCTTTGACTTTGGCGTCTGTTTGGTGTCTGAAGTAATAATAACATTGAACAAAATTGAATATAGTAAACTATATAGCATTGTATATAGTAATACATAACACAATATTGAAGATTAGTTACAAAACTGTTTTCATTCACAGCGTCTTTCCTCTACTACAATGCCTGCCAAAAGTACTTGGAACACCCACCAATTTACGCTGCATTTGATATCTTTCGTTCCTTTCATGAAAAAAATTTGCTACTTCCGCCCCCTTCCCCCTCAAACAATGTTGATGATTTAGAGAAATATCATAAATGAAGCGCAAAAGAAAGTGCTTCCTAAAATCCTAATCCGTTTGATGGTAAACCAACATTGTTCCGTGGGGGAGAGGGGGATGATTGGTTTTGACCTTGGAAATTGATGTCAGTGTTCCAAGACTTTTGGCAGGCATTGTCTGAAAATTATCTTGAAAACAGCAATCTGCGATATCAAAACATTGTGCTACCCTAGGGTTTTCGATGGTGCTGATCTCACTGCTACTAATGAAAATTCGAAATTTTCACTCTTTACCCAGTTAAAAGGGGGGGAGGGGGTTGGGACTCTGAACGATTGATATAGTAGATATCCGAGTATTGTTATTTGTTACAAAAACATTCTACTGATTTTTTCCGTCAATATCATTTAAATCATTATTGAATACAGTTATTTTGTGCAGATTTCGATCATCGGTTTAAGAAAACTATCAATCTTCAAAGGAAAAACAGTACAGTTTAGTGCTTTTGAAAAAGTGTTTTTTTTGCTGAAAAGTCCCCTTATTTATGGTTTAATTGTTGATGAAAAAACAAAAAAATTCATGAGAATGTCTACAAACCATGCATGATATAAATAATTGCGAACAACATGCTGGTGAGAAACTGTTCAAATTGCTCAATTTTATCCACCATAACCCTCTCAAAACCATCTACGAATTTAATAAATTTGCTTAGACTATGCTCCTTCGCATTCACATGTGGCAACATGGTAGCGCTCATAGACACCCCATTCCCTATTATTTTCTATCTTCCCTTGTCCCAGTAATTGGAAAATGGTTTGTGCCAATTATAATTGTTCGTTTTTCATTGTTAAAGTATGCTAGGAATTGAAAGAACGCTCCTTTCCTAATGGGCACGTGATGTAGTATGAAAATGCCTATTGCCAATGGTTACCAACGGTCTACAGCCACGGTCTACACATTTAAAATGTTCATAAAAATCGTATTTTTCAAAGAAAGTAGACGAAACCTCGTCAGTAGGTGTGCATGGCTAGTATAAAAAATATTGTAGGTTTTCAGATCGATACAAGTTGTAAAACTGAAGAAATTCAGGAAAGTGTCAACGGTCTACACTTTCTGAGAATTGAATTTGAAGTACTCTAGATCTTATTCTCCTTTTGAGTGTAGACCGTGGGATTTTCGTCATATTTTGCCGTTTTCTTCATGGAATTCATACAAAGGTTAATTTTATCTTTGAGGGGTATTATTATACACCTTTTGGGTGATTTTGGGGCAAACCTCCCCCTGACAAGTCAGAAAATTGCGAAGAAACAGCCACGGTCTACACAACGGTCTACAAGCGTTCATTTCCGAGGGTGAGAGTTGCCTTGCGGGGCCTTGTCCTTCACATCGACGCGCGCTACATTCGATGAAATAAGATATTTTGTTGTGGCAAATGTCACGCAAACAAATACAGCAATCAATTAACGATGAAATAATCTGCCTTGCGCTTTATGAAGATAAAAGTAGCAGGTAGAGTCTAACTTAAAGGCCATTTTGGCAATGCAGTAACAGTAGGGAAGAGGGCTTTCTTTGTAGTGCTTCTGGGCCAAGCATTTAGGAGCGCAGGAAGGCGAGTGGATGTCAGTTTTATTTCAGTTCCCTTACCAACCAACATGGAATAGTAGATCAATCAGTTGGGAACTCTGATGTGGGAAACACGGGGTTCCTTTCTACAATTTAGGTAAACACTCTGAAATTTGTCATTTGGGCACTGAATTGCACAACAAGGGCCTATATGAATGACAACTTGTAAATCCGTGATAAAAGGAGAGCAACTACCCGACATAATTCTCAAATACGACCTTATCTATAATTAGAAACATGAAACAGAGGAATCGATGTCACTTTTATAAAATTGCATCCTTTCCATTTTTAGATTATTTTCTAGCTGCCACTCATATTTGTCTCCTTCATCTATCCCATTATTTCTTAGACAGCCATCTGGCTACGAGCCTTTGAAAAGATTCAAAATACAATCTTGATCCTATTTATTGGAAATCGATTTTGATTTTAGCAATTTTCACCTTAATTGAAATATGGCATTTAGTTTTATGGGGGTAGCTTACCCCCACCCCCGAAAAATAACAATACCCCCATATCTCCTTATCGGTAACACGTACGATGTTGAAAATGGCAGAAATGGAATCAGCACCATCAAAAACCTATAGGAGGATATTGGTTTTGGTGGAATATCTAATAAGCTTCAAAATGAAATTCAGACAATGCCTGCCAAAAGTACTTGGAACACCCACCAATTTACGCTGCATTTGATATCTTTCGTTCCTTTCATGAAAAAAATTTGCTACTTCCGCCCCCTTCCCCCTCAAACAATGTTGATGATTTAGAGAAATATCATAAATGAAGCGCAAAAGAAAGTGCTTCCTAAAATCCTAATCCGTTAGATGGTAAACCAACATTGTTCCGTGGGGGAGAGGGGGATGATTGGTTTTGACCTTGGAAATTGATGTCAGTGTTCCAAGACTTTTGGCAGGCATTGTAGGAGCAATATAAGAGTTCAACATTTTTGTGAAAGGATTATGCTGAAGGAGCAATAGATCTATTTTATGCCTTGAAAATCAAAATGTCGCCTACTAATTATAATGCTTACCTTTGGAAATTATCCGACGTTTAAACTCAAAAAGCACGAAAAATACTTCAGTATATGAAATTTGTCCGCTTTTTTATGCTAATTTTAAATTATAAATTTGCATTGAAATGTTTGCTCAGTATTTCTCTAAGAATGATAAAGAAGGAAATAACAATTGTGTTACTATTTCTCGATGCATGTAGTATTCTATAAATTCGCCCTTAATAGCTACCTTTACGATCATAACTTAGGAACGTCTACGTCATATTTTAGAAAATTTCTTTGCCTTTTATGCAGCTGCATCACATAAAAAGAAACGTTGCTTTTCGAGAATTTCCCGACTTTGATGCAGCCAATGGTAATAAGGCTAGATCGTTTTGGAATCAAAATAATAGAATATAAACACAAACCTTTACAAATTTTAAAAATCTGCTCTCACAATACGTTGAAAAAATGTATATAAATATATGTAAAAGTATAAAAGTATATATAAATTTTGTGAATCTGCTCTTAAAAGAATAACCAAAATTGCATCTTCTTGCAACGGAGGGGCAATCAAAATATACTGTCCTTCGCTAACATCATCGTTAGCCGCTTGCGCATGTGCCAGACGCTGTCAAATGCAGCGATTAAACGTGTCACATGATATCCCACACAGATCCTTAATCACTGTCACAATAGCCCGAAAAAACGGAAATGTATGATAAAATGGTATGACATGCTTACGCTATTCCACGCCATCTTTATTATCTCTAGTTGATAAACTCTTAAAGCAATTAAAAAATTTTTTTGTTCTTACCTGATTTTTTTGTAATTTTTCTAGCATCTTCTCGATTTTTCTTTTCCTTTGTCAGAATATCACTATCTTCTGGAGCTTTTCTTTTGGATTGTTTTTTATCAACTTCCATCTAGAGTAAATAAGACTCAATTATAGAGCTAAAAAACATAAAATACATTTCTAGTGTCAGCTGCCACTGCATATTAAGAAAAATGTCGACCTGTCAACTGTGAGGGACATTTTTCTGTCAACCCATTATTTTAAAGAGAATCTGTCCCCTCTGTGATTGGCTGATTCTAACTTGAAGCCTCCCCTTTGAAGGGTCCTCCTCTGCCTTTTTAGTATCCGACAATAATTATTATGGGTGAACACGACAAAAAATGCCTAATATTTATATCATTGAAACTGAATTATACGTTTGACACAAGAACAAAATTCACAGCAACTCGCTCAATGAAAGTGCACTGTTGTCCCTCTTCATTCTGATTGGTTATTTGTGCATTAAACCAACGATGCATGAATTTCATAGCCATGAAAAGAGACCCCGGAAACAAAGGGGAGCAGACTGCCAATAGTTTGGTATGTATAAAAAGTTACAAAAGGCGGAATAACAAAACTAGCAATACAACAAAATAAAATGATTCAAATGATTCATATCCAATATTATTAAATTCATCGCCTTGGACAGGTTTTAATTCGAGATAGAAATAGCAACAACAAAAAACAATGGCAACCCACTGTTTTGGGGACGTTGGAAGCGCTTTACAGAATCTTCTCTCCACTCAGAGGTACAAAATAATCATAGACGGACTAAATATAGCTAACTTACATTTTCTTCTTCAGATATTGAATCAACTTCATTTTCATCAATTCCATATTTGTTTTTCTTTACAGGAGTTTTCACAACATCTTCATCAGCTGTATCGTCATCTTTTTTCATTTCATCCTTTCCATATCGATGTTTTGACAGTGAACTTTGCTGAAAAGACGTCCCTTTTGTTTCTTTACTCAAAATCTTTTCATTGTTAAACTGATCAACTGTTGTCTCAAGAATCTCACTCTGAATTCGCCTGTAAAATAGAGTAACCACGATTCAAAGAAAGTGGCAACAAACAATCTTTTCATCCAGTGCTTGTCACAAAATTCAACACTGGAAAGTGGCAAAAGCAGGCTCTCACTGGCTTATTTCCACTATAATTTCTTTGTCATTAAAATCTCTTCAAATGCATTTTTCATCTAGAACCAACAACTACTTTAGAAGTTTGAGGACAGTGATTTAATGGGCATTTATCTAAAACATATAGTTGCACCCTTTAGGGAATGATAGATACAGTGACAAAATACTGCAATTCCATTTGTGTCCAGTGGCGTGCTGGGGGTGAGACCGCAAAGAGGGCAAAGGGTCAAAATGACGCCCCTCATTTAGCTATCTTCGAATTTTCCTTCAAATTTTTGAAATGTGCAGAAATATACGAGAGTTCAGAAGCACGCTGATCTATATCTATCTATCGGTGGCGTACTGGAAGACCTTCAAATGAGGGGAGATAAAGTAGTCAATAACTGACAGGACGTGATAGAGAATTTTCAAATTGAGTATGTTATTCATTGTAATACCTAACAGTATTTTTTAGTATCGTTGTAATAGCGGCTGTATTATCAAACAGTACAACAATGACAATTAAGGCCGTCACTGTTGAGGGAGGGTGGGGAGGGGCGGGGTAGGGAGGAGGCAGTAAGATCGTTCAGGAGTTTAGTGAAGACCGTCACCATGGTTGGTGGCAAAAAATTGCAAAGAAGACGTTCTAGGGATTGTCAGAAAATGTATCCAAATATTTACAACATAGCTCTAGAATCACTGAAGATCCTGGAAAATACAACACCCATAACCTTTCTTCAAAAAATGGCCCAGAGGCAGCTGCAAGGCAGGCCTTGTTTCGGTTTATCACAGATTTGCCTGATTGACAAAATTTACCTGAAATTCTTTAGGTTTAATCAACTTTTTGTTGTCGTTGCTTAATGTTTTTCAGCTCATGCAACACAATTTTCTTCAGATTGGGACATCTTCAGATTCTCTCAGCTTTTTCTTCCTAGCATTTCTTATCATTTCAGTCAATCAGAACTCCTTGCACCCTCCCAATAATTTCACAAAATGGCACCGAATCTGAACTTTTACCGCCAAGCCTAAAGTTAGGGACGTTGGAAGCGCTCCTTGGCCCCCTGCCAGAATGCAACTATTTGTATCTACTTAAAATCATTGCCAACAGTGTTTGAAACTGTTTATGTTGTATTTTATATCTTTCATTCCTTTTCAGAATAAAATTCCTACTTCCGGTCCCTTACCATTGGTGAACAATGTTGAAATTTAGACAAATATCGTACAAGAAAAATAAATAAAGGGAACTTCCTAATGGCATAACCTGTTTTATAGCAAGCCAACATTGTTCGTGAGGGAGATGGGGATCACTGAGATTGACCTATGAAACTGGCGTTAGGGTTCCAAGACCTTTGGCAGCCTTTGTAGCAGCTGAAGGTACTTTTTAGAAAAGTGAGAAATTATGCATATCAAGCAATATCCTGGTTCTCAGTCTCAATGCGACCATGATTTTCATGATTCTCACCTCAAGATTCTTACGCCTAGAATTATGGAATGCCGACGATTCTGCCACTCTACCACAATTCTATGGCAAGGACTCAAAGCCTAGACCTTTAACTAATCTGTGATCAGGCCTTGACATGAACAAGCAACAAAAGAACAGAGAATTGAGCCCCTCAACTGATCAAGTGGCTCAATCAAGCTATTAAATATGCATACTATAAAAAGAACATACTGGTCCCAGAAATTTTTTGGGTCTCCAGAAAGAAAAAAGGAGGAAAAGAAAAAAAAGAAGAAAGAAAGGGGGAAGAAAAGGAAGAAAGAAAGAGGGAAAGAGAGAAAAAAAGAAGAAAGAAAGAGGGGAAGAGAGAAAAAAGGGAAAAGAAGGGAGCAACGAAAGAAAATGTAAAACCCAAGGATGAAAAGGTCTGAAAGGAAGAAAAAATGAGAAATGACAAAATTAAAATCTCAGTGAGAATATTATATTATTATTGTTCATGTGCAGTAATGTTGGCAATCTGTTCTGCTCAGTCTCAAAACTTGTGTATTTTGTTTTGAATAAGCCAACAAAAAGCAGAAAATAATTTGGCATGAAAATTGGAATTTCTTCGCTGAAATCACATTGAGAATATCAGCTGTGGGCAGGCTATTGTGAAACATGGTAGTGATGGTAAAGCACTCACCCAGAACATGAAAGTTGGCTTTGATGAATTTTACATTGCAGCTTGTCAAATAGGAGGGGTTTATTTGATGGTGTCTACTTCCACTGCAGTATACAGAAGCACTTCAATTATCTATATGGAACCAATGATGGGGACATACCGTTCAGCTATAGCACATTGCACAAAAGTGGACTTGTAGACACAAACATGCAAAAAAAAGAATTTGCATGGGTTGTGGAAGACACACACATTTGCCAGCAAGTTTTCACCCTATTTTAATGGGGAGCCAATTATGACAAGCTTGTTGCAGCTTCAACCTGCAAAGTTTAGTGTGGTTTTCAGAGACAAGATTTGCCAACAGCAGAAGGCAGGTATATAAAAAAAAACATCATGAGTTCCCGGCAATAATGACCTGCTTGGAGGAACAAATCTTAGATGGGGTGAAGAACAGATTAGGGACCTGAACCCGCAAATTCAAGAGTGAGGGAAAAGGCAGACAAAGCAAGAAAGCTTAAGATATTAAACACCTGGTTCCTGCTTACACTGTCTGGTCTAGCAGATGCATATGGGCAATTTAGCTTGATAGTGAATGTTGCTCAAATGGTTCACCTATTGCCACATGAAAGATTGGAGCTTTTTATGGAAGCTGTTGATGTTCTTCCTAAAATTGAGGAGTGCTTAGATGACCATAGCAAATGTAACTCACTGGCACCAGAATCAAGGGCGGACACTTGGTCAAATATTGGGGGGGCAAGCCTATTGTTTTAATAAGATGATGTCACATTTCCCATTGTTTTAGAACAAAAGAACATTGTTCTCTAAAGTATTGGGGGGGGCGTCGCCCCCCCTCGCCCCCCCAAGTGTCCGCCACTGACCAGAATCAAGAAAGCAGAGGTGCCTGTGGCCATTAAACCAAGCAGAAAAAAGACTTGAAAGAAAAGAATGAAATTAGGGGAATACCTATTGTCTCCCAGTGTGGGATTAAAGCTGCTGGCCTGCAAAATGAAACAGAAAGTCAGTCTCTGACCGTGAGGATGGAACCTGATTCTGAAGCAACATCAAACAAGCAAATACTGTGCTTGCTGAGAGAAATACACAGTGGTTTGAAATCTGATGTGTATGATCAAACATCAAATGATGTCATTCATAACACAAAGTGATTCTTGACTAGCCTGCTCTTGCTGTTAAGTTACACCAGCCAGATGGAGGAAGAATGAAGATTGCTGAAACAGACTTCCCCAAGTTCAGGGAAGCAGTTTTGGCAATACGTGTGAGGTCCCTTTCTTCTGTGCTAGAGAAAGCCCTCAAAGGCCAATACAGAGAATTTTTGAAAAGACTTCAGCTGTCAACATCAAGCCACACATTGGCGCAGCTCAAAACTGTAGATTCTAAGGAGCTCATTAAAAAGTTGTCAACCCTGTAGATACTTTATTTGTGGGCATAGAGATGGTAATGCACGCTATTGCTGTATCCTGTGTCAAGCAGTCATGCGAGTTGATTCTGGAGTTAATGGTTTTTTTGTATGAGTATCATGTTGACAGTACCAGATATATGGGAGAAGAAAATATAGATGAACATATTTAAGATTTATCATAGAATAGAGATTTATCATTAATGAACATATTTAATGATAAACCTTGTTGAAAAATGTGATAAAATAAAAATAACAAGAGCTACTGTGTACCTCTTTTTGACTCCTTGTTCTGTTTCATCTGTTTTGAATTCTACATTTCCATGTGGTGTTCTCTTTCTCTTACTGAAAAAAAGAAAAGAGCTCTTTAACCAGAAAATATAAAAAATGGAATGAGGTAAATGTGTATGAATATGTTTCTTAAATGTGCAGCAAATACAAGGTTTAACAAAGGCTCTATACAACAGGGCATTCTTCCATTTGAAATTTTTCTATAGCCTTACATGGTAATAAGGATGGACTGATGTGCAGCATGCTCTTCTAGGTATTCCTTTCTTGACTACACTCAATTCACTTCCTTCTGTGATGTAAGCCCTCCCAGAAAGAACAAAACTTAACTTACTCTATCCTCATGGACTACACAGAAAGCTAGTGTCATACCAAGGGATACTTTCAGGGATGAAAGTTTCAAAAAAAGATAGTTTCAAAGATTGAAAAAGTGCAAAATATTTAGAATTAAATTTCACAAAAGAAGAGAATTAGGATGTTTTGGGCGAATAAACTTTTGCGTCTTGGTGAAGCAATTTCTATTAAATCTTGACACCTTCTACATGAATCATTATCCCTTTGGTCCCATATTTTTAATTTGCATGTTTCTTCTGGCCCAATACTATAATTCAAAGTGGCAACTCTGCTATGCCTGTGTACAAATTGCAAAAGTTTTCAGTATACATATTAACTAAAGTTACCAACCTTGCAACTTTTTGCTGTAATGCTTTGACAACCGCTTCTTTACTTAATGATTCTCCTTGGCTTTCTATACTTGAATATGAGCTTTCCTGTCTGCCGCAAAAGATACATGATCAATTCTTTTTTGATCAAGCCAATTATTTCTCTTTTGATTAAGTTTTAACAATAATAAAATTGCAGGAAAAAGGCAACAGCAACAAACAAACAAGGTAAAAAGCACGTGAAAGCAAATAATTTCAATAATACAGAGAACATGTAGCTGCAAAACAGACAAACTTCTTCTTTATAAATGAGCTACCACCCCTGAAGCACTTGCTTACTGCCTCCAGTCTGCTGGGCAAGTTGGCACTCTGATAAGCCAGTTGATACCTTGATTCAGTTTCCAAGAATTGAAAGAAGCTTAGAGAAGAAATGCTCTCAGCAGGAATGTATCATCGCAGTTACTCTCAAAGCACCAAGCACAAAGCTCAAAGCTATCAAATAAAAGCTTATGATTACATTTAAACAATATCTTCATATCAAGTACAAAATGATAAGTACCTTGAAAGTTCTTTTTTAGGGGTTTCAAACCCCTGAGGGCTCAGGATGCTACTATGTTCAAAATCCTGTCGGATTCTGCTGAAATATAATCCACTTGGTGGTGACATAGCTTTGTGTGCATTTTGACTATTGTTTAGAAAAAGCTTTGCATCCTTGACAGTGAAGGTTCTGTTTACTGGGCTTTGAATTCTTCTGTTTTGCAGATTGCCAAAAACAGACCTTGGGGATAACAGGTGGCTCTGGTTGAGAGGTGCATCATTAAAGCTGTCCCTAAGAAGAAAACATAACTTTAAAAAAAGTCTGATATAAATCTACAATCATAGCTAAACTTATAGTAGTTCATCTTTGCAATGTCTGATCATTGAGAAGACTCTTTGTTACTCAAGAAGGGGCATTAGGTAGAAAGTAGCAATGAGTTTCAAAATTTAACGCATTCACTTCTTGAGCAAAATCTGACACATTTGAGGTGCGGGTCAAGAAAAACCTGACTGAAACAGAAGATAGGGGCTACACCTAAAGGAAAGATCCCCATGCCATCATATCAGCTTCCAGCTGCACTGTTGCCACATCTTGTAAAATTTTTACTCATGCCACTGTCTGTAAAAATGAAGCAATCTATATGAATGTAAAGGAATGTAATGGAATCACTGTAAGGAACAGAGACTGGCCAGCAGCCTCTTCATACTTCAAAAATCTACTAGCAAACTTTTTAGACCTTATTCTTGATAACGCATCTGTATACTAATCAAAGATGCTCCCTGGAACCCATGATCTAATTTTATGTAAACTAGGTATAGTTTAGACTGACCTTTTGGAAACTCTTCTGTTAAAAGCAGATAGCAATGGTTGTGGCGACCTCAAACTAGGTATGCTTGGTGTCATCTTTCTTCCCGAATTCGAGTCAGAATAGCCGAATACGCTATCAAACTCTCCAAATAGCTCATAACTGGTACCATCCAAATTTTCTTCACTTAAAAATCCGCCTGGTAACTGACATCGACTTAAATCGTCTTCAGCATCGTTCTCCTGTTTCAACTTCCTTTCATATTTTTCTTTTCTTTTAGCAAACATTCGTTTTCGTTTCGATTCACTTTTATTAACAGAATAGACATTTTCAAAAGATTCTCCCTTCTCATAGTCTCCATTATCCAGCTTGTCCCTAACAAAATATACTGCTACGATTGTTGCAGCCAACAGGAAACTCCATGCGATGCCTAGGCCACATACTGATATTCCAGCAACGGACAAAAATCCACCACCAAAGAGGATATTTCGTGACGACAAAGCATTGAGATACGATATTACTTTACTCTTCATGTTTTTCAAAACAACCGTAGTCATTTCTTCTCAAAACGCTCTAGCCTTGCTTCAAAATTAATACAATACATGTGGAAAACTATACAACGTGACTTCAGCCATTTTTTTCGCGGGCAAAATTTGGCTTCGAACAGCGGCGGCATAGAATTTTGCGCATGCTCTCACATTCAACATATTCCGGAAATAAAGGGAGCGAGGGCACATCTTGCGAAATACAAAAGGTTTTAAATTTCAAGATTATCATATCAAAAAAGATTTTCCTACAAACATTTCAATGAAATTCTTCATCAGTAATCAATCATTAAAGAAAATTAATAAGAGACACATTCTTGAATTGGAACAAATAAAGGTACAATTTGTAGCCGAAGAGACAAACAAATAACAGCTGAGAGTATCTATATTTGAAAGGAAAATCTTGATAAAAGGCATATGACAAATAAGTTCATCAGACATCGCCAAACAAATGATATGTGACCAAACAAGGGGGCCAAACCTGCCTAACATTTCATAAACATTTGTTTTATAAATGTAAAGTAAAGTGTTTGTTCTAATTGACCGGGGCTTAAGTTGAAGGTTTGGAAAACATAACCTTCTTTTAATTATTTGTATGTTTTTTTATCTCCCATGTGCATTGCTATCGCTCCTCAATCATTTTTTAAAAAATTGATGTAATCCTTTACCGGTCAACTAGTTTTGGCAGCTTCATCAGGCCCAGAGTCCATTTCACATTTGCGTAAGACCAATTCGTTCTTCATAGCTCCCAGTTCAAAAGATCTTATTGAAGTTTAGTGAAAAGCTCAGTAACATTTTGATATCCTCATAAGGGCGTCGCTCAACCTCACTAAAATAAAAGGTTTGATGAAAAGTTTAGCAAAATGTCCCGTAACTTCATCAGGGCTTTATTGAGCTTGTTAATGTGGTATTTCAAATTCGGATGCTCTTCCATCAAGACACCAAAGTACTTGATACTAATTGATTTCAATGGCTTATCCAAAGTAAATGTAAAAGTGACAATACGAGAAGAGGTTTTTCAGGGACTGATAACAGAACAGATTGTCTTTTCGGAGCTAACTTTTAATTTTCTAGCTCTAAAGCGTTCATGGAAATTCTCAAGTTAGAAAAAGCTTTAGATTATTCCTTACAATAAGCAGGCAGTTTGGCAAGAGTGAAGTTGATTGTGGCCCATCAATGATAGATATAATGAGTAGGATTGCTCCTAAAACAGGTCCTTGCGGCGCTCCTTCGCCTATATGACGAAACGATGGCTCTTTTCTTTGACTATGGTTTACTTGCTTCTTTTACTATGATAGGTAGCAGGCAGTCTTTACTTATCCTCTAAAACCGTAATGAGAGAGCTTTTGAAGGAGCATAGAATTGTCAAGGAACAAAGTCTGAATAGTGTCCCTCCCTAGCACGGAACATCGAGGTTCAAGTCTTGCCTTATTTTATCACTGTCAGTGTCATGGAAGAGATTCATCAATGGTATAAAGAAGATTCACTTGATTTTGATCGTTTAAAACTGGATGGATGCAGTTTTTGGAGTTTTGTTAAGTTTTGGATGTGACAAACTTTCTTTACAAAAGCCTGTCAGTCATATCATTTTGCTATTTTAAGTGGCTAGAACAGGTTAGCCTACACCTCTAAACCTTTGGGAAAAGGTGCCCCCCCCCCTTCTGTCTTCCTTGTTCCTCAAAAGGTCCCTTTCGTTCGAGGAAGATTCGAAACTAAGCAGGTTTACATGAAGTACCTGTTGGAATCGTCACCAATCGATCAGGAAAAGCGAGTTTTTCACAGCTTCCTAGAATCTGTTCATGACACGGTTTCTGAAGCTTGAATGGTGCACTCCAACGGTAAAATGGTCCATAAATCCAACTAGGACATACATTTGAAATTCTTTATTTAAGAGTGGAAAGTGTAAATGAGTGTATAGCAAACACAGTCGAGGTTTTAACAGGCCTAGCCCATTGTTGCTGCATTTCCTCGAAGATGAATAAAGGCGTTTCTGCAACTGCTTCATTGCGACTGCGCCAAGATTATATGAGAATAAGAAAAGATCCAGTACCTTATATCACAGCAGAACCACTACCCTCGAATATTTTAGAATGGTAAGTATCCTGCAAAGGATGCGAAGCGTTGCTTATTTGCCCTATCTCCAACTCACTTCAGAATTAATGACTTGAACAGATGGCAAAGCTATAAATTTCTAAACATATTTTGTTTCTGGAAATGTTTTGGATGATACCTTCTTTTACAGTGATTTTGATAGATGTCCTCAATACATGGAGGTTGTTGAGTTTTTGGACCCCAGCCCCATATTCCCCCTAAATGTCCTGGTAATTCGATATGAATGTTTGAGCTCTTAAGTCAACTTCTTCAAATAGGCAATTCTCTTGCAAACACAGTCGTTGAATCTCTGCCCACTGATAGACACTCAATATTTTTACTAATCTTTATACTTATGCTGTTACTTATATTTACATATTGCATCACATACCTAAGAACTAATAACTCTGTAGAATTTTTTAGCTTCTCACATACCTAAGAACTAAGAACTCTGTAGAATTTTTTAGCTTTCTTGTTAAACTACACATTTTCAAAGAAAAGGCATTAGAAACAAACTCTCCCCTCAAGATAACAGCCTCCTCGGTCTTGCAGATAAAAAACAACAACCAAACATGCAATTCCACTATCAGACAACAGAAAATCCAGAATATGCAAAAACTATAATCGTTAAATTTTTCAGAATTATTTGTAGAGCCCTATTTTCATTGCATTTACCAGTTTTGGAATCTATCTGTAGTGATTTCAATATTGTAAATAGGCCATATTCCTACTCCTTCATCAATCATGCCATCACCATCACATCCACTTACGTCATTCACAGCATCATCCACCAAAGGACCTTCCCTTCACCATTGTACACACGTTCACACATCTATGGCATGCTGATTTCTTCCCAAGTCTAGATCTTTCCTTCTCCATTACATCATCATTACACCATCCTAACTAATCCTTAGTCATAAATTTGATTTCAGTATATATGTATGTTAATTTGTATGTAACTTAGTTAGTCACCAGTTCAGGTCAGAGTTATACAGGCAACATACTGTCTCTCTCACTGGCTCTGTGTTCTCTGCACATTAAATAAGATTCCAAGTAGCATCAATGATAGAAAGTTACAGCAAACAGGATAGGAACCATAGCAATTCTTGCTTAATAGTATTGTTCTTATATAACTACATAAACATGAAAAAACCACTATGTTGTAGACAGAAGGAGTTTCTTTTCACCTTAGGACTCCACTGGTAACATTTTCAATAGGAAAGCAGCACTGATTGGGCAACCTCAACAGTCATGTGCTCGCATTTCTGATTGGCCAATTTTGATCCAGAAATGGGTTTATATATGCTAGCATATAGTATTTGATCTATGTTCTGACGTTTTATACTCTGAAGAGTGTCAAACCAAAAGCTTTAGTAACATGTTACAAAATATTTGCTTTTTTCGAAGCAAATATTTTGTTTCTGTTGCCAGGGTTCTGTTTGGGAGACCACAGACCATATGTAGGAGACCATAGAAAGAGCTGCTTGTCTCCAAATCTGGGGACCCCCTTTTTACCAGGAATTGTCCTGCTCTGTTTATAAACTTCCTAATAGATTCTCCATTTCATCTGCTCTAGGCATTATGTCATCAAAGGGCCAGAAAAATCCCTCTATGAAGGTAAAATATTGTCAAGACTTCAGAAAATCATTTTCAGTTTCAAAATATTCATAGTAATTGTGTTCCCTTGAATGTGAATATAAAGTAATGGTAGATGTACATCATTATATTTCTATGTAATTTCAAATTACCACTTTATTTTTAAAATGTTTTGATGCAAAAATCTTTGTTTTTTTATAGCACAAAAAAATTTTTCCTTTGATTCTTGATCTATTTTTCTTATATCATACTATAACTATCTTAAAGAAATTTATTGCAACTCCAATTTTAGGTGGTTATTACCATGGCAAACTTGTCTTTCCAAAAGACTTTCCTTTCAAACCTCCAAAGATTATTATGATTACACCAAATGGAAGGTTCAAGACAAATACAAGGTACATACCATTGACAAATTTGAAATCTATACACTTAAGGAACATAAACAAAATCAAAACTTTGTAAATTATGATCTTCTGAAGATAAAAATGGATGTTTCTACAAAAATGAGCATAGGTCCATACATTTTTTCTGTGCCCAAGCTTTGCTATGGTCCTGTTCGTTATGCAGTACAGCCTCTTTTAACAGACACTCAAATAACAGGCATCTCCAAAAACAGATAAATAAATAATGTTACCAAAAATTTCTTCCTTGAAATCAAAGCATTGTAAAGTAAGCCTCAGATACTCCCCTGCAATGGACAGTTCTACTTAATACACTCTTGTTCCTTCTAGAAGCGAACTTGATAAGAACACCAGGACACTATTTGCCAAAAGAACTACTTAAGAACATCACCAGCCTCATATGAAAATTTGAAGAAAAACAAGGCTTTCTTGAAAATTGACTTATGTGTTAAAATTCAAACAGATTTTATTAGACTTCATCAGCTGGTCATTCTCGCTTCCAATATCTTATTAGAAAACTGTTTTTTGATGATCTTAAAAACGAGTAATATTATGTAGTTGTAGAAAAATCAATTTTTAAATGGAAATAACATTAAGAACATTTAAGCCTCAAATTAGCCAAAGAATTAGAAAATCAAGCCTCAACTAAACTTATCTGGTTCTTATAAAAAAAAGAGTGATTCATCTAAATAATAGACTACCTGTTTTCTATACAAAACCAGGGCTTAATTGACAGCAGGTGTTAGTATGAAGCTGCTAATGTTAACTTTTGATGGAATAATTTACATCTTCCTTTTTAGACTATGTTTATCAATCAGTGATTTTCATCCAGATACATGGAATCCAGCATGGTCAGTCTCCACAATATTGACTGGGCTCCTTAGTTTCATGGTATGAAACCTTTGTGAAGCATGATTGATACATTTTAATAATTTTTTCAAGAACCCAATATTCACGTTACAGATAATTTTCAAGTTTTTCAAGTTACGTAAAAAAATTTATAGATAATACATTCCCCTTCAGTACAGAAACATTTTAATAACTGTGAATTTTGATTTTCAAGAACACTATATTTCCCAGCATGCATTAAATTTTACTGAGATAATGGTTATCTGGTCCAATACTTTCAAAATCATGAAAATAAATGACAAAATGTAAATTAAAAATTAGAAAATACTTATTTCCATCTGTATAATTAATTTGAGAGGATACTTTTCGTGTACATGACCATTATTTTGAGTTCCTCTGGAAATACTAAGATGCATAATTTTTTTCAGCTGGAGCGTGCTCCTACTCTTGGTAGTATAGAAACAAGTGATTTTCAGGTAATAAATAATAAATAATAATCTGTATGTTAATAAAGGTTTCATTAAAGCTCATTGAGATTATTACAGTTTTGTTACGGATGGGCCTTGCTTTTTGTGGGACCACTAAGAAGAGTTCCATTTGGACTGCTAGGCATACATCCAACTGATCCATTTGCAAAGCAGATCACATTGATGTATGGTATACAATCAATACAATACAATGCATGGTATACATGATCGATGGTATACAATACATGTTGCGAAAATATCAAATGGTTCCGAAATTATAGATATTAAAAGTGCTTATAATTTTCCTTCAAAAGAGGACAAAAGAGGAAATATTATACAGTTAGGTGTTGCTAGAATGTCAAGTTATCAATTTTTGAGACAAAAATATCAAAAGAAAGTTGCCTCGTGCAACAAAAGCCTGCCTGGACTTTAGGTCATGAATATTTTAGATTTTAGAAGTAATGACAAGTAGTTTTTTTATTCATGCTGCAAAGTAGGTTTTGCCTTCACAGTATTTCAGAAATTCAGTTTTAAATGGAACCAGTTCTGTGGTAATGTGATGCCAAAAGTACACAAAAAGATAAAGCTCCAATGAAATCATTCAAAGCGGTCCAATGGATACGCAAGTCTTTTTGGAATACTCAAAAGCTCACTGCATAGTAGCCTTTTTTAATATTTTTACTTCAAATTGTTCTCCGCTGCATCCTTTTTTAAATAACAAACTCTCTTGTTTCTAGAAACGTCAGTTTGCCATTCGGTCATTGGAATTCAATATTCAAAACAAAACATTTCGAGATCTTTTCCCAGAAATTTACAAAGTAAGTTAGTAATCAAACAATGATATATCTTTAAATCAGGAATAAAGGAGGGACGGTAAGACCCTTTGATTCTCAAATCTTGTAGTTCATCTTCAGAGAGCTTCTTTGTTTGTAAAGCAACAAATTTCATGTTTCCTAGTTTGGCTCAAATGTCAGGGAACCTTTCAATTTTTATCTTGTTAGAGATTTGGGATTAGTATGTTTAGATCTAAGTTAAGAAAAAAACGGTCATCAATGGTGGATATTGAGCTTTTCTCAATTTATTTAATTTTGGTTTACACAATGATAGCTAATAAACAGCTAATTAACAACAACAATATAACTAAAGATTAACATGATGGTTACAAAAAACCAATGTTAGAAATGTATGGTGTGCACTGCATAGTATATAGTAGCAAGTAAGATCAGCTTGTTTTATTTTAGTTTTGAATGCTTAACAAGTAAGAAAAATCTAAATGATGTAGCAAAAGCCTATCTTAGCATCATTATTTAAAATGATGACTTTTTTCTATATTCTTTTATGTTTTTTGGATTACTTTTCTTCTTTTGAATAATATTCCATTATTTTACAAAATTGTGGCGTGAATTGATTAATTAATAGAGTAAACATCTCAAAATGGTGGTTAGAATTTTGAGAACATATTCTATTATAAGAATTTTCAAAGTTTGCTACTCTTTTCAGGAGATCTGTGAAAAAGTTGAAGCAATCAATGAAGAGAAGCGGAATAAAGATAGCCAAAGCCTAGAGAAAAATGAAGAGCCATTGAAAAGCAATCAGACCGAACAGAATTATCTAGGGTCAACTATTGCAAATCTGTGTGTAGTGTTAGGTGTCCTTGCATTTGGATTTACTGTCAGCTATGTACTCAAGGCTGCAGGGGCACAGCATCGATGAATATAGAATGTACTTGTAAATATATTGCAGGCCTTGCAAGGAGAGGCACTTGAGCTCAACAAGTGCCTCTACATGCACCTAAAAAGTTCTAGCAGCTTGATTGATCAAGCATCTAGCATGTTTATTATGTCTAACAATTAAATGTGAAAAACAAAATCTTGTTTTTGATGATATTTGATGATATTTAAGTTTTTCAAGCTCCTCACAAGGCCTGATATATTGTATTGCAAGCTTTCCAAGATAGAGGAAGGGAATGTTTTGTTGTTCAGAAGGTAACCTACTGGAGCCAGTGACAATGAAATGCATACATTGAAGCTAACAGCATTGGTAGTTTGATTTAATATTTATTGTTCAGAAAATGGTTTACAAGCACAAAAATTTTAGTTTTTTAAGATGCCACAGCAATCAATTTTTTCAACTGACAATTAAAATCTCTTGAGAGATTCTCATAGTGCACAAATAATGCTCTTGAAACTGTCAATTTATGGGAAGAAAGGCTCCTCCAACTTCCAGGGGTGGGAGAATTTCAATTTGCTTAAATCAAGCTATTGGAATATCGTGTTGAACTTGATTTTTTATCTCCATTTATTTGCATTTAGAGTTCGGTCAACAAAGACCTCATCTTCCTTACAAAAGAACATCGAAAAAACTTATAATCCATCTTTTGTAGAAATAGGGGGTTTCTGAAATGCCAGTTAACAGGTGCAGTTAAAAGGCTAACAGAAAATGATTGGCCAAATGAAACTATGATTCTGTTAATTATCATTAGCATATTTCTTTAGCATATTTCTTAAAATATATTAGCATCTTTCTTTAGACTATACTGTTTTCATCACATTAGATATATTCAATGTATATGTATAAATCCAACATGTCATCATCATATATATTATGTTTTTCTGTGATCCAACCAAAGCACATTAGATGAGGACTTAAACACTTACTAATATTCATACAGAAGAGAGGAATTGTCTAGATTGGGCATAAATTTATCTGCATATAGATATTTGTTTATAGATATCCCCTACCTATTATCATGGCTAGAGGGCCCTAGAGTATAAATGCACAACATAAAGAACCAACCTTCAAGCCAAACACTTTGGAATTGGAATTAAATTTATCCTAAAAAACTTTGGTAGCCTGAACTTGCCAGTTTTCGTTAGAAAAGTTAACAGGATTGTCCTGACGTGTATTTTGAAAGCAGTTTGCCATCTTTGTTTGTAAGCCTTGACTGTTTCGTTCAAACTCTGGTATTGTAGACGTGAATAAATCTAGGATATCCAAAAAGTAGTCTTTGCCTAGATTTTTACTCATGAAATACTATGTGCAAACCTATTTCAGACATAGCAAACCTATTTCAGACACAACATACCTATTTCAAACACAACATACCTATTTCAAACACAGTGAACCTATTTCAGACACAACATACCTATTTCAAACACAGCAAACCTATTTCGGACACAACATACCTGTTTCAAACACAGCAAACCTATTTCAAACACAACATACCTATTTCAAACACAGCAAACCTATTTCAGACACAACATACCTATTTCAAACACTGCAAACCTATTTCAAACACAACATACCTATTTCAAACACAGCAAACCTATTTCAGACACAACATACCTATTTCAAACATAGCAAACCTATTTCAAACACAGCAAACCTATTTCAAACACAGCAAACCTTTTTCAAACATAGCAAACCTATTTCAAACACAGAAAACCTATTTCAAACATAGCGAACCTATTTCAAACACAGCAAACCTATTTCAAACACAGCAAACCTTTTTCAAACATAGCAAACCTATTTCAAACACAGAAAACCTATTTCAAACACAGCAAACCTATTTCAAACATAGCAAACCTATTTCAACATAGCAAACCTATTTCAAAGACAGCAAACCTATTCCAAAGATATATAAAAGGTGGCTTTGAAAAAAGCAAACATTTAGTAAACTAAAGCTTTTCGTCTGACACTCTTCAGAGTTTAAAACGTCAGAAAATAGATCGAAAACTCTACGCTAGGAAATATATATACCCAGTTGTGGATCGAAATAGGCCAATCAGAAACACGAGCATATGACTGTATAGGTTTACCAATCAGTGCCGCTTGCCTATTGAGAATGTTACCAATGGAGTCCTAAGGTGAAAACGAACTCCTTTTGTCTACACAGTAGCGGTTTTTTCGTGCTCATATAGATAGATTCCAAAACTGCTAGGTGGAACGACGATCGGGCTTTACCAATAGTCCGAAACATGTCGCCATTATAGTTTTTTGCACAATCTGGGTTTTCTAGTAAATGCTGCCCGATTGCAGAATCGCAGGTTTTAGTTGTAATTTTAGATTTGCAAGACCGAGGTGGCTGTTCTCTTTGGGGATGGGTTTTGTTTCTAATATTAGACGGAACATAATTTTTTATTCTATCCCCCAATCTTTGGGTAGTGCGTCCTACGTAGCCAGAATCACACTGGCACGTAAATTCATTTTTCATGTTTCTTCGCAGTCAACCCACGTGTTGTTTATACTAGTATGAAAAAGGCCCTTCCGTCTATTCAAAAGGACTGCGCTCCTACCACACAAAAAAGTTCCGTTGTATATGAATTTACGTGCCAGTGAATTTAAAAAAGGGGCTTTTTTATCATTTTTCACCAAAATTGAATCATTATCTAACACCCAATCCCCCTAACTCTTGCCGCTTAAATCCGTCTCTGGTTATGATCGTTAATGGCAAAATAGTTTCAAGAGCATTTGATTTATCAGACGCTAAAGCTGGTTTCAACAAGAATCGTTTATGTCAGTGTTAACTTTATGCCAGCTATGGAGTTTGCCAAAATTTTCATAAAATTGTGTAAAATTTGCAAAAATTAGCCTATGCTAAATCTGAAATCAAGACATTCTGTTTGAAAAAGAGGCTAGCGTATGCACAGAATTGTTATTATTATTCCTATTATTTGATTTGATTCCTATCGTGGAATAACCAAATCAATAGACAGTAGCTGAACAGTAACATGACAAAACAATTCGGTCGTGCGACTGGGCGGAAGCTAATCAACAAATCAGCGAATCAGCGAACGCCACCAGTCGCTCAGTTGTTCAACGTTCAATTTGCGCATGCTCCAATGTGCATTCGCTCAGTCGCGCGACCAAAGCGAATAAAGTGGAAACCAGCCTTTAAGGGAAGAAACTTTCATGGAAAAAGAGAAAGTTTGCGTTTTTTGGCGTTTTTGGCCTGAAATCGCGAATGCTTGATACTCAAAACTTCCTGAAATACTAAATTTGCAAAAGTTTATTTTGTGAAATATCCAAAAAAATTTCCTGTTGATTCTCTTGAAAACTTTGACGAATAATGATTATTTTGAACAAATTTTAATATTGTTTTCATTGTTTTGTTGGTATCATGTGGAATAAAAATAGAAGGAAACCAGTTGAATAGAAATTCGCGCGAAATTCACAATTTTTACTAAAATGCGAAAGTTTGTTTAACGCAATCAATTAATCAAATATGTATATAAATATGTATTTATATGTAGTTAGAAATTTGTCTTTTGATACTTCCGTAGCACAGTGCTCAATACGTTAGCACGTAGAGCGTGATATATCATAGATTGAAGAAAGTAAAACTACATGGTTTATCTCTACAAGCCTGTTTCGTGAGTAACTCACTCTTCAGGAGATGTTCAGGAGGAGATTTTATATGTAGTTATGTATATTACAATGTATGTAGCTTATACGTTTCACTTAAAGTTATTTCTGGAAATCATCAAAGCCAACTGAGATAGCAACCAATCAACCACATCAAAATATCTTGGTCTAGCAATGTAACAGCCCCATATGCGGGTGTAAAGTGTTTTCATGAAGTGAAGATAAACAAAAGTTCACTTATATATTAGCTATATTAGCCCCTATCTTTTAATAAGCCCCCCTTCTCGAAATAAGCTCCTACCCCAAAATATTATTTTGTTAAATAAGAACACTTGAGAGAATCAAGAGGGGTGACACCATGGCAACATGTCAATACTATGATGACCTATATGATATCTATGGGCTGAATCCTCCACTCCAGACACCCTATTCGTGACTTCCTGTACGCAAAGATCTAGTCACACTAGTTTATGTTATCTTATCGCGCTACTGCGAAGGACACGTTCTGGTCCGAATTTTATGCCATTTAATGATTACGATGCGTGTTCGATGGACTATTGTTTTTCTCGCATTTCATTCGCTAATCACTTTCGCGGATCACAAGAATGTCGATGAATGGCGATCGCCTCTCAAAACTTTAAATTTATGATGTTTTCGCAGTTTTAAAACAACAAATGTCCGCAGAGCCAACGACAAACTACCCTACTTTTGTAAATATTAACACAGCACACATGTCTGGAGTTGCTGCGGCTGATAACCAGGGTGAAATTAGCCACGATCAAGGCAGCATCGAGGCCCATCAGGCCGAGGGCATCAACGACCATCAACAAGACAGTACCATCGCGATCTCCGCCTTTCACGATCAACAATCTCCGTCTATAAACACTGATTCTGATTCGCATCAAAACACAGTACAAGACCAATTGAATAACCTTTCTTCGCCTGGGGAGCATGAAGTGGAAATATACGATGTTGGGGATAACTCGAATGCAGACGAATCAACCCATGTTTGGGTCAAGGAGGAGGTAACTGCCTTGCCACGAATAAGTAGAATTACATTTCAGCTCTCTGCCTCAGGGGCACGTTTCATTGATAAGAGGTGCTATAAGTAGTTGGTTATATCCCGTCAATAGTGACACCAAGTAAACAGCTCCAAAGACTAGAGGCTAAATATAGTTTGATAAAGAGAGAAGAAACGATTATTATCTGGTTTGAAACTAACAGTTATTACAAAGGCAAAAATGAATATAATACAGATTATCAAACTTTTATAAATTTAGATACCTGTGTGTATTTAGTTACTGATTTAATATATATTGATTTAATAGTGCTATGTAATAGATTCTTTCATTATTAATAATGCTATTTTTCAACTTGCTGAATCTAATATGGTCAAATCTGATATTGTACAGGAACTTCCCAACATTGAAGTTTGCTACAACCTTTTATGTTTGGCCTTAGATCTAAATCCAGTCAAAATTCTGTTACATTTAGACAAGTTTAAAGCTGTATAAGTATAATTTCTTGATTTTTCACAGGTTGAGCTTATGTTCAAATATTACAAAGAAAGACAGAAAGATTTCAGTGACCCACACAAAAAGAAAAGAGAAATTTTTGTTGATATTTGTGTTCAACTGAGAAGACATGGGTATAGCCCCACACCTAAGCAGTGTGACAGAAAGTTGAGAAACATGAAAGCAACATACATAAGAACACTTGAGAGAATCAAGAGGGGTGACACCATGGCAACATGTCAATACTATGATGACCTATATGATATCTATGGGCTGAATCCTCCACTTCAGACACCCTCAAGATTGCTTGGACAAAGTAGAAGTCGTCCAGTCCCGCTCCTGAAAAACGAGTTCATGAATGGACAAAGCAACTCAGACATGGCTTCATCTAGAGAATCTTTTGAACCAGCAGTTAAAAAATTTGCCTATGAAGGCCACGACCAAAGAGATTCACCAATGCAAAAACCAGATCAACAAGGTGATGCTCCAACCGTTGCATTGGTAGGATCATTTCAGCGTGATGCTGGAAACCCTTTGCAGATATTTGATAGTAGGCTTCAAGCAGACAGAAAAACTATTGCAGAGTTGACAGAGGAATTAAAAGCAGTCAAAAATTCTCTTGTTGAGGAATGTAAAGCAAGAGAAGAAGAAAGGAAAGCTTTTGCTGAGGAAAGGCGGGAATTTCACAAAGAGCGGATGTCTATGTTGAACTCCATCAACAAACTTATTGGCAACATTGATCAGAAATAACCTTAAGTCAAGTGATACTTCTGGATTATGTTAAATACTAAGGGTAGCATCTAGATATCTATATAGATATATACCAACAGCGATATAGATGTATGTGTAGCAGGTATCTAGAAAAGTTTATGTGTATAATTTTGATAATCATAATGGTAGTTCAATGCTCTGAAGATTTTGAAAGTCTGTCAGGTAAATTTATGTAATTTTTTGTCAATAACACATCAGTGATTGATCTTTTTGAAGGATTTGAAGTTTAGATGTGGTTAATCATTTCTCTAAATAAATACTGTTTGAGTTCTAAACCTTGATCCAAAGATAACCTCAGTTGTTATCCATGTAGAATTTTTATGATTATATTCAGATTTAATGTAGGTTTTAATTTTAGGTAATCAGGGTGATAGCCTCAAAAATTTAACATACCCCACTTTGACATTTGGTTGTTAATTTTCACATTGAATTGCCATGTTAAAACGCTTAGTAGTTTGATTTTGATTTTGGCCACCTTTTTTCAGGGTGTGTATAAAGTAATTTTTGTTGCTTATTAATTGGCTGATCAAGTTCTCCCTGTTCACCTCCCATTAAGAAATCAAAATTTATATCATTGTAAAATAATATTGAAATCCTTTAGTGTCAGTAAGGAAGATTCCTTGAGTACAATATTGTTGATCATCGTGAAACCCCTTTCATAATTCTTTCCATGCCTCTCAAGGTAACAGGCCATTGGTATCATAATATGACTGCCTCAGATTTTCATTTTTTTTGGTCCCGTATTCGAATTACTTTTCCTTGAAAATTCTTGGTTTCCAGCTAATATGTGTGGCAGCCCTAAAAACCAATTAACATTTAGCTAATTGTTCACACTTGTTAACAGTCTGTATTTTGACAACATTGTAATACATCAAATTATTATGAATATAATGTTTAAAAAATAGTTTTATGTGCAATGGCGTGTTCTAATTTTGAGTTTTGTTTAGAATAAAAAGTATATTGTTGTGAAAGACGAGTGGCAGTAAAATTTTAGATACTAAATTAACTTTACGTGGATAGTCAGTAAGATATAATTTAGAGCGATATAAATTTCATTAAAAAATAGATTTTGTCTCTTTAATTACGAGAAATCTTTCATGTGTTTTCTGAGTAGCTCGTAAAAATTGCCTAACTTTTGCAAAACAATGGTGATTACTTCGTTATAGTCTCTTGTGTGCCTCCTACCCATCAAAATACCATTTCTAATGTTAAAATCAGAAGATTTAAGATTAATTATTCCGCACAGAAACAAGCGATTTAAGATAAATTTATCCATAACATAACGGCGATTACAACTTGAACAAGAAACTTAGACGAAGTAAATTCTTACAGCTCACAGCATGAAAGCGTGCAATAAAAGCGATCGTAAACGTTATTGTTCGTAACTAAACAATAGCTCTATTTTTGTATATTCTAATATCTAATGAGATGAAGCATCTGGCAGAAAGGTATCTTTCTTCTTTAAAGTGTACTGAGTCAACCTTATTTTCATGCTGAAAAAGTAACACCTGAGTCGAGCTAAAATCATCAAAAAATCAAGACTGAAAAAAGCTTCTTGGCCAAAATAGAGTTCTAAAGTGATGACGTTACAAAAATCTAATTTTAGAATGTTTGAATTTGGATCCTATAACCTTAAAGAGCATCATGAAATACCTCTAAATATGCAAAATGAGTCAATTGTGTTACGAATTGTCAGAGATATGACCACATGTGTATTGGCTCTTTCTCCATCAAACCTCTGTATTTCGGTCTCTGTTCATAACTTTATGAACAGAGGCAAAATAACAGTTTTTCGTTAGCAAACTTCAAATCTTTCATTGGCCATATCTCAGCAGATTTTAGACATATTTGGCCAATTTGGCATATTTGAAAGTATTTCATGGTATTCTTTAATTTTATGTGGTTAAATTTAAAAAATTCTAAAAAAGGTTTTTGATGACGTCACAATTTAGAACTCAATTGCCTGGTTCTTATAAGAAATGAGTGTGATTTACAAAAGATCTTGATGGTTAACCGTTTTAGGCATCAAAAATACACATTTTTTATTAATCAGAAATTGGTTTAGACGAAAATAGTATTAGGATGGCCAAAAATTTTACAAACGTAAGTACAAGGCTAGAGAAAAATTAAGAAACTGTAAAATTTAAATTTTCAAGAATTCAAGTTTTTATTTTGTTAATTGTCCTTTGGAAAATATAGCATACTTCGGATTTGCATGGGTCTCTTCGTGACGATCTGCGTTTATAATATTCACAAAAAGGCACAACTTCAAAACAGTAAGGCAATTTTAGATCCCGAAAATTAGAAATCAACTAAGAAACTTATAGTACTGAAACACCAAAATTCGGATGCCAAATTAAGAAATGTTCAGTTCGGATGCCAAGGAAAGAAACTCTTAGTGCGGACCAAAGTTTCTTCTCGTATATAGAGAGTGAAGACATCAGAAAGAAAAAATTCTGCCACATTTCAGACACGTCATTTTTTTTTAGATTTCATTCTTGTAGGCGTGAAAGAATTTATACACAAGTTTTCAATAAAACCCTTTACCTTAAACTAGTCCCTAAAATCTCTTTTGCAATATACAAATCTTCTATAACCGATTTAAAAGAAAGTAACTCCAAAATTGACAAACTCTACAAAGAATACACAAGCATGAAAACCTCTAGCCTACATTTTGTTTGTTAGTCTGAACTTGTTCTTTTACGAGGTTCTTTTAGAGAGGTTCTTACTCGACTCTAAGGTATTAAATATTGTGTTTATTTGTTCAATTCCATAGACCTATGCATATCTTTGGTTCATTCAGATATTGCCTGAAAATAATCACACTTACGAAAATTAAATCTGGCTGATAGTGCCATGGTTTGACAAACAGCAATTCCAATCTGACAATAGAAAGCATTCCCAATACTCAGGCTGATTGAGAACGTATGTGTTGGACTTCTATTTCTACAATTTCGGCGCGCAGGTTCTTAAAAGTTCTTAAACAGTACAAATGATTTCTACCGATATCACAAAATTGATATTGGAGTAAGAATCATTACGGTTCATCCTTGCTATCGAGTTTTTCTAAAAGTAATTCTGTATAAGCAAAAAACGATGAGCCCCGTTGGTGACACTTCATATCTAAACCTAGCTTGAAATACCTAGCTTGGAATTTGTATTTAGCTGGAATTTAAAAAGAAAACGAACTTGAACTTGCTTCTTTCAAATCAGAAAACATTTTGCCACCCCTGGTTCGAAAAAACATTAAAGAAATCCTAAAATTAAACATAAATTAAAAAGGGTCGAAAGGTCCGAGTTTCGGTTCTTACACAAAGAACGTTTACATTCAGACTAACATGAAACACAATATGATTTTGAAATGAAAACTCTAAAAGCGTCATAAGAACAACAATATTGAGATATTTTCTTATTTACAATACAAATTATTTTCATATTGAAAAACTTGAAAGCGAATGAGTGGATAAATTGCAAATAAATCATTGTCCCTTTAAAGCTGGATGATTGCTTTGATATCTATTGTTTCTTGGGAGCGGAAAAATTTGCTGCAAGAAACTTTTTCTTCCGAGGTTTTTCTTTCCTTGGAACACTGGGGAAATCTTCGGCCTTGGCAGCGCCAACAGGCCCTTCGTTCCCTACGACGTCCTTTTTCTTGGAGCTAGATTCGACGCTTTCACTAGGGACAACACTTTCAAAGTCAGCCGGCAATTTGCTTTTCTCTATTTCGATGTTGAAGTCAATCAGGTTGACTTCCTCGCGTTCTGTTTTTCTAGGCTCCAAACACTCGTCCTGTAAATTAGATGGGCGATGAGCACGCGTCAATAAAATGTCTATATACGCAGAAGGCCTGTCAAGATTTCCAGAGCTAGGAGTTGCTCCACTAAGGTATAACTAAACCCCTAACAATAACAACAATATCAATCACTGCATTAATGACGTCATCACAGGTCTTTCTTTTGGCCCCAGGCCCCAGAAAAGCTCTCGGCGGGACTCGTAAGGGATATTCAATATATGGACTTATTGACTTCTAGTTAGCAGCAAGTGCCTTATCCTTTCGCAATTACTTGAAGTCGTAGAAAGGCATAGAGTGCATCACTGATAATTTAGGATATATACAAAACCGAAAATAACTAGAAAGAAATTTTCAGGTTAAGGAAATATTAAAGAAATTTCTTTTGGGGGTAATTTGTTTCCGAAAGATGGCAACCACAAACAAAATCCAGACTAACAAAATAGAAACCTATTTTGACGCTTGATCCCTTCTGTTATTCTTTTAAAATAATTTCAGATAATGCGAGGGTATAATTCTAGGCGTCATATAGTGCTAGGTTATAATGCTAGGCACTGTCGTGGGAATTTTTTTTGTCAATATTGGGGTTATGTTTAGCCACACTCCTTTACAAGAGAGACAGATAATTCCATAGCAAAATTAATGGAATTTCATTTATCCTATAAACGAAAGCCAGTGAAGCAATCTTACTTTTAGTGTAGCATCTGCACTGCTCTTATTTGCTCTCATACCAGCACGATTGACCTGCAGTGGAACAAATGTTGGCCCAGATGCCTTGCTGCTTTCTGTGCCACTTGCTTTGCTTTCCTGTAGTTGTGACTCGTCCGTATCCGTTTGTGTGTTTGATTCCTTTTCTTGCGGGCACATTTTGTTCTTTGTTTCTGTCTGATCACTTCTTATCTGTTGCCTTTGTGGTGACACACTGATATTACTTGGTTGCTGGTTGGCTAGACGTGCTAGATTTGCGGGAATGGCCACTGGCTGCGCCAGAAAAGGGACAGGCTGCGGCCCCATTATTTGGTTTTGGAGTGATTGAGACGGGCTACCTGCATAAGATCCCCTTGTGAGCTGTAGAGGACTGTGCTGTTGATGCATTCCAGTCCCTTGATGTTGTAAACCAGCATTAGGCCGATGTGCCATGTATAGCTGTGGACTATTGAGTGGAAATGGCTGGTTAGCTCTTTGGACAGAACCTGGTTTGCTGGGAGGGGACTGGTACGAGTTTGCGTCATGCCTAAACCTCAAACTGGCTCCACCAATAAACTGCCGAGGGCTAAGTTGTTGTGGAACTGGTGCTCCTGGAAGCTGCAAGCCAACACTAGGCCGATGTCCCATGTACATATGGGGGCTATTGAGTGCAAATGGCTGATTACCTCGAGGAAATGGTCCATGGCTATGCATCTAGAGGACCACAAAGTCTGGGTGAATATTTTTACAAGTGAATTGGTGCATTTAACACCTTACTATAACTAGAGATCCGAGCTGCAGCAGGTTTGGACGTCTCTTGATAAATAATTTGAAAATGCTTGCACCATTACCAGGAAATTTAAAAATATCTGAAATGTTACTTGACAGCAACGCAACCACTTAAAAATTTCATAAACACAAAACTATTTCCTGTTCCCATAATCTACGCCAAATGTTTTTAGAGAGACCCTTCTGGAAGTTTGTGGCCAGTTCTATTCCATTTCATATGCATACTACATCTAAATTTTAAGCATCAATAGAAAACATAGCTACGCATATGAAAAGATAGGCAAGAATTTGATACACAGTTTTAACTAACAGTACCAAGAATATTGATCTAAAAATGATAGGAAAGAAGCCCTGGGTCACTAATGGCTTATCTTTTCGAAAGCATAGCACAAAATGTCGTCCCGACAATGAAGCGATGAGATTTTGGAGATAAATATATCAGAAAAGAGATGGCTGCATTGGAAGAATAAGTGCTAACATGCCAAGACATTGATATTAACAAAAGAAGCAGCTGTATTCGTCTTTCTTCCCTTCAGGGATAACATAGACGCTTTATTCAATTTCAAAAGCTATCTGTAAGGGTATCAACAAGCGCAGTAAACAGAAAATCGCCAGTAATGATACATGGTCGATAGCCTTGAATATCAGCCTAAAACTGCAGGGCTTTAAAGAAAGATGCCAAGAGTTTCCACGAAAAGTTGTGGCAACAGACTTAGTAACTATGATGTGTGTAAGTTTTGAGGTTAAATATTGGGTGTCAGCTTCAAGTTTTTTGCATGTAGGATATGACAAAAACTAGGCAATTCAAGCTAACCAATAATAAATATAAGAGGAAATGACTCCGGGAAGGACACAGCCCTTATATGGCTGGGACATTAGAAAGATGAAGAACACAATTCTTAAGTTGTGTCGAGATGTAACGGGATCAAAGAAGCATGAATTTGATGAAGAGTAAATTCCACACTTCAGGCTAAACACAAAGTCTAAACGTTTTGTGGAAACAACAACAACAACGAGAACATAACAACAAGAGCACAATTGTCTAGCAGACGTCCCCAAAACAAATGCATGAATCCAGATGTCAAAGGGCTGACGACAACACCCCCTGGCTACAAGCCAAACAGTTCGACGTCCAGCACACCCTAACGATAAAAACGATGCATTTATAGCTATATTTGTATACTGCTAAGTTTCAAAGAGGCCGCTCCAAATGATGTCGGGTACCGCGAGGGGGTACGGTTATAGCAAAATGCGTTATAATTTAACGCTGTTTCAGAGAGAGGATGGGTGCAGGTTAATTTACAAGCTCCATGAAGTTTCTCCTTATCTGTAACTTCTGCAAAAAGGGTATGGCGTAACAGAGCGATCCATTATGTGACAGAGTTATGTTTACGTATTGCTTTCTTGAAAAACCACATCAATTTGTTGCAGAACGTTAGGGACCTGGCGAATCGCAAGGCGCAGGTCAACATAAGCTGTAACATAAGGCCACGCTATATGAAGTAACTTAATTGTAATTGTATAATCTAGTCTAAATATATTCACTTACCAAATGGCCTAAAGCGATGGCGGCTGCACTCTCGGCTGCCTCCGCTTTGCTTTTGCACATCAGACCACCAAAGCAAATAGCAGGACCCACATTTACAACAGCATGCACACCCTACAAAGAAAAAGCAGACCTTAATTAAACCGTTTATACACAGAACAACACGTACAAAGTATTTTCAAAAGTATCGCACATAAACAAACTACGACAATATATACTCATTTTTCTGATAAGAAACAAAGGTCGACGTCAAGTACTCCAGTTTCTTAAGGCTCGGGAACTTCAATACCAAAAGACCTCGAAGTAGCCCCGGGGGCTTATTTTGCGAAACAATTGGGATGGGTAATATGAAATATTATCTGGGTGAATTTTCTCCATCTATTTGATGTTGGTCAGTTTGCCTAACATTACAGATATATTAGGATAAACCTACTGTTGTCGAGGCAATATTATATTCAAGAGGGGGCTTATTCCATAAAAATTACTTTAGGGTGGGGGTTATTCGAGGGGATCTTACTCCAGGTCTTATGGTACGCATTGTTTCTAAAGACTTTTTTAAACATGTTGTCTTTAATTTTCACATTCGGGGTCCTAAATTTAATTTTTCATGCCACAAAATTTTTCAACAATGAGACAGGAAAGCTGGTCAATGATTTTATTATTTTCAAATGCCCGTGACAGACGGATGAATGAAAGGATCAACCAACCTGAGGGGTCACGGAATACGTGTATTGTGGTGCTGGCATTTGACTCTCAAAGCACCACTGCTGTAGGCCTTTGGCTGGGGCCGATACAGTCCTAAAAACAAAACAAAAAACATCCAAAATGCCATTCAAATATTTCCCTTATCAATTTGCAATTTATTCAGGCCTTGTGAATTCATAATGTTAAAATATTAATTTTCATGTGCTGGGAATCCATAACGACTTTAAAGATATCGGCCAGAATTTAAGCATTTTGCGTTCGAACCAACTTTGGGTTGGAGCAAGCTTCTGGTTACGCACTAAAGCCTTCATTACACCTTCTAGCATTTGCAACATGTACATCAAGAAAACATGGCGCTCATACGGTCAAATCGTGATGAAATTCTCAGAAATAATTCTAGATTCATGAAATATCCTTCATTTTCCACTCTTAATCCTCTGGTTCAGAGTGCAAATGTCTACTTTCAAGTAATGCTGTTAGCGTTACATTCACATGAAATTATAACTGGTTTCATTCTGTATTTAAAATTGATTTTAATAACTCATAGTTATTTATGGTGTACATATCATATGCTACGCTGCTCATGTTTTGTGTATAACTTCATAAATTGTCGTATTTTGGGTAACAACTGCAATTCACAGATGTAAAGGGCATTTTGTGGGTGACGTCATTAAAACAACTTTAGCATATTCCCAAGAGTTTTATCTCTGGACGTGTTTGTCTCACAAACCAAATCTGATCATCTCTCATCTAACCCAGCTGTGCCTAACAACAGCGGTAAAATACTGAATATATGCGCTGCCTTCGCTCCTTCGTCGCTTCGAAATTGAATTAGCCCACAACTAACTCATATATCTACTCACCCGGGCATCAGAGGACTTGTGGGACTGGCGGGGCTATTCAATGGCGGCTGATCAGCACCTGTAAAAATCAAAACAGTTATTGGCTGTTAACATCATCTCATTGCTGCAAAAAGATGGCTATTTGGAAAAAGGTGAACAGAACGAGAGGATCAATCCCCAAAATCATAGGTATGCGTTGGAGTGCAGTGGCGGACACTTGGGGGGGGGGCGACCCCCCAGTACTTTGGAGGACAATGGTCTTTTGTTCTAAAACAATGGGAAATGTGACGTCATCTTTTTAAAACAATAGGCTTGCCCCCCCCAATAAGTGTCCGCCCCTGTTGGAGTGGAACCTACATTCCTGACACACTCGTTTGGCAGCTTGACTACTGTATAGCGAAGAGAAATGACTAACCGTAAGATGACCAACAAGGCGTAAGGCGCACATTTATAATTTTCCATCACAGTAACAAATCAATTTTATTGCTGAGAACAAAGCTTTTCAGCTACAGGATTATGAAGCAGGTCTACGGGTGAGCCGTCCCAAAGAAAAAAATAACATTCACCTGCTACATTTGAGACATGTGCCTGAGACATGGTAGGTGCAATGGTGACCCAACAAGGCACAATGGTTATCATAAATGCAACATGACTTACTCTTGCTCTGGAAGAGCTTGTTTATTATCTCATTCGCGTGTATGCGCGGCAAATCCGCAGATAGCTTCCCATGTGGCTTTGTGCTGTCCAGAACTCGTTGCTGCTCTTTGCTCGCTTGTCTTTGGCTATCATCACCAGCGTGCTGAGCAGTCTTTGCCTTGATGTTCAGCAGTTTCTGGAGCCTGGCTGTCCCCTCCTAAATAATAGAGTGATCCAAAAATATGATAGTGTAAAGGACATATGTAAAGGTGAATGAAAAGACCAAGCACAGAATATGTTAGCGTACAGAACAAAGCCTTCTCGAAAGAAAAAAAGCTGCAGGGGCAAGCCTTTGCTTATAAACATTAAAAAAGAGGAGGACAATGCAAAAGAGCTATTCTTTAAAACAATGGAGCTTAAGGCTGGAGGGGCAATTGCCTCCCTAGTTAGTATGTAAAAAGGCCCTGGTAGAGAACCGCGGATGAGAATACAGAGTAGGGGGGGTGGGGGTCTAGAGAAGTCTCACTTACAGATTATTAAAAGCAGTTGCGTGAATATTGAAGGTTGAACGTTGGTGAACGTTGATGAATATTGGAGGTGAACGTTGAATGGCTAAATAATTGCACACCAATTATTTAGCCATTCAACGTACAATGACATAAATGAGGGTAGATTGTCAAGTTTCTATTTTTCATCAGAAGACCTCAAGGGTGGCTTTCTTACAAAAAAATAAAATAGAATGAATGGAGTTTAGATAAATCCTCACCAAGTTAACTTTTTCTTGTTCCAGTGCTACATTTCCCTTTGTATCTGAAAATTGGACCGAAACAGGATTTAAATTTTTTATATAGAAATAACAGATGACAAATGCAAAGATGTCAATATAATAAAATTAATATGCAACTATGAGAATGACCGAGTGATGGACATTGATGGACATAGTAGCAAATCCAGAGGAAACAAGTGCAAGATGTCGAAGGAAAGTTCTTTCGAATGAAGTTTTGATAAAATAATCCAGAGTTTACACAAACCATAGAGAAAATAGTGGCTTTAAGTTAAACCATAGCAATAGGCAACTTCTGAGATAACCTAGATATGGTTTTACCGGTTTGTGTGCTCGATACAATAGGGGAAACGTTTGAGCGTTGTTTTCAAACAAATGAACACGGTTTTTCTCCAGGAACATATGAAGAATAAAACTTATTGGCTCTATACAACTCTATACGAAACAAACAACAACGCAAGGGGTTTTCGATTGATAGATAATCTTTTTCAGTTGGGCTTGCACGCCATCTTTCTAGCGCAAAAAATTACTTCATGTGACGCAATAGCTATCGTACAAATAATTACTTAATGTGATCAGTTACGCAATAGCTATCGTACAAATAATTACTTAATGTGATCAGTTACGCAATAGCTAACGTCGGCCAATCACAAGCGTCTATCGAACAAATATCAAAGGCACATGTCAGCTAATTTGGCAGGAGGGTTGATTTGGCGAAGCAACTCAACTGGCTACTCTATTAAAGGCTCTAAGAGAAAAAGGGGATTAAGCGCTTAAGGCAGTGCAGATATCATAAATTACCATGTTGAATATCTTTCTTGGGTTCCTGAGTCCCGACATAATCTTTTTTCCCAGAATCTTGCAGCTTCTTCCACATTTCCTCGAAATTTCCATCGCTCTCAGATTTATTCAAGATTGTATATTTTGGCCCATCACTGCAAAATGAAAGTTTGATTTTCTCAAAAAGGAGCCACTGAATCATGAGAGATTTCTTTGACGATTAACATATGATTCAACATAAAGGGGTATTGGCAAAAAAATAGAAATATCTTTTCAAAGGAGTGTTGACCCTTGCTACGACAAAATGGACAAATTATTCAAATTATAAAGCCTACAGCCATCAACAGCAAATTAAAAGAACATGGTCTAAATAAAACTATACGAAGCATATTTGGTGAAGCAAAGATCTCGGAAACTTTAAAGATTACAGAGCATAAAAATTGATACAAAAATCTTCCAATTGTCTTTCACAAGTTTGGAGAAGAAAAAAATGCGATAACAATACCCACTCATTGGTAGCGCGGCTCGTTTTGGGGCTTTCCCGATGGCTATAGTTACCGCGCGGCGATGAATCCGTCTTTGTCCTTCCACCATATCCCCTGAGCCAGTAGTCCGGGGTTTTCAAATCATCGTCCCCCTTACTTCGATTACCACTCCGGCTATAACCTCTGCCCGTGTAGCCACCCCTGCTGGTATACTTTGGTGTTGATTCCCTTGGTCTTTCATAAGATGAATTATCTGCGGACTGGTTTCGTCTTCTTTGCGGCGAAAATGGTGATGACTCTCCGTACGGCGAAGGTGCTCCCTGATTTAGAGATCTTGGCTGTGCCTTTTCTTGCAATCCTGTCAGTCTTTTCGGGGTGAAGCCTTTCTTCATCATTTCTTTTCTTTCACCATACGATATATTCAGCAACGAACTGCTGCTCATGAATGCACCCTTGTTTTCCTTACATCTAGAAGGAGATAAGTAATCAAGAAATTGCTGGAACTAAACAGTTTCTTGATGGACACTCTCTTACTAACCCAGTCTTTAAAATATCAAGGAATGAGAACAAAAAACAGATTATTAGTTGAAAACAGATTAGCCCTAGATTAAATGTTGATACTACCTTAATTGTAGGCCTCCAAGGAATGGTTGGTCAAACAAGACTTCGTATTTCAAAACACTTGGCGAGTCGCTGCTTGTCTTGTTCTCTTCAACTGTAACATGAAAAGAAGGACAATGAGATGCAAAGGAAGGGACCAGATGTTGACAATGCACTCATAAGTTTGAAAATGATTCTGTAGTATGTGGGATTTTGTTGAAAAGTGTGGAAGTGTGTAGGACCGAATAATAATTTCAATGCGAAACTAGACGATCAAATTAATAGAAAGATAAAAACGCGTTAACTATGATTTCTTGAAATGCTTTGCCTGAAATAACTGGGTCTAAGATGGGGTATGTTATTGACTTTCTACAAGGTTCATCAAAGAGTTTAATCAGTTTGGCAATTAGAAAACTAGTTATTTTCACTCAGAGCAAACTTTTTGAAGACTGATCTAATTTACCTATAGAGTGAGCCTAAATCCTTAAATATCGTCAAATCATTAAACATTCAGCTATAACTTTCGTAGCTACTAAAAATAGTAATCAGAACAATTTTAATACATCTAGTATATGATTTAATAAAATTGTAGCATTTTCGTTGATGTAGCAAACTTTATTTGAAGCTTAAAATTTTGATTTTGTAATTTCTTTCATAAATTTCGTTATTATGCAAACGTGAAATTAAAAAGTTGAATTTGTTTGGACATCTCTAAAATTTTGTGAAGGTCATGTGACTTTGCCGTTATTAGGCCATTCAACCCTTCTGCATATTTTGTTGTTTTATTCAGGAAAATCTTAAGAATCCTATGTTTTCAAGGTTTTAATTTATAAGTTGAAGCATTTTCTTAACTTCTTATTCCACTTTGAAAATACGCAGGCCTAGATTATTTGGAGAAAGACTGCCCAAATCTGAAAAAGTTCCCGTTGCAAAACCGAATCCAACGCAACGCCATAATTCGTTTATCGAATTTGTCCTAATACTTTTTAAACGTAAGTGTAATTTATTATTCATGCTTGTAGGTAGATACCGTTCAGAGTTTGTTTAAATGTACCTGACTAATGAAAGCATTTGATTCCTGCTATCCCAAAAGCCCACACCCCCCCCCCCTCGCCCATTTTCAGTCAAAATGCGCAGTATTTCAATACTCACTTTCATGCACCCCAACAATGGTTCCTCGATATCCCATAGGAACAGCTCCATCGTCTCTAACATTGACAACACGATCAAACAGATAGTAATCTGTGGTAGGGTCAGGAACAAGATCGCCAAAGTCGGCTGTTGGCTACAAATAGGAACAGTACAAAGTGAGCTATGGAGAAGCAAAATGAGGGGTCACTGATTTATCAGCGTTTGCACAGACACTTCTTCAAAGCGTGATAATCAGTACTGGATTAACAGAAACACTCTATTGATAGGAATTTAAAAGAACAACCAGTCCTGTTTAACTACGGCTTTAGATACTGATTAAGATTTTCAACATGTGGTACAAGTAAAAATAAGTTTTGCTATTGGAATTTGGAATAAATCAGCCACAGTGGAAGCTTTGAGAAGCAGATAAGATATGAGGAATAGAAAAATGTAACGTAAGGAATGCCATACCGTAAATCCTCGAATTAGCCTCCTGGGGGCTTATTCGAGGGGGGGCTTATACGAAGGGGGCTTAAAAAATTATAGTAGACATCAAGAAGATATTATCAAAATACCTCGTTTATTTTAGGAGAAATTTCTTTATGAACATTTAATTAATTATTACTAAAAGTATGAATTTTTGTGGTAATTCAATAAAACACCAAAGGAAACCTCAGATGGCAACAATTAACAAATCGAGGGGGCAGTTCGTAAATTTATGGTAGCAGTGGGGGCTTATTCGAGGGAGGCCTACAGGGACGGACTGTAGTAGGACTAACCTCGCTTTATTATATATATATAATCATAGCCTCGATTACGTTTGTATATATACTTTAACTAAGTCAATTACTTACTCATTCCATGAGTCGCTGTGTTCGTTTCGTGGCTTACTTTAAAGTGGCGGACTTTCGTCTCTGTTACAATTCGAGGGCGGGGGGGGGGGCAATTCGAGGATTTACGATATTTGAAGTACTGAGAAAGTCAATAAATGTAGCGCTCAGTGTCTTGCAAATAGCACAGTGAACCATTCTAGTCGTTTGTTTACACCCTAATCTTTTCCCACTGTTTACGTCAACTGATGTCGCTATAAATAATTTCTTTAGAAGATGCCCCCCTTAAAAATCTCAATATTTGAAGCCTCAATATAAAAACTAAGAACGGAATATAATAATACAAATAGGGTACTATCTATTTACTTTAAAGTATTCGCTGTTTGAGAGTTGCTTTGTAACTAATAAAAATAAATGAAATAGAGCATTACTAGGAAAGACAAGACCATACCTTGAATAAAACGAATGGCTTCACCTTGACTTTAACGCATTTGGTTTGATGCCGCAAAGACTATGGCAAGAGGAAAACAAAACATTACAGTGGCTATTGGATCTGACATCTAACTTCAAGTTCATTCATTAGAAATGTTACGTATAGAATTTCCTTTTGAGGGTAAAGCTTTCATCTCCTTGTCCATTTCTTTCTTTCTTTCTTTCTTTCTTTCTTTCTTTCTTTCTTTCTTTCTTTCTTTCTTTCTTTCTTTCTTTGTTTCTTTGTTTCTTTGTTTCTTTGTTTCTTTGTTTCTTTGTTTCTTTCTTTCTTTCTTTCTTTCTTTCTTTCTTTCTTTCTTTCTTTCTTTCTTTCTTTCTTTCTTTCTTTCTTTCTTTCTTTCTTTCTTTCCTTTCTTTCTTTCTTTCTTTCTTTCTTTCTTTTTTTTTTCTCATCTTTCTTTCTTTTCTTCATTTTTTCTCTTTTACTATTCTCCCCTCCCTTTCTTCAAAATTTCTTCAGTTACATGGGCTCTTATCTTATTTTCAATTACTTCTCTCTATCTTTACATCAAGCTTATTTTCTTTTCCCTTTACGCTTTTTGTTTTTCTTCTCCTTATTTTTATCTCATCTCCCTCTCCCCCCTAACATTTGACTTTTCTTTATAAAGTATCATCATTTTTGTCCTCTTACTTTTTCTTTCTTCTAACACAAACTTACCTTTGCTTCCTCCACAGCGTCCCCAATAGCACATATTATTTTCTCGTCCAGGTATTTGCTACCACATTTCACTGCTTCAGTGTTGCGAAACGCGAGAGATTTTAGAAATGTTAAAATCTCCTCCACAGAATCCTTCCTGCATCGAAACAAAATGCAATCAAAAAAAGGTCCAAGCATGTCCTTATAAGATTTCAGGTTAGGATAACCAGAATTATTGCGAATCATGGCCTGAAATTTCCAAACCTAGCACCACCAAAGAGCCAAAATGTTCTGTCTCGTGGCAATTTTTGTCTAATAAGATCACTCGAATCAGTTTTCCAAGTCAGTAAATCGAATAGATAGATTTCGGAAGTAAGATAAGACGATTTCTTCAGAGCAACATTAGAAATCGAGCAATGTGACCAAAATCTTCAGGCATGTGATAGCTACATTCATTATTGAAAAATCAAATTATAAAAGGGGGGAAAAATTATAAATCGGTAGGGCTCAGAATGTCATATTTGGCATCTTTGACTGCAAAATGCCGTCTCAGCGCCATGGAAGTATTTTTCATCATAGCCCAAAAACAAACATGTTCAATCTACGCATAGCCTAAGGTGCTTATCCATCCTCAAAAACCTTCTGAGTAGAGAAAATTTTCAAAGGTAACCCTCACAGAATAAGGCTACTATTTAATAACCCTATCATAACATTCGAATTTTATATTGACTAATTCAAAATAAAATGTGACGGGAAAACAGCACATCGAGTATGTAAGAGCAATGCGAAGCTGCTGTATGCCAAAATGTATGCAAAAATGGGACCCGTTGAAACATTTAGCTCAGCCATAATCTCCTTTTCCAAACAAGCAATCTTTTAAAAAAGACATTAACGAGCCTTTACTTTTCGAGTTATCCTCCCTCTTAAAAAGGAGCCCCTATTCCCTTAATACCGTGTTTTCCAACAACTTTGCCGTACCCACTCTAATGTGCCGTTAGAAATTGTCTGGTGTGCCGTGGAAAATTCTCCAATTTCACCTAACTGGTCTAAAAAACTGGCCTAGGTTTTACACTGAGTGAATAAAAATAGTATGTTTTGTATAAAATACTTTTTCTTTGTGCTTTTAATTTCTATACAAGACAATTTGATTAGAATTATTAAATATTGTAAACATAGGCCACAGAGATTCGTTTTAAAAAATTTTCTGTTTGTGGTGTGCTTCTTGATTTTCTAAATGAAAAATGTGCCGTGGACCAAAAAAGGTTGGCGAATACTGCCTTAATCAAATGTCTACCTGAAATATATATCTAAGATGTACACACGAGGGGCATATTCCTTATACTTTGAGGAAAAATTTCCTATAGTAAATAAACAACAATTCAATTTTCTTTCTTAGAGACACAAAATTGTTTACTTAACATGCAGACTGCAATCACAAGTGATCCCTGCTCAAAACGAACGTTTCATGAACAGACTTGCTAAATCAAGAAACTTACACATTACTTAGCCTTAACAGGGTCTTAAATACCTATTGAAAGTGCCTATTGAAAGTGCCTAATGAAAGATAAATTTCTTGTAGGCTCTTAAATTCGTAGGTTCTTCTTTGCGGGGTTCTAATGAACCGTGAACAGGCTAGAAACATTGATGAATGTCTTACAGCAAACTTACCAAGTTTGGTCAGGAAAGAGGATACTTTGTTCATAGCATTCTTGTTCCGGCAAGTTAGATAGCATTTTGAAGAGTTCCGGAAATCTGAAAAAAATTCAATTTTTATCACGGTTTGCTTCAACAAGAAAAACGCAAATATATGGTCTCATCCCGCCCGAGTCACATTCCAATTTACCATCATTTTTGGTAGGCATGATCTAATAACGAGTTAATATCGTTTTCTAAACCGAGACTGACCCGGTTCAGGCTGATTGTGCTGATGTGTCAAGGTCTACGGTGAAGAGGTTGAAATGCAAGAAAAAGAGACTAGAAAATTATTGGAGAAACAAAGACGTACCAGCATGCACATATGGGAAATGTCAGCTATACTCAGATAGAACAATTTGTAAACCTTATTCGAATACTAAGGTTTCTTCATTCCAATTTTTGGTTGGTAAACAAAAATTGATAAATGACAACGGATTTAAACAACCTGATTCAGTATAAAGATGTTTATTATACCTAGCTACGTTGCTTTGAATTGCAACTGGTCTATCCAATTAATTTCAAAGAGAATTGTCGTAAATGTGACATTTGAAAAAATTCAGATAGGTAATATACAGTGGCGGACAACTGGGGGGGCGGGGGTGCGAGGGGGCGGACGCCTCCAATTCTTTGGAGGACAATGGTCTTTAGCTCTAAAAAAATGGGGAAATGTGACGTCATCTTATTAAAACAATAGGCTTGACCCCCAATATTTTCCCAAAGTGTCCGAAAATTTTCGAATTGCCCCTACCTTTCAGTAAGTCCCCATCTCAAAAACCTCCAAAATAACAGGCCCCCCGGGGGCTGGTTTGGGGCTTTGCGGTAAATCCAGATGTTCCCTCTCATATAAAAGAGGAGGATATAGTAACAACTGCTACTTTTGGCATAGGCTTCTTGGCAATTGCTCAAGAATCTACGCAGGTCTTGGTCAGCGCTTCTGTCACAGGCAGCCTTTCCACTAGCCTGGGTTAAAACATATCCGGGTTAAAAGTTATCCGTTTGAAAGTGAGTCAATGGAAACGGCACTTTTCTTCGACCCGTTTTTAATCCGTTTTTGATCGTTCCCACTAAGCCGCGTCCAGATGTATCCAGAGTGAAAAGTTGTAAGAGAAATAAGTATTTGCATCAATAATCCTTCAATTTATATTGTTGTAGACCAATGAAGGCAACATTGACATCCAGGATTTTGTTTTTTTATTTTTGCGCCATCTCAATTTTTAAACGTTGTTGTTGTTGCAAGTGGGTCAGAAGTTATCCGGGTTTCGGCGTTTCCATTAACTCGCAGGTGGGTCAAAAGATACCCGGGTAAAAACTGACCCACTTTGAGACCCGTTTTCAAACTTATCCGTTTTTCAAGTGGGTTAGTGGGAACGCGACGCAGAAACGGATAACTTTTAACCCGGATATGTTTTAACCCAGGCTAGTGGAAAGGCTGCCACAGTCTTTAAATAACACAGAAGCCAAGCTTTTTGGCTGCTTACCCATTAAAAAGCTTAAATTTAACCTTCCAACATTTCCATGAACACTCAACACTTCGACACCAATTTGTCCCTGCAGACTTAAATACTACAAAAATGACGTTTACAACAACAGTTAAAAACAGTTGAAACGTGGCGACCAAGGGTAAACATACCTTTGTACATAAGAGCATAGAACATCGATTGCGTTCTCTGAAAATGACCATCCTTCCTCGTCACGCCTCGCATACCCAAGGACCTTTAGAAAAAGAAAGTCTAACGTGAAGAACTATTTCTATTACTAATCGATTCATTTTTAGTTTTTAATTACAAATATCTTGGATGAGCATTTGTTGAATTAAATGTCCTTGGTTGGCGTATGCTACCAAATAGGCCCTGAATTTTTACTTTCCCAGGTTGGCTCAAGATTTGAAAATAATTTTATTTTCAAATGTTGATTATATAATTTCACCTCACCCATTTCATCACGTTTCGTTTAAATTATAAAATATTTATACAGGATAAGTCGTTTCAGTATAAAACTGCTTTTCAAACGAGTCCCGCAAATGACAAGGAAATGAGCCGAAGGTCCCTTTAATAGAGAATTTCGACGATAAAAAGCGCGTTTAACTTGCTGCTTCTCAAAATAGAAAGTAAATTGCTTTTTGGCAGAATTTGGAGTTAGCACGAAATAGCGGAAACATTGCATACTGTAGCACTTTTCGTCTGATATGTTGGATAGGCATTGGATAATGGCCAAAAGTAAGCAGAAAATTTATATCCAGATTTAAGTTTATATAAAAATTATACTACTTTATTAAAAAGCTGTCAGGGGTGGGGGCTCCAGCCCCAAAGTCCCCACACCGTCGGCGTCTATACAGTTCAAAATGCAAACTACAACTTTTTGAATGTACATTTGCCTGTAATGCTCAAGCAAGCGTCAACAAACGGCAAAATATAAATTAAAATTGAGTATTTCTTCCAGGATTCCCTATAATCACAAAACTGTTATCCTTCATTCTTCAACCATAACATCAAAGCTATTGTAAGAATAAACAATGCTAAGATCTACTGACCTTACCTCTCGATTCCGTCCAGAAAACTTCAGTTTTAGGCCGATATTTGTTCTCGATTCAGACATACTGTCAAAACAAATAAATATTACACATTCACAGGATCGCTGGTAAAAACGTAATTTTTCTAAATGTTCAGCCATTTTGAAAAGACAAAACATCAAGATAATCGGGGCAATACGGCGAAGTTGTGTCAACAAGAAACAAATATTGGCATTACAGATTGCTTATTATTCATTAGAGGTGTGGAAGCAAATCTTTCAAATGGCGTAGGGGAAAGTGAAAGGGTTTTTCCTCTTTAAAACGGGATAAAAATGGGACGAAGGGACATATTACTGGGTAAGGGGAGACGGTACTTCTTATACGGGAAATAGAACATAGGCTGGCTTTGGCTGCATATAATTTTTATTTCATTTTCAAATCTGGGTTAATAGCAGCAACATTTTTGGGTTTGAGCTCAGAGAGTTTGGTAGTTGGCATCGTTAGTGGAACAAGCCATTTCAGAGCCATGGAAGTAGATCTCTCATCATTGCTCGCAGCCCTCGCAATGTGTCAATCAAAACACAATGCGGGGCCTTTCATAAAACATCCTCGTCGTGCTCTGTCGTCTCTAGTTCTACGTTTACAGGGAAAAGTTTGTTTTAAGCCAATGCTATTGATGTAGGCTAGCAATGCAATTCCAATAATGGAAAACATTCAGAGGAATGCTTCAACCGGGGACGTCATCTTAATCATAGGCAAGTGGCACTGATTCTGCGACCTTAGCTCACGTTTCTGATTGGCTAATTTCGATCCACAACTGGATATACATATTTCATAGATTAGAGCTCTTTATCTACGTTCTGACGTTTGATAATCCGAAGATTATCAGATGAAAATTTTAAGTATGCTTCAAAATTCTTCCTTTTCAAAGGCAGTTTAAATAATAATTATCATCATTACTATTATTACCCTAAAAGTAGAGTCATAATTATCATTAAGTAAACTTGAATAAAAACATTGCAACTTGTGTTAAACAAGCGCTGTTCGCAAAGGAACATAAAACAAGTAAGCAAATCATATATGAAAAATATCTTACAACAGAAAAGAGACTGGGTACTAAACGTCAATTATAGACAAAGAGGCTGCTACTATGACAACCATTAATGTACCTTGCGCTGTTTTTTGTGACTAATATATTGCCAGTTATCTTTGACAGGAGTCTGCTTGATAGCCCAACTCTCCTTGCAGCAGCATCCAGTGAGAAATAGCGATCTGACAGCTTCTGAAGTTTAACAAAACTTTTAATCAAACAAAGAAATTGTGCAAGGATGCTATATCCAAATGTCTACATGCAAATTTGTATTCTTAAAACGTAACACCCTTCTTCAAGGAAAACCGACTAACAACTGGCTTTTACCTCGGCTAATATCCGATTTCCAACACTTCAACACGACCATTCGTCGAAAAGTTTCTAGATGTGTACACAAATACTACGGAGAATATTACTACGGACAATGAATAGACAAAAAAGTGAACAATGATCATAACGTTGCCAGAGCCAAAAATCGAAAACTTACGGTTTGGTTGTTTATAACATCTTCGAAATCCGGTTCGGGCGGTACTGCTAACGAGACCCGGACCCTCGATGAGTCGGTATCAACCTCTAGCACCTGTAAAATATCCGGAAGAATATTGAGTAAATCATGCGGTATAGAAACACAAAATTAGAGCGGTACCCTGACCGTCTAGTGCCTTTCTGTAGATACATCTCTCACAATATCATTTCATCAAGTCAAACCCCCGGCAAAATACAAAAAAGGGCGGCTTGGGTAGTGTGCAATAAAATGGTATTTGAGAATGACCCTTTGAAAGGCAGTTTGGTTTAAACTACAGTTTTTTGTCTAACATTCCATTGGAATTCTTTACTTTGGGACCCGGAAAATTTTCAAGTGTTTTATCAAATTTTTAGACCTTGGGAGCTCAATTGATGAAAGTGACAACAATTTAGTTTCTCAAATTTAAGCAAAATGCTGTGCCCGAAATTAATTCAAGCCAAATGCTCCTTAAAAACCTCAAGGCCCGAAATGATTGGGACCAGGGACGCCGGAGAAGGGGGCGCGGGGGGGGGGGTCAACAGCCCCTGTTGCCTTTTGATAGGAGAGGCAAGAGGGGCCAGAGTGCCCTTTTCATTAAAGTGCCCCTGAAGCCGGCCAATTGTAATAATCAGAGAGAATCATATGAAATTCTGATTGCAGTGCTTAATTCATGACGACATTTCTCAAAACTTTTGAAATAAATCCTCATACCAAAAGTTTGCCAATTTTCAAGATACCTACAGAAGCTCGAAATAAAATTACATTTAATAGAAGGAATTAGTAGAAGCTGGGAGTTATCCTTCAAATGCCCTTTTACTCAAGCCTGCCCCCTTGCCCCTTGGTCGTTACAGTGTCCCTGAATGGGACCGACATTTTTGGCACCTGATAAAGGCTGCTTGATATTTATATGATATAGGCTCCTGATCTTTATCTGCAAGTGTTTTCAGAATAATGATGTCAACAAATGAGGTTTGTGTCGCTTGATCTTCAAGACTAGGGGGGTGGAGGGTCATCAATAGTAAAATTCACCGACGAGGACATAAATGGAGAACAATTTAGGTGTAATTCCACCAACTGATAGACGATCTATAAAAACCAGCATGTTACCTCTCCAGAGCATCCATAATGTGGTGATGCCATCATGAAACAACTGTTTCCAGGTTTATATAAATCGTCTAGCGATTTGGCTTCTTTTTGATATTTTGACGTGTGTACTTTGAGATCCTGTCAACGACAAAAGGGCAAATCGAATCAAAAGTGGAAGCAAAAACTGCAACGAAAGACGGTTCGGTTGATAAAATTACACGACCAAACAAAACAGAATTGAAAAAATTATGCGAGTGCAGCAAGTATATGACAAGCGCACATTAAGAATCCGGAGGAATCATGTTTTGCTGGAGCTTCGCCTGAAAAGACTCTAATTTAATACCTCTAAACGAATACCTACCTGCTTGAGATAAGACTTCATTTTTGGAGTTGGCTTTGATAACTTTTTTACGATAACTTGTTGCATCCTTACAACATTTGTGTCTAGCAGTGTTAATTCTAGAGTACCCTGTTCACTTTGATGAATTATATAACATTTGCCTGCTGACTGTTTTCTAAGAAACGACGAACTTTTCTAGGAAGTGTCGATGACAATGCCAATAATGACGAATATGACAGATGAAAGACATGTGATCGGTGAGGTGGATGGTAATAATTTCTACTTACCCGAATAATGGCCTGCAACGGATAGAACGTGTGCGTGTCAGCCCAATGTTTCTCGAGTGTGACTTTTCCCTTTGGTCCACAGACGTATCTCTTGCCCTTCAACGTCTTTGCTTCTACGAGAACCTTCACTTCGCCTGGGTCAATGCCCTTTCTTTCCAACAGATTCGTCCGCACATTCTTCATCCAGAAAAAGGCATCGTCAATTTTCGCCTTAGTCATCTTGTCCTCCTCAACTACATTTTCCGCCTGTTTCAGGATGAATCTTCTCTCGCCATCTGTGATTGCTGTAACCAGCGCTTCCACTAGATATGGCCACTCAACGTGTACTATACTTCCCACTGTCTCCCTCATCACATCGACATCTATTTCTTCCTCTTCCTTCTCAATGCTTATGATCGTGTTCTTTGATTTGCTGGCATACGAGAATACCCTCACACCGGCTTTTCGCAATTGTGCCTAATGGAAGAACAAGGAGCAATGAGGCAATAAGGCAATGAGCAAAGAACGCTATAAACTGGAAGTTGGGACAAAGAGCTGGTCAGGTGAAAGGTTCTATCTAAAAAACGAATATATTCTGACATAAGAAAAATTTAGATATTTTGTCAGGAAAATTATGAATAGAGGCTTGTTTTCATTTAATATCCACTAAGAAGATACAAAAATTAAAAAACTATAATACTGCTAGAGTCGCTTCTAGAAAGGTGAAAAATACTAAACAACTGCTCCAGTGGGTGCCAAAAAGTTAGGTTCATTGTCCCCAGGCACATTCAAAATGGAAAAAGGGGGCCATTTCCACAAACAAGACTATATTTTACCCTGACAAAAAACTGAAAAAAAATTTAGGAAATATGTTTAGGACCATTGTGCAATTTATTGTTTTGTTGTATGCTTTATTGTTTTCACTGAGGGTGTTCACAACAAAAGGGTCTTAATTTATTCATTTGTTCAACGATTTGGGTATATGATAAAAAATAGGAAACTTGAAACTTACTTCATGAGGGATATGTTTCAATGTAGGGAAACCAGGAAAATAGACATCCTGTTGCACGCCTTCACTTAGTCCTGCAAAAAAGAGGCAGTCAATCAGTAAGGGTACGACGGATTGACTGCTCAATCGATTCATTGATTGTAATGATTGCGAATATTGTAACGATTGTAATGTGTGAACCGGCGGCCTTTCGGTATATAAACAGCGCCCAATGTTGAATCATTGATGCGAATTTATTTGTTCAAAAAAAAATATTGTAACGATGCGATTGTCAATGAAGGTAAAACAGCAGCAATGAACTAATTGGAACATGACGATTGACTTTTGAATGATTGATGGTGATTAATGATTGATGGTGATTAATGATTGATGGTGATTAATGATTGATGGTGATTAATGATTGATGGTGATTAATTGTGATTGACGTTGATTGATAATAATGAATATGAATATGATCGATCACATTAATATTCACCCTTGATGATGCTTTAATATAAATAAATATACACCTTTTTTGATAAATTTGATATCAATGTGGAACTTGTCTTTGTCTATCTGCTCACAACTAAAAAGAGAAGAATCATGACAATTTCTTTAGGCTTATGAAGAAAAAATATGATTACAACTAGAATGATAGAATGTGATTGCTTTCCCAGGACAATCACGCTCGTGTAGCAAAAGGAAGTACATGATACTCAAACATTTCACTAAGCTAACAACTTCACCAGATGAAGCATTGCAGTTGAAACAAAATTTGTTCTGAAACTTAACGCCAAGGGTCTGAATTAAAAAGAGAATTTAAACACAGGGAGCCAAGCTCACTCTTTACCCAATCAATAACTGTCAATAACTTTCAGAATTGAATTGAAATATTCACAAAACTGGCCTAGGAACTTTACCACAGATTCGTTTCTTACTTCTTATCACCATTGCGAAGGTAAATACAAATTTTCCAAGCAACCCTTAGGTACCCCCGCACCCCTTAGGTACCCCCGTTCAGTAAATGAATGCTTGCTATCTTACTGTGCTTTGCAGACAGCGATGTCCTTAAACACACCGGGGTATGTCGATGGAAACACGAAATTTAAATCTTTCGAGTAGCTGTATTTCAGGCATTTGCCAAAAGAATTTCTCTCTTTTTCTTCATCAGTCAGTCTGGAGTAATGTGTAGCCATGGCACCAAGCAAACGACGCTGCAACAAGGAAATAAATAGGTCAGCAATTGAGTGAATACGTTAGTAAACATTAAAAATACTTTAAACAATAATCTTGTTTTCGGTAACAAAATATGTTGACTTTCATTGAATAGGAGGGGCAGGGTTTTACTCAACTCGGACGAAAGATCACAGGAATTTTTTTTTCCATTTTGTCCTAGGAAAAATTTAACTCTTTGAAGTATACATCTAGAGGTTAAAACCTTATACAACTGTATATATAATGTTGGTAGGTGTACCAAGGGTTTTCGGACGCGTTTTTGAGATTGAAATCTACTCACCTCGTCGATAAAAGGGATCAATACGACGGCTTCCCATTCCTGCTGTTTTCCATTCAAATCCGTTTTGAACTGCGTTGGGTAATAATCGATGATTGGTGAGGTGTCGTTTACCATTAGACTCTGCGAAAAAACAAAACAGGAGTTGCAACATACATAGTGAGCTCAATGACAATTCAAGAAGAGCAAAATAAATTTTTAATTATACTTAGAATATACTTAGAAAATCCCTTCAATCCGCCTAGTCTAACTAAAATTTGTTTAATTCCACAGCTACACCAAAAGAGTCATTCTCAGGGTAAATATGTTATATGCATAACTCTAAAGAAAGCAGGACGATAGCCGAATAATGCCAATGTAAGAGCTTGTGCTCGTTCCTGCAGTGTAAAAACGATTCACGTCACGTTGAGTACGAACCAATTGCTGCTTTAAGCTTGGTAATGAGATAAAATAAACTTTACAATTGAAGGGTCAGTTTACACTTTAGGATAGAAACAAAATAGAAATCGACAAATGTTTATGGTATGTTATGCTGGATATAAAAACGGCCCAGTTCTGAAGAAATTAGCACATATAAAGACTATTATTAAATTAGCACAAATGGCACATCTTGTCAAGGAGTATGGAGCATAAAAGGCAAGTATAGTACCTAAATTGACTCCAAGTGTAAATTAGATAATACAACAGGCTATTGCTTGGAGAAACAAATCGTTGTTGCAAGTGCGGGTATAGGAAAATTAAGAGAGAAGATAAAAGGAGAATATAAACTCTTTTTGTATGAACAACGCCAGCTTTTATATCTAATAAAAATGAAGACTAAAGTATTTCTAGTAGTTTTCTAGTCTTAGTTTTCTTGTAGGTGTTCCCTGTCATATAGCCAATACTTGTGCGCTGTATATGAGAATTGCTGTATAGCAAAGACACTATGTAAACTCAGTCAATCTCAGTCAATCGTTCACATTAACGTTTATGATAGAAAAAAGCATTGCAAATTAGCCTTACGTTGCCAAACGTAACAATAACTATGCGTCGGGGCATTGCCCCTTTAACGTTTGAACCGCAGACTTTGACTAACCACAAGTTAGACTTGTTTTTGACCTAAACAAAACAACCCATTCTCAAGCAACACTTCGCTTTTGAAAACCAAAGCATGATAAATGCATGAAAACTATGAAAAACATGTGATTATTTCATACCTGAAAAGCATCTGGTAGCAACTTTCTACTGTATGAGGGTAGAACAGCTAGCAACTGCTCGAATGGCTTGAAGGGTTTGCTCTTTTCAAGTGTCAAATCGAAAGATTGAATATTGAGAATATCAGAGATGTAAGGTGCGTAGTGGTATGGGTAATACCTGCAATAAAAAATGTTACTGATAAATCAACAAGGGGTAAACATCAGACAATGCGCATTTGTCTAAAAGTGGGTTGGCTGAGAACGGTGTGGCCGAACAATTTGTGAGGCAACGCCCTTTAGAATGCCGGAAAACGCCCCTTTTAGAAAACAGTTGTTTCTTTTACTTATCGCTTTTAAACAGTCTAATTTAGAGAGGATAACAATTTCTATGCAAAAAGATTAGACGCCAAGAAAATGAACAAAAACTGTTCTTACTTAGCATCCGTTAAGTAAACTTTTCCAAAGTTGGGCTAGAGTAAATTTTATAAAAAAAATTGTAACCTATTTTTGAAAGGGGGGTGAGGGGCTTTAGCCCCTGCTAGATTAGCAATTGGATCCCTAAGCACGGTACAAATTGAAAGATAAGCTACTTTCATCTCAAATCAATCAAGGCAAGCGCATGCATGACAATTTCTAAAAAATCTGACATTGAACAGTAGGACATAATTCAACAAAGCGTTAAAAACCCACCAACTCCAAGATTGTATACCATTGTAGTAGTAGTGCAGATTCCATTGGATAGCCAGGATATATTCAAATGCAACTTTTGAGATAAATCCGCTGCAAAATAGGCAAGTAAAGTTATTAGAGACTTCATATAACTAAAGATCTGCAATGACGTCAACAAAATCATTTCTAGAGTGGTCGATTTTAAAGCATTAATTGGCGAAATTTTACAAGAAAGATGAAAAAACATTTTTGTGAGAAAGTTAAAAAATTAAAACAGTTATATGGCTATCTATTTTCTCTTTATTTACGTCTACGTGCCTCCTCGATTACTTTCCTTGCATTATCAATTATTTTTAATTGTCCTTTGAGTATAAACTGATATAATGACGAAGGCAAACTAGATGAAGAACAGCTGAATAAAGAACTAATAGATATGATCGATAATGATTTGGATCCTGAGGAATTGATTCCAAATAACTGTTAAAATACCCCTTTCCTATTGTCGAAACATTACTCTTGCAATTTTATTGCAAACATTTTTCTCTTTATTCATAGGCGCATATGTCTGTATCTGAATCGTTTTTTCGTACTTTGGAAAATCACAATATCGCGAATTTCCGTTTATAAGCGCATGCGCTTTTGAGCGGGGGTAATAGGGTAAATAAGAAATGAACACATACTCGTCAGCGACCGGGACTTCAAACTTCTCCACGTAATACGCCCTCTTGTGCTGCCTAAATTCAAGATCAAACAACTCCTCGCCTCCATCGAGGTCCTTGAAACCCAGATCACCAAACAAACGCTCTAGTTTCTCATCATTTCCGCTTTCTAGTTCCAACGTCCTCTGGGATGTGTCAAAGGCTGAATCGTCAAATGCATCAGACACGTCTGCCAGGGCCATATACGGGTTTCTCACCGGAATCATTATTTCTTCTTCCACTTGAGAAACCAATTTGGAAAATTTCTAAAAACAAAAAAAAACACTTACTAAAATATAAAACAATTGCCAGTATGAAAATGAAAAGAAATTAAGCAAAAGCTTTGAGACTCATAAACTCTAAACACATTGAAGCCCAAAAGTTAAACATCAGTTTGGATATCAGTTGAATAATCCATTGGCTCCAATCCCTTTAGGCAGCAAACCATTCGTTTCCACATCTATTGATTCCAAATATTTACTGAACAAAAACTTAGACTTTTGATCGTCGACATACAATGGGTTCTTTTGTTATAGCGTCCTTTGTTGCTATATATGCATATAAAGCCATTACCAGACCCTGTATATTGTTATAAAGATACTAAACAAAAGAGGACAGGTCACATTGAATGTAAAAAAGAAACCCATACCATGCCTTTGTTTCCTCCCTTTCTCTTGTTCGGTGAAAATGATCTTCCAGTTCGACCTTCCAGCCATTTCATATCAGCATAGACATCTTCGAAACGATCTCTGTCAAACTAAGAACCGACAATAAATAATGGAATAAATACAAAAAGCTAAAAGGGCGTAATTAAAACAAAAGCCTGAACAGTTTGGTTCTGTCTTATAAATCTTCACAACCAATGAAAATATCATAAAAATCTCTAAAAGTCATAGCTTTGGCCGTCCACAGAATGCTTAGTTCGGGGTATAGATTCTCTTGTAATTTGGTAATAAGATAGGGTTATCTCTGGTTATCTCTAAAGCTATTTTTAAAGTCATAAATTTTAAAGCCTCAATCCTTGACTATCCACACCAAACTTTCTAGCTATCTTTAGAGAAAACAACAGTCTTGGGTTTGTATCTATCATAAACAATTAAAATAATAAACAAAACACATAAAGAATTTGTCTTATTTGATAACTTGATGCTTGAAGCAGTATCCCTATTTTCATGCCAATTAAATTTCTTCTAAATAGCACCAAAAAGCGAAAACATAGTATATATCTTCAAAGTAAGAGGTTGGCCGTTGAAGCCCCACAAGGAGTCGCTTCGATACCCAATTTGCCTAATGATGAAAATAGCAGAGCTCGTTGAAAACAATCAAATTAAAATCAATACCTTTGACAAGGCTTCTAAATATTTCTGGAACCTGGGTAGGTTTAGTATACCACCATCATGCAAGTATCCTGCGAAATGGAAGGAGTAAGTAACGATGGAAAAGCATATCAACAACTGCAAGAAATGCAACTTTAAAGACTACAGGCACAAGGCAAGAAAAACCGTATCTACTTGAGCATTTCAGATGACGTATTTCAAAGGATGAGGGGGGGGGTGGGTGGGAAGGGAAGATAGAGTGAAGATAGGGCGTAGATAGTGGGTAGTTAGGGGGGAGATGGGAGGAGAGATTGAAAGGGAAAGATGAGAGAAAAGGATGGGAAAGAAAGACGGGAGGGTAAGACGGGAGAATAAGATGGGAGGGTATGATGGGAGGGTAAGGTAGGAGGGTAAAATGGTAGGGTAATATGGGAGTGTAAGATGGGAGGATGGGGGGAGGGGGAGGTGGAGGATGATATCTTTTAGTGCCTTTGACAAGGTCGATCAAATAAAACTTCAAAGAGATGTAATAAATGATAGTTATAATGACGCAATCTGATGATGCAAGGTCTGTGAACAAACTTACCATCTAGCTTTGGCATCGTTTCAATGTATATTTTATACAGGAATGGAAGAGCATCCTAAAAGAAAAGATAAGCAACTCAAAAATGGAAATTAAAACACTTGCAGGATGACGCCTGTTCTTCTGCGAATAGGCTTTTAAACAAATAGGATATAACAAAACGAGGAATGGATTTCTTGAGAGAATACAATCCAGGCTACCACAAACCAATCCGTCAATTCCAGTCACTAATTTGTTTGTTTTAGTTGATAAGGTTAAGGGAGAGGCCTAAGGGAAGAAGAGGTTAAGAAGAGAGGGAGGTGAGATTAAGATTAAATTTGGATCTTGATCTAGAAAGCAAAATGAGAGTAAAGCATTCAAAAGTTTACAAGGTCTGAATAAGTTCGGATATCTTCATGAGACATAAAATGATAAGCACAAATAATTATATTCTTGGTCATTTAAATGTGCAGGGGTTGCTAAACAATATTTAGAAGTGGAAAGTAGGGTATATACTTTAAAAACATTCTATAAATGTAAAGTATATATATTCAAATAGATGGTTGGTGTCCAGATGGGGGAAATCAAGGGTAATGGCCAAGTAAAACCTCTGCATGTGTATCAGAAAGCGCATGATACTGTTGCTTGTTTACTGATAATCATAGGGTTTTACCAACTTTAGCCTAATATGCTTATGTAAACGAGGTAGAAAGACAGCTACTCACATGATTTATATGCAGTTGTGGCAAATGCGGAATAAAATCGTTGCCCACAAGAAATCCGAGCAAAACCCAGTCATCAATAATCCTCTCTAAATCATAGCCATACGGGAGTTTATCCTGAAAACCAAAGACAAATTAAAGATTAAGTTGGATAAGCGAGAAGCTTCAGCAAGAATTGTATCAGGTCATTAATCTGAGAAACAGTAATAACCTTTTTAACATACTCTTAAACCTTATAACATCTGGACGATAAACGCACAAGAATGAGTTCATGTATAACTTATATTGGAAGAGGCATAACAAAATCAAATTGAAATGGATTTCAGAGCCAGTTTGTGTTACCTTCAATTCACCGAACTCAAAGTCTAGGTATTCCCTCATCAATGAGAGATGGAGCAAATGAAAAACTGTCTCTTCTGGTTTTGTAACCCTGTGAGAAATAAGAAAGTTTTCAGATGAATCACGTTGCATTGAGTCATCTATGTTGTTAAATCCAAGCCAAGATCAATTAAACAAAGCAGAAATTCAAGAGGAAATTAAATGTTTCTATTAACAAAGTTACAGGCTAGTGAACTCTGAAGAAACAGCAAGGCATTTCTAGGGATGGAAAATTTTCTTCTTTTCATACAGCATTAACTGCATTTCACTAAAAGAAAAGCTTGACCATTTTTAAGGCAGATTTTACTGTCCAATATTAATAAAATTATTCAAAATAAAATGGGTGAGAGCCACCTGCCTGACATCATTTTGAAGCCCAGACGATTGTCATCAACCCCTTCAAGTGCAATGTGTTTAAAGATATCAGATCAAAGAAACTACACAGTCCATTAAGATACAAAGTAGAAAAAAAAGTGAATAGTCATCACCTTTTAGATTGTTTTCCAAATCTGACCTCCTCCCGGAGCAATGAAAAATGTGGCTCATGTGAAACTAATCCAAGCATAATCTAAAACCATGAGATATGGTTGTTAAATTAAATATGCAAGAAAAATCATCTTCCAAATCTACTACACCTAAATGCGTGGGCTATCCTATTCTAGAAACTGTTCAGTGCATCCAATGGCTATCAAATCAACCTCTTGAATTTGAGGCAGGAACAAACAGGAAATCTTTCCTCCATCTTAACAAACTTGTAGGCCACAACAGCAAGTTAAAAACAAAATAATGGTTTAATTACCAGATCAGCATCAAGCCCATAAAGACAATGTCTTGTATTTGGATCATAATCTTTTTTTGATTTCTCATATCTGATGAAATCCATTATTTTGTGCTCTCCTTCACCAGGTACCTATAAGATAAATTTCATTATGTTAGACACTTTGACTTTGCCTAATGATAGCATTAAGCAACTTGAAGCCATCCATACATCAAAGCCCCTACACCTCTGTTGATATGGCATATAAAGTCCCTCTGCAATAGTCCCTCTGTCAAATACACTTTACCCTTCACATCACTGTCAAAATACTTAATATAAAAACAATTAATAAAAATTTTGTTTAACATCAATTTGAACCAAATGTGCACTTTCGGTTTTTATATTTTTTAACTTCTCAACTATTGATGATCAAATGTGAAAAGACAACAATCATATATGACAATATTTCCAAGAGTCCCTGAATAAGTAAATTTCCTAGGAGCACTTGGGAAAATGCATGCATTTACTGATTCTTGATACTTACTGAAAATCACATCAATCATGGGATAGTAAAAGTTTAATATCAGCCTTAAATGTTTTATCTGTAAAACAAGAAACTGACAAGAAAATAAATTGTTGTAAAAACTCACATCGTGTCCTGATAGGTAAATATCACAGTTCTGCCAATGAGGATCAGAAGAAATTTTGTCATTGACAAAATATTGGAGATGACTGTTAAGTCTTGCCATGAAATCGGTCCCTGTTGAAGTGAATGAGAAGAAATACATTCTTCAGAATGTTTTTGTTTACTTACAAACAGTGGAAAAGAAATGGTTAAATCTAATTTATTATTTTTCTCTAACTGCAGTGAAATTCTACTAACTTCTCCCTAAAAAAGGGTACACCCACATTATACTGCCGTCAAAACCTTTCCTTAACTTCAGACTGGGTGTTTATCTTATAGTCATTTCTAACTGCAAAATAATGATGCATTACGACTCAAGGCCATAATTGCAACAACCAAACTCATTTCTAGGTCTCAAAGAATATATGTAACTATAATCAAGACCATACAAGCAATACTTGCAAGACAATTTATACCGTCATCCACAAGATCTTATACACTCAAAATGTTCTGCCAGTTACCCATAATATCTTGAAGAAATTAATCATTAACATCTTATTAAAACTGATGCTTCCTTTACTACTTGCACCTCTATAATCCAAATACTGATCATGTGAGCACAGCCAAAAGGCAAATTAATTAGAAGTAACCATGGGCAGACACTTGGTCAAATATTGGGGGGGGGCCAAGCCTATTGTTTTAATAAGACAATGTCACATTTTCCAGTGTTTTAGAACAAAAGACCATTATCCCTAAATTATTGGGTGGGCAGTCACCCAATACCCCCCTTTCCCCCCCCAAAGTGTCCGCCACTGGAAGTAACATCTTTTTATCTGAATGGTTGAAAGTATTTTCTCTTTCCCTTTTGGATGATCTTCATAAACATTAACAGAATAAATCTTGAAACTGTCCTGGTTTATCAGTCTAAAATCCAATATGTTTATAAGGCAATTAATATGATTTAGGTCATAGAAAAGACCTATCTTCATCTATACACAGGCCTTGCAGTAAGCAAAACGAAGGTGCTCCATAAAACAAGTCCCTAAGAAACTCAAGATGCTCTAATTCACACTTTTATGTAAAATTGCTGTTTGCAAAAATTTGCATTTTTTCTTAATGAAAATGTGTCAAACGTTGTGCAACTAAACAGAAACAATGCATTTTTAAATGTCATTGCATTGTTTGATGATTTAACTCTCAAATTGTTTTTTTACGTTCATATTTTCCTTGCATGGAGAAAACCTTTTCATTCAAAAATATATTCTTGTAGACATGGCTTTATGAGGAACCAGATTTTAATACTAGTCATTAAATTTCTTGGGTGGGACCGCCGGCCCGCAGAACGCCGAGCCAGTGGACCGCAAGCCCCCCCAACCCGAGCTGCAAATTAGCAAAGAACGAACTAACGCCATTCCCAACACACAAAACCCCCTCACTAACACTCCATGGCATTAGGTGCTTCCCCTCAATCAAGCACATATCTGGAAAAGGGTCTGTCTACACAGAAGTATATATGTCAGCTCTGCCTATACCGCACCAAGCACTATATGTCAGACAGGAAAATTCATAATTTTTATAGAAAATACCATAGGTAGTTCAAGAATTGATGTTCTGCTTCACTTTATTTACCTGGAGTTATGCAATTTGAGTCAAACCTCTCTTCCTTTGGAAGTTGTTCACCCTTTTGAAGTGCCCTCTTTATATTATCCTCTGCCTCCTTTGCAGTTCTTAAAAATAAGAAATGCTAGAGCATAAATGCAAGGTTATAGAAAGATATAGAAAGAAACATATAGAAAGTAAAACCAAAAAGCAAAAACATGCCATACAAACTGTAGCACAATAAAACTAGGACAGGTCACAATGCTGCACAATTGTTTGAAATGCTGAACAGAAGGAGAGATTACAAAGGAGTTGGAGAATATGGAATAAAACTGGCTCAACTTTCTTTGGCAATTCCAGTCAAGATTTATGTGTGATGGCAGAAAATAGAACCGTATTCAGGGGGAAGGTATAAAGTTGTAAGACTTTTCAGGTCTAGCCAGGTTCACCTGAAATTTTCTGGATACCCCCTCCCCCCCCCACCTGCAAATGATTCATTATAAACATGTCATTCAATTTACAATGTGTTGATTAGTCTTGATTCTCCATCTATTGGTATCTCAATCTAATAAAAAAAGTTCAAATAAAAAGTTTTAATTTGTTATCATTTGTTATCATGTTGCTTGTAACAGATGGACTTGGTTCAGAACTTGCTTTTGAGATGAAACTGCTTATGAGCAATTCTTTTGCAATGCCAGAACAGGACACAGGAAAATATGGGTACCTAAATTTTACTTTTAAGCAATTAGTGATTGATGAGATTTGACTTTAGCAAGATTATTTTAAGGTTTTTACCTGAATCTTCTCCCCCTTTGTTGATTCATCTTTGCTCTTGGGGCCACTCCATCAATTGCCATGAAAAAACTGCCTTTTGGTTTGATAATTCTGAACAAGACCTAGGTTAGAAAAAGGGGCATTGAACCACATGGGTTAAAGCAACAATGTCCAGTAACTACCAGAAAGAGGGAAATGACAAAGTTGAGATGTAGGGAAAGCAAATTGTAACTACCAACGTTTCTTGATACAGGTGCACTTATAATTCTGTTTGAAAAAGGAAAAATTGAAACATGTGACATAAAGTACTTTTGCATTTACAGGGTTAGATACTTCCATTAATGGGTTTCATTGCCACTGAAAAGTAAACCTAAACAGCACTGCTAAAAAGGAGTGATAAGAAAGATATCACTTCTATAATTAGTTAGTCTAAATTATTTGAAAACATCAAACACTAGTTTTGTTAGTTATTGTGAGCTAACAAAATTGAATGTGACTGCAAGCAGCTGATGCTGCTTTTAAATTAAGCAGTTAAAATACATTCAAACTAAAAAACATAAGCCTGTTTAGGACTATGCAATACGACCCTACTTACCTCAATGTAATGGAAAATGTTCTTGAAAATGTCTGCTTCAGAGATTCGAAAATGTGGGTCATCATCATTTGGGTGAGAACAGACATGTATTATTCCATTCATATCAAAGTACAAATTATCAAATTCTGGAATCTATGGGTAAACAGAAACATTAAATGAAGAATATTATTCAAATGAAGCTAAGGTTTTAACTTTAAATCAGAATATCCAAATCAAGTAAAATTCCACTTATATTAAGAATTATATAAAACATAGCACAACCACATCTAAATTTGCATGTCATCTAAATAAGCTTAACTATATAATTGAACTACCAAAAGAAATCTATGCAACAATGCAAAAATATAAATATGCATATATTCAATAAAATATAATACTGGAATAAATTCAATATATATAATAAATTGATATATATTGTATAAAATGGCAAGTAGTCTGTGAAAAAAGGAATGTCTGCAAATCCAGAGAATGTTATTCAGAGAATTTTCCTTGACTTTTAGTCAGCTTCTTCCCTTTTCTACTCAGATTTTTTCACTGGGCCTATGCCTTAGATGTGCCAGCATTTACAATATATGTATACCTTATAGATTGGAGCACAAAAAGTGAAAATTTGGTGGTCAACACTGGAATCAGCACCTAGATATGTCAAGCACAGCTTAATGCAAAACTTGTGCACCAATGTGCCTTTCTTGGTTCTTTTGGCATTGATGCAAACTGCCATAAACATAAAGACTGAAGTGATCTCGTTAGCTTGAACTAATAATTCAAATTATCAACATACTTTGAACTTCCATATCACAAACAAAATTATGGAAGCAGGTGGGAGTTTGGCTTAATCAACCATACCAATTGTCACAGAATTCAATATGGGTGGTGGTCGGGCAACTACTAAAAAACTGCACTTTTGGCCTTGACACACACAATAACTTTGTTTTGGCAACTTGCTTTTTCTGCCTTGTACATTCAATGTGATTGTTAGCAGATATGTAGTCTGGGATTTGTTTTTACTTTGTTTGTTAAATATATACTATACAGTTTGCAGATATGTCCAGATTTTCTAGGATAATCAGATAGTGACTGGCATAGCACACCTTTTGGATTCAGGCATGAACAAACTCTTATACATGGTATGCTTTACTGCAGGGTACAGTAAATATTTATTAAGCTCCATAAAATATTCAATGGGACCTCAATCTTCTCTCACAAAAGGTTTCGAACTTCTGGGATCAAGGAAAGCCTTAGCAAGGCCACAATAGCAATTTCTGAGAGGGGGTGAGGTGGATGGCAGAATGAGAAAACGAGCAAGTGGGATGAAAAGATAAACTAACATGTGCAAGCTCAAATTCAAAGAAATTTTAGAGCTTTGCTACTTCCTAAACATTTTCTGTTACCAAAAGATTCCCTTCTTAAAGCCTATAGCCAAAGTCTAGGTTAAAGTCTAAAAGAAACATGAGATTAATCTGAAATTTCAATGATATTTGCTATGATTGACGTTTACAGCAGCAGGTATGGAATGTTATGTGCTGTCATTAGTATTTGGACCTTCTGATAAGCTTCAAACAACTTTACAATGTATTCAATATTTACCTGATGTTCTCGAACAACTTGACTCAAACATGGATAACGTTCGCTGGTCCATCGATAAAACTTTGGAACTCCCATCTTTTACACTTGAAAATTGGCCTAGCCAACTGACCAAGTACCGAATGCTTCTTTACCACCTGCCAGAACAATTAATCTACCGCAAACTGGCAGAGAAGACTATTTGACTCTCCTAAAAGTGCAAGGGAGAGACGTGCATGAACTTTTGTATCAGCATTTAAAAGCTAACAACGTAAAATGATGCAACTTTATGGATTTGAAACTTATCCTCAAACCATGCTGTAGGCGGAGGGGGTATGGAATCTAATTTCTCCTTCTCAGTTCTCCCAGTAACTGCACTGCAGTAACTGCCACTGATCAGTGAGTCATTGCCAAAAGATGGTCGTTGCAGATCTCTATGCTGCAGATTCAGATTTTGGTGAAAGCTGTTCAAGTTGACATTAAAATTTCTTGAGGGAGTGAAACCAGGGGCGTTATGGCTAGGCGGGACACCGGGAGATTTCCCGGTGGGCCCCTTACAAGTGACTTTGTAAAACCCAGGAAACTATGTTAAGGGAATGAATTCTTTGGAGAAATAAACTCTTATCTAATTAAAAAGTAAAGCTAATAGTTATAAACTAAAGATTTGGAGAAGGTCACACAGAAGCTGACCCGCTAGAATGAGGCATGGGCGAGCTGATGGAAGGGCCTTTGCTTTCGAGAATACCGTGAATCTAAGAATTAGCCCTTGGATGGAGGCTTATTAATTAGACAGTTTTTAGATGGGGGCATATTTTTGGGAGCCTGTACAAGAAGGCGCTTATAAAAGCAGAAGAGAACTGGCTAGTCGATATAGCAAGATCTATCTGCATTTTTTGGCCTCCAATCTTCAAAAAAATCGAAGAGCTGCTTGCATATCATAGAAATGCCTTTTCAAAGATCTCCAGCTTAGCAAAAATTGACCGAAGACTCGCCAAGAAGTGCTTTTGTTTAGGCACGGCGATAATGGGGGCTTGGTACAGCTGAAGCTAACCCCCCCCCCCTAGTTTCAATCTGGTGACATTACCTCTGTTGTAGTGTCATTACTATTTATACTATTTTACCCAACTTCACTGCTTGCACCAATAGCAAAGAATGTTTGTTTTTGCCGGCACTGTTTTAGGAGCCACAAAGCCCCTGGGTCAAACCTATGAAAATTGACACAAAATACGTGTTGCCAAAGGACTTAGTGTGGCTGCATTCTTAATTTTGTAATACTACTTTTCAGATGTAACGATAACAAGCTCTTCTGCATTTGCTACTGTGCTCTTAGCTGCAGCTCTTTCATTGGCAACCTCAAAGAGTTGAATTGTAAAAGTCGCCAAAACGAACGACGAATTACCAGCAGAAAACGCAATACTGGACAAAAGCTATGGAAAACAGTAAACAGACCAAAGCAGTTCCAGCAATTTTTTGTTCGGGGCAGTTTATTTACAACACCAACACCATCGAAACCAAGTTTAATAATAGCTGTACTTAGTCAGTAGCATTTTGTTTTAATTATTGGAAACCTTGCTAGTTTCGCTTTACCCTATTTTGCCTCCCTGAACTTTACAAAATGTTTTCTTTAAAGACTAAAATCAACAAACTTGACCTTACCTGCCTCTATTTAAAGCATCTTCTGTTGCTAGGGCTTTCCCACAATCGCGCCGGGCCTTAAAAACTTACGTACAACTTCCTGTCTTTTTATAAAGAGTTCATTAGAGATACGAAACAACATAAATGAATAAGATATATGGAAAACTCCCCCTTGCCAGCCACTGCGTACAATTTTGAAAGAAAAGAGAAGGCATATATACACGTTTATATAAATATATATAGTCAGACACAAAATGGAAGCGTTAAAGTTTATGAGTAGAATTTGTCAAAACGCAGAATCTCTACCAGTTTGTAGTCAATTGAACACGTAAAAAGCTATTGAACTTATCTCTGTTTATCAATCCAATGAGGTTTTATAGATTTTCAGCAAAACTTGTTAATCTGTCACTTCACTAGAAATGTAACAAAAAACAACTAAATATCAGCCACCGCGCAGCCATCGGGCTAGCAGGGGCTATAGCCCTCCCCCCACCCTGGATTCCAGCCTCACTCTATATAAAATAGGGGTGTGTCTGCAAACAGAACGAAACGAGACACGTAGATACGCTGTTCAAGCATCTCCGGACTATTCTCTGGAGGCATCAAACCAATGACCCAGGCGTTACATTCACGTTTTTTCGTGTCTCTCTTATTTTATAGAGTGTGTCTGGTACCCACAGTACCCTCACCTTCCTCCCCCACTTTTTTGCAATAATAGACTAAAAATTTTTTGGGAAAGTTTGCTCAAACGCAAGAAAAGTCAAGAAAGTTTACTTCTATGAAGTAGCAGCTTTTATTGACTGGGAACCCTTTTGGTTCATTTTCTAGGTGTTTTATCTTGATAATGATATGGTGTATTTTCAAACTTGATTACTTCGGTGTTTTATTATCCTTAAGTTAATTTTATATATTTATAGTTATCATTAAAATATCGGTAGAACTAAGCAAGTATTTTCTAAAAGGGGCGTCCCCGGCGATCTAGAGGGCCCCCCTACCTTCAGACTGGTGCGCGGTTCCGGAGCAATATTTGATACAGACGACAGATCTGTTTAACTTTGCCTTGCAAATAATCCAACCTTAACATTATTCAGAAACAAATAAATCTGTACACTGGAACTGAGCTTTTACCACATCTTGAGATGGAGTTGCTTTCTTTATATCTACATTCACTCAAAATTTGGACGATCCAATAGCAGCAACATCAGAGAAAAGAACAACAAAAGCAACCAGCAAATATACAATTATTTGAATTGACAAAATGATAAACAACAAAATAAATTTTGCAGTTGCTTATAACAATCGAAATAAATTGATATTACCTAAATCCAACACTTCAAAATCCGACTCAATATTATCTAACTACATCGACTCACTCGTCTTTTATTTCAAATTTACAAATTCAGTTTTAAATATCGTATCAAACCACAACAAGCATGATTCTTACACACATAAGCAGCTACATATTTATCATAATAAAAGGAAACCCAGTTCAAGCCCTATTTTTTATATGTTTCCTATTTTCGACCTCTTTGATTATATTGTGGTTCCTAAGATTCCTTTATAGTTCCTAACTTTCAACGGCACATTCAGTGCCCTAGAAATAGGACAGTTGCAAAAAAACATAAAAATTCGGAAGTTTGCTTAAATTTTAGCGAGTTCAATGATTCCTGTCAAGTTATGTTGTTTTTTGTTTATGACTTAACAGGCGTGATTAAACAGTTAGCAGTTCCAAAATCATAAAATTACATACATCTGAAAGCACACTTCACAAAAAAATGACCTTCCCTCCAACATTTTATCATTGAATTTAGACAAAATAAGGAATCGACTCAGCCAAGAATGCTCTTCCAATCCTCCCAGTGGACCCGCCATTGAAGTGCTTCCTTATTAAAAAATCGAGTAATTAAGAAGTTACATCCACAAATACCCTGGCAAAAGGGCTTAATTCTATCAAAAATACAAGGGGGTTCTTTCGCAAAACTTTGCAAAAAAATTAGAAATTTGATACTGCTATGCATAAACAGGGGGGTTCAGCCATTATTACATTAACTAAAGTATACCATAAAAAAAGAGAATATACTTGATAAGAAGGATAATCTTATTCGGAATCAATTGACAGTAAAAACACTCGTGTATAAGAACCTAAAGTTTGGCAATCGTCTAAAAAGGTTGTAAAATAATTGGGGTTGAATGCAAAATATGCATGTTCATGTATTTATGTCGTTTTTATTCTGTTCTGAGTTTCAAACCGTTGTGATCAACCAGAGTTTTTCTATTTTTGGTATATATAATTACAATCAATCGAAAAGAGCATCTAATGCATACTGCATTGAGCTTTTAAACTCAAGTTTTTAATTTTTCAGAATGTGTTCAAAACTTCGTCCTCCAAGGTTTGTGGTTTTTATCTTACTCATTTTCAGCAACAAATAAAGTCGTAGGACATCCTGTTTGCCCTAACAATTTTTGAAAAATGCTTCACTTCTAAATTTTGAGTTATTTGCAAAAACAATTTGTCACAAAACATCATTAACTGGTTAGTGGGTTCTTATTAGATGCCCGCCTAATTCCAAAATTTCAGCTTGTAGCTTTTATACTTCACTGTTTTTATACGTTGGTGTTAATTGTATGTTACATAGCAAGAGGCGATAAGACAACAATACTAAATGAGGTGCGTTAATCCCATCCTTTCGTGGCCTAGGCATTGAATTTAATGTTTGGAGTGAAAGAGAACAGACATTCCACTTTCGCGCACATTCAATCGTCCGCAATAGTTGCTGAAATTATGGATAATATTGTTGAGACAAACTTTTAATTTGTGAAAAATTGTGAAAAAAATTGCAACAGAAATACCACCCTAACCACACCCCCAAACAATGTTGGAGTTGCAGCCAAAACATCTAAGAACAATTCACACTGCATTAAAATTGAATTTAGGGTACTTTACTTTTTTTAAATCAGTGTGATGTTTTTTCGAAAATCTCAACTATATTTGTTCAAGATTTTAGCCCCCGTTGAAAAAGACAACGCAGCTTCATGCATGAGTCTTCATTAAACGGGACATGAAAAGTCGCTTCATTGTTGCCTCCAAGTTTCCTGATGGTCGCGTTAATCGTGAAACTCGGAGCTGAGACTTAGAACCGTCTGTGTGAAAATCATAAATAAATCTATATTACCAAAGAATGTGATGAAATTTAAAATAGGCTTGTGAAACTGAAGCAAGCCACAAAGAAATATTAACTTATTTCAAGCCATTTCAAATTTTTTCGGTACGAAGGCCTATCATAAACTTTCGCCCTAGAAAATTGAACATTTATGGACTTCTCTTCAGCAAAGGAACTAAATTATAACTTTTCACGGTTAGGAACTCACAGTCAATACCTCGTGTCCAGAATCGGATAATGTGACACCATAATGTTTCATCAGAAAATCATCCTTTTGAATCAAAAATCCACTTTGTTGTATCCAAAAGCCTTTAAAGAAAGGGATCGCTCAGATTTCCAGGGCAGAGCATCTTTTTTTCAGCAAAGAAGGGCTATTTGTGTCAAATCACAGTCAAAATTAAACTCCCAAAACTTGCTAACCTGTGCGTTGACAAACCATCTGCGAGCTTTAAGCTGGTTTGGAAATCAATATGAAGCGAGACATTGTTCAATGAAAAATCACATGTCCCCTCTTTGGTTATGAGAAGTTTGGATTCCGGCCATTTCTAAAATTTGTTTATCCGGATTGTCATCCCAGCGACCAGGCCTTTTAACCTATAAAAGAAATTAAATAAGGTTTATTTTACTTTAATATATTTCCAATCGTGCAATATAAAGTTTCTGACGTCTTATACTCTAAAGAGTGTCACACAACAAGATTGAAGTATGTCCTAAAATGTTTGTTTTTTCAAAACAATTCCGTACCGCAAACCTTCCAATTTATTAAAGAAACCTTATATGCGAAAGAAAATTTAAGGTAAGAAAACATTTACAGTCTTAATCTGTTTCTGCATCAATTCGTTACCAACTCGCTGTTTCAAGCAATGATTGGAATCATGCAGAGAGCATTTTCTGCAATCCTTTTAGCAAATGTTCTAAATGAAGTTACTACTAACTTTCCGCATCTTTTCAATCTCATTTTTTTCCCAATCAAGTTGTTTTTTCTGTGCAGCAACTGCCAGCACACCTCCGCAGCCCCACACCTGTTTATGAAAAATAAAATAAGAACGCATCTCGATTTTAATACAATTTTTAATGTGCTTTTAACTGACAGATAGAGAGCCATTCCATAAAAGAAATCTAAAGAGTTTCACAATCAATAGACCCAGTTACATTATCTTGTAACTTGTTTTTATCGATCGATTGAGACTTCCTTTAGGCCTGTGCGAACAGAGCAGATTTTCTGAATTCACACAGAGAACAAACAGTGTAACAAATCAAGAAGAAATCTAAAGGCAATCAAACAAGGATGTTTTCTAACCTCAATTTTTGCGATATCTTCTGTTGTTGATCCTTTATAGACAAGAACTGCGGATGACAAATCTGATTCAATTTTAATTTTTGGAGGAAGTCCTTGCCCAACAAGCAGCCCTTTTGGTGCACTTCTGGCAGTTTCTCGTAAGTAGAAAATGTTTTGTGCCTCTACGAAGAAAAACATTATTTCATAAAAGACGCCTTCGAGTCATTGACTTAAAGTAAAGTGCTGTCCCGGTGGGTCATCTCACACTATCAAGTGCAAGCGCCCGTTTCTGAGGGTCTAGAAAACTGACCCTTATCTCTGATATTTGATTCCAATTTGATTCCCCTTTTCTCTGAAACCAAAGAAAATTTATACCCTTTTTCTGAAATTAAGTAGTTGAAATAAGGCCAAACAAAGAAGAACTAGAAACTATATCAAGATTCCCATATGATACACCCTTTTTTCTATTTTCTATGTCCTAGATACATGACAAAAGTGAACCCCTTTTTCAGAGATTTGAAGACAAGGGTGCTTACACTTGACAATGAGAGTGTACCCGCCGGGAGACTGTCAACAATGAATTTAATAATCCCTTGGGGACATCCCTAAAACTTCAATTTTCAACTTGCAGGCTAAAATCTTTACCCCAAAATAGCGACAGTTGGCAAAAATTATAATGCTTACCAAGGATACTATTGCATGTTGGGAGTATTTCGAGCAAGCAGGAGTACGATCCACCAAATCTGTCTGATGAATCTCTGTGAAAAGAATCGAGGGCTGTGACAATGATACATATAAAATCATCTTGTCTAAGAAAACTCTAGCCAAAACCAGAGCTGATGTGAATATGACAAATACTTATTAAGATTGATGTGCTTGATAAGGAGTATAGGCTCAAAATGTCGTGTTCTTAACCGTCAATTTCATACTTAAATTACTTATTCATTATATTGTCATTATTTTGATAAGGTACCACACGCATCTAACAAAAGTAGCAGGCTAGTTGTTCATCTAGAGTAGTTTTCTTTACAATGCCCACCCTCCCCCCAAAACAATTCCCACAAAATTCCTAAGCAGTCACACTTGCTCTCCTTAGAATGTCAGCAAAATCAGAAGAAAGTTGGAGGTACATCTTAATGTAAATTTAAAGAAATATATAAAAATGAGAATAACATACCTCCAAGGTTCGTCAAGGGCCAGAGCGAGTAACAAGCCATTTGTAAATCTAACCAAAGTTACAGTCGGGCTTGGGTAGTTCAAACACTTATGCTTGAATCTTAAAAACAACAGGATTCATTAGGCCTGATAGCTCTTTAAAATATGCAAGTGTTTTTCGATAATCAAACAGTCGGACATTATACAGTCATGGAAAGGAAGATTCTTTTAGAGTGACCAATCTATATCAAACAATGAACTAGAAATTTAGAAAAAATGAGCAGCACACTTATTATAAATACACAGTGCATTGCCCCACCTCCCCCTTCCCAATCTTATGGTCCTGCATTTCGCAGGAGACTAAACCCTAAGCCATGTAAATATTCTCATGGTTGAATAAAGCACGCATGGAATAGACCGGAGGAAGCAGGTCGGGGCCCGGGGAAACAAATCGGTCATAAAAGGGCCCACGCCACCGGGGGGCCAGGATGGTAATGCTCCCTTCCCCATTTTCAAAGCTGCAATAAAAGATGGAAGTAGCCGTAGCCCCCCACTTTCGTTAGCCTTGCCCCCTCACTTTCAAACTCGTGGCCTGGGCCCTGCATAAAGTCGAAAACTGTGAGCAAGATCAATAAAAAACAGGGAAATTATTGCATCTCGCCCTGAAGAAAGTTTTCAAAGGTTGAGAAAATTGTCCAGAGGGAAGAAGAATACTTTTCTGGACTCTCTGATGATGCTTACAAGCAATGGTACTGTGATTTGGACTAAGAAAACTCAGGAAGCTCTAACCTGTTAAGACTCAATCCATGCTCATTGCTGTCGTAAATTATATTCCATGTATAAAATCGTGAAGAGTCACTCTCCTGAGAAAGAAGAAAGAAGTCAGTGAGTATTAAAACATTCGTGTACATTGATGTATAAAGACGTTTATCATATTTTTAGCTGTCTGCAAATGTTTGCACGTTGTATAAAAGCACCCTTTAGATTTACATTTTAACGGAAATATCACTAATAGAACTTGATTGCTTATTACATACAGATGACATGCATTAGTCGATATGGTTTTTTGTCAGCAATGCTTTGGGGAGGTTTGTGTTACTGCATCAAAGTCGTAAGAAGGCAGGAGAATGAGAGGCTAAGAAGAGAGATAGGCACCGCGCAGCCATTGGGCTAGCAGGGGCTGTAGCCCCCCCCCCCCCAGTTTTTTGCAATAATAGGCTACACATTTTTTGGAAGGTTTACCCTAACGCGTCTTTGCATAGTTTACTCCCTTGTAGTAGCAGCTCTTCTTGACTGGGAACATTGTTTTGGTAATTTTCTAGGTGTTTTATTTTGTTTAATGATATGATGTATTTTCTAGCTTGGTTAGCTTCGTATTATGTTACTCTCAAGCTAATTTTATCTATTTTTATAGTTATCGATAACTTCTCTGAAACAGACTGTTTATAAAAATTGAGTAGAAATGAAAAAGTATTTTATAAAATGGGCGTTCCCCGGCGTTCTGGAGGGCGTGGCCTCAAAAAGTTTTAGTCGCACCCTTTTCAGCCTCTCCACTTCTAGACAGGTGCGCGGTCCCTGTAGAGAGGGATGTGAGATCAAGTTTGTTGGGAATAATAGTTGTTGAAATATAACTGGTCATGAGAGTCTTGGCTCTGGGAAGCAAGAACGTTGAGCTGAGCTCTCTTTAGAAATTTACTGTCGCAAACAAACACCATTTGTTCTACGTATATGTTTGATTACAGTGTACGTTTGCTTTACAATGGCTACAGGCCGCTACTTCTAGAAGAACTCAATATCAAACAGCAATTTCAATTCACTTTGAAAAAACAGCGGCGATCATCTTACAATGACAAAATGGAAACTTAAATTATTGAAACTTCAGATCAGCAAAAGTTAGGCTAAACATTGATAATTTTGAAGAGAGAAATTATATTTCAAATCCGGAAAAGTTAGCCTAGAAGTGGACAACCTTCAAGAGAAAAATACAGGGAATCGTGGAAAGATGGCCTTGACACAGAGAATTCTGAAGAGAAATTTTTTTTCGAATAACGGACTATCTGCTTACCAACGAATCACAAGGCTGGTTGTAACTTTGCGATTTTTCCAATCTCGTATAACAAATTGGCAAAACACAGCAGAGGTACCACAATAAACTTGGGGTTAATAGTGGAAAGGAATGCTCTGAGATTGTCATATCCGGCATTGGTAACATCTGAAAAGAACGAAAAGCAAATTAGTAACATAAAACTAGCAGACATAATTGGTCGTCTAATTATTAACGGAGAGCGTCTGTATTTGGATGTTCCAACTGTTTAGGGGCGATTAACAAAGGACGTCCAAGCTGAAGGGGGAGAGGGGGGTTTGGTGAATCCGCATAAATTCGGACATAGAGGGAGAGGGTATTTACGCAATCCGAGCGTCCAGGTTTCAAGATATTGGAACGAAAATGTTGCAAAATTGAAAACATGGTATTTCTTTTGCCTTTGGTCCTAGGAAAACCTTTGGTCTCAGGAAAACCAGTGTACAGCTTGTATCGATTGCAAGTATTGCCAACCATAAGTCAAAGAAATTATCAATCGTCAGAGGTAATATGGCTAGATTCAAGGCTCCTCCATTTGCAAACTAGCTAGATATTCTTTTGAGGTATCTCAATCATCAGTAGAATATTCTTTTGAGGTACCTTAAGGCTCAGTAGGATAACTAGATCGGAGATCTTACGAGCAAGTTCCCAATTTCTGCTTTGCTCTTACACATCAGCTGCCTCCCCCTCAATCACCGCCTCAATGTCAAATATGTCAGCTTTCAGGAAGAAAATATAATATCTGCCATCAATAAGTCAATTAAAACTTACATGAAAATGCCCTCTCTGGATGTGTCCAGTAAATCTTTCATGCAACCAAGCTTCAAGTCCACTGAAGATTTTTGGGTTGAAATCCAAAGCCCACGTGCAGAATTTCTCTTTACACACAGATGTATTATGTAAAATCTAAGAAAGAAACGTGAGTTGAGTGCTTTATTCGTAAGCTATAAATGATTTTTACACCGTAAAATCTCTTCTAAATTTAAAACGTTATACGACTTCAAAACTTCAAATAACAACCAAACTATCAGGCATTTCATATTGCACATTTATATGTTAAATTGCTTTTTTCCTAAACACACTTGCATCGTTACTATGAAAACATTATCATTACTTATAAGGCATATCATAAATCATAAATGATAATATTGCTTTTTCCAAAATTTGTCGCAAGGAATTTACATCTTCATTGGTAACATTCTTAGTAGGCAAACGGCACTGATTGGGCAACCTCAACAGTCATGAGCTCACGTTTCTGTTTGGCTTATCTCGATCCACAACTGGGTATATATATTTCCTAGCGTAGAGTTTTCAATCTATGTTCTGACGTTTTGTACTCTGAAGAGTGTCAGAAGAAAAGTTTAAGTATGACTGAAAATGTTTGCTTTTTTCAAAGCCATTTTTAAGCTTTGTACTACCAAAAGATTGTTTGCAAATTTACATCGTTTATAACTGACACCATTTTGCCTGCCCAGGAAAGGGACATGCGAGAATTAGAAGAGACATCAAGAGGTAGACCTGGCTGTTTTGGTTTGAGCCATCGAGCGTATAAGAGATTCATTTATTTCTAAGATACTACATTCATCGAGGACAAGCGAAGCTGCTCATTAAACTTCAAGTAGTTTCGTTTAAGTAGTGTTTAAGGACTGTTCAGGTTCGGAGAGGCGGGATTAATTTTTAACATGCTTTTAGAAAGTGGGTTCCAATTTTCAACACTTACGCAAGACTTAGCCAACGCTTCAATGATTGGATCGTCAACGGCAACCTCGTGTTGAGCCTCTGGATCAATAACAGCAATAGCATAAAGACACGCCTCCCGCAACAATTTCTTCATATCTAAATAAAGAAAACAATATATCTAAAGATTGAACGTTTCAGCTTTAGCAGCAAACTCAACAGTCCTGAATGCACATATTATCCAATTGTTTTCAGGGACTTCAAACACAATGTGTAACATCGACTTATAAAGAAAATGACTGTCAATAACTGGGGTTTTAAAAACAAAAGCAAAATTGCATAGATGCGGCACCAAACATAGCCAGAGTCCAGAAAAGTCCTTAACCTTCCTCCGGTCAAAATTTTTCCCTGCCAAAACCTTCCTCCAATTTTTGAGGCAACCACAGTTAATAGGGCGTGGCTAGGGAGTAACTAGGGTAAAAAGGGTGACAGACGTCATAAATCGAAACAAAATTACTGCCTTTACGTAACCAAAAGTTAGCCATGGGCGTTCCCTTCAGGTAAAATTGGCGTTTCTTTGTTGATAAAAATGTATTTTCTAGCAGTAAAAGGCCCTAGCCTAAAGATTTTTTTGTCAACCCTCCCCCCCCCCCTCCCAAAGCCTAGTGGCTCGCGCTGCCAATCGATTCTGCAACAGATTAAACGTGTGTTTTAAAAGTGCAACAAAAAAACAAGTGCAAAATAAGTTGCTTCATAAGTTTCTGTTTTACGAAAACCTTCCTCCAAATTTCTATTGTTTCTCAAACCTTCCTCCGGTCAATGACCGTGCGACCGTAATGTTTTCTGGACTCTGAACATAGCTTTAGCTTACATGAAAAATTACCTTGCAAAGTTGTCTCTTCATCTTGTCCTACCATCAGCTCAAAATAAAACCTTATAGTTGAATCCTTTACTTTGAATGCTGGGGATTCAAATGAAAAAGAATTAGGACAGTAAAAACGATACCAGAAACTTTATGTTGGATTTTGAATGTTTCTATCTATAGATATTACTGGTGCTTTGCCATGTTAAATGTTAGGAAATGCCAGCTTAGGAAGAAATTGTTGGATATGAAAAGTAATTTGGTTATGATAAGATTTTGCTTGACTGACAGAGCTTGACAAACTTAAAACAGTCATTCTGGACAACGGCTATCCAAAAAGATGTCATTTCTTCTTACACTAGGGAGAAGATCACAAGTTTTTCGGCTGTATAAAAGGTTTGGTCCACAAAAGTCCCCAGTTTATCTTAAACTACCATAGATTGGTAACACTTCCTTGCGATTTGAAAGTCAGATTAAACAGGCCATCACAAAATGTTTCTTTGCTGTCAATCCTCGTATTATTTATAGTACCAAGAGAGCCCTTCCATCCATTCAAAAGGATCGCGTTCCTACCAATCAAAAGAGTTCTGTTGTTTATGAATTTACGTGCCAGTATGATTTTGGCAACGTAGGATGCACAACCCAGAGATAGGGGAAGAAGATAAAACACAAAACTTCCCCTCAAAAAGAACAGCCTCCTCGATCTTGAGGTCTAGAAACACCGTTAAAACTAGTGGATCTGCCATCGGAATACAACTACTAGAAAACCCAGATTGTGCAAAACTCTATAATGACGAAGTGTTTCAGATAATTGGCAGAGCTTGGTCGTCTTTTCATCTAGCAGTTTTAGAATCGAACTACAACCTAAAAAGCCGCCATTGTGTAGACAGAAGGAGTTCGTTTTCTCTCTTGGACTCTATTGGTAATTTTCTACAGGCACGCAGCACTGATTGGCCAATTGCCGGTCATCTGCTTGCGTTTTTCTGATTGGCCTATTTCGATCCACAAATCCGTATACTTTTACGGGCGTGTTCCTTCGGACACTTATTCTGACGTTTTATACTCTGTGGAGTGTCAAACGAAAAAGCTTTTAGCAGTATAAAAATGTTTGCTTTTTTCAAAGCCATTTTCAAGTTCTGTACCGCCAAAAAATTGTTCATATTTGATTATGCGGTTCGTATCAGAGACCGTTAATTGCGATTTCAAAAGTGAAAATATTTCAGAAAGTTAATAAATTTTTGCAAGAATTGTTGATAATACAGCACAAAGATTGTTTTATTTCTAGTTCAAATAAATGCCAGACCGTAGCGAACAGTCTTGAATAACTCAAACATACAATAGCGTAATGGTTCGAATAAGCGCTCTGGGACACTACAGGAAGGTTCTATGTATTGATCCAAAAAACGAGTACTAAGATACCCCCGTGCAAGCAAAAAAACAAACTATTGGAAGAAGTATCCACCCAAGAGGGGAGGGGGGGGGGACTTAATCACATATGGGAATTAAAGGCAGCGGCGCTTATTGAACTATTTAAAGTTTATCCGGGACCCGACCTGGGCGCTTAATTGAAATGGGCGCTTAATAGAAGCTGAGCACCTATTCGAAACATTACGGTACACATCAATCACATTTGCAGAAATAATTTGAATAAAGGGCTACAGCTAACTTGTAGCTTCTGTATGTCTCATTGCTTTATACTGTCGCTTCCATGGGGGTCGTCATGCGGAAATGGGTGGGGTGGAGAAGGGAATAACAGACTTGCACATAAAACTTAATGCCTCTTGGGTGCTGGAAACGCCTTTTTTAAAGATATGACAAAAAACGGCGACGAAACAGTTATTTTGTCCTCAGCTTTATTGTCAACATACAATATTAATCAAAGCATGTTCTATAAATGCTTTATAGTGGGAGTTTCCGACAATTTTAGATATATCTATGCTACTGTCAAGATCTTGTATGTCTGCCATATCAAGGTCTATACTGATCTGAGCAAGGCTTTCTAAGTTTCTAGACTTTCATCGGCATTTAAACTCGGTTGTAATTAATGACTGACCAGAGGAAAGCCACAACTCTCAAACTACACGACTCACTCAAACCAGGGGTTGGTGGTTGTGACATTTCCAGTATTTTTGTGTCCTTCGGTAAATTCTGCTTCAATTCGGTAAAAAGCATTTTTGTATGTAGTCACTATTAACAAAATGTTGCAAAAAATTTACATTGTTTATTGGCTTATTTTCTGAATCTTAAAGTTAAAAATTGAATTTTAAAAATGGATGTTTCCATCATTTCCCAGTCGCTTTAGGGTGTGACACTGGAATTCAATCATTATCCAACACCCCTTTCCAAATCCTGGCCGCTTAAATCCGCCCCTAGACTCAACCCTTCCCAGCATTTCCTCCTCAATATTGGTAGAAACAAAGATCAGTGATTTAAAAAGTGTGCTTAGCTTGTCTACCCCTAGTGCACCCGGTGGCACCCCTTATGGTAGCCTCTTGTAACTTGGATTTTTATAAATGATATATGCTATACTTTGATAAGTTATTAAAAAGCAACAAAACATGCCTTGCTCAAGAAGATTGTGTGCATTATCTATGAATGATCGCTTGCTTTGGTGTTCTACCGACTGGGGCTTGTGTCCATCTCTGACTGAACCACCATTGGCTTTACAAATCTGTTCATAAAGTGCATCAGATAGCCTCTCTGTTGGTCCTTCAAAGTGTTGCTGTGCAATCCAAAAAAGGAAAAAATCAATTGGTCAAAAAAATGAGCTTTGTATGTAGGTGTCATCATGTCATTTAACAAGGCAAAAAGGGGATAGATGGTAAAATGCATTCAATTGTGAATGCGTTGAAAATGCATTGGACAGGGGTAAGAAAACAGATAAGGGTCAAAAATTTCAATTTTAATAAGTTAAAATGGAATTACGAACAGCTGAAATTCAATTATCAACAAGTGTTTCAAAAGGTTTCGGATAAAACTCAAAATAGCTGAAGATTTCTTTTTAAAATGTTTTACTTATCTTTCAATGAAAAAGCTTCCTTTTAAAGCTCCAGACAAGGGATAAATTTGAATCAACCCTAGGTGAAGTCTGCTAATGTACAGGCATTTGAGAGCATAAGTCTCTGACTGTAAACAAAAGCGTTGTTACGGTTCTCTTTAGTTATTCATCAGAAGCAATGCAAACAAAGCTGGGCAGACAGCTTCTTGGGCAGGGGCGCAAATGCAAATTTTTTTAGAGGGGTGTTCTTTGAAGGGACCGAGTTTTCGCCACGAATCTAACTCTGGATATAATTCGCCACATACATTTTTATATGATAATAACGGACTTTCCTAATATTTGTTTTGCCAAATCTGTATGTCGAGACAGGCAAAGGATATAGTTACTAACCGAGGCGGCACCACGGTTGCCACCGAACGACTGGATAATTTTCGAATTTTGATGCTTCCAGTTTCCTGGAAAATGCACTGTTTAAGCAGTCCTCCTACCCAATTCTTTTTTTGCAAACAAATTGAACAGCAGTTAAAAACAACTGGTACAATTTCGCTATGGTCTTGAAAAATACCACGTTGTCAGTTACTTCTGAAGCTAGGTAACAAGCAACACTGGTTGTCAATTTAGATCCCTCTTTCCATCTTAGCATGCCTTTTGAATGTTCAAAAAAATCTGGAGCTCATTGTGAATTGCAGCTCGAGAAACTTTAGGGGAAATGGGAATAAGGCACAATTTTACCTAAAGAGGGCCTGGATTTTTAGATTTAATGCTAACAAGAATATCATATTTAACCAACGGAGCAACTACCTTTACTTGATTCTTTATTGATTTTATGACAGAAAGGTCTGTGAAATACCTAAAGCGTTTCTTCCACCGAGCGGATTATACCCAAAATTTCCAATTGAGATACTATTGAGGGAATGTGACTGCTGCTTTCGCATTACCCTCGAAATTTGCGCATCCACCGCCGCGCATAGCATGGAAACAAGATAAAGCATGTACATATGGCGAAAAAGTTATTGTTGTCGGTGGCAGCTAGAGTTTTTTTCCAAAACGGCAAAAATATCTCAGAAGACGAGAATCAACATAACTATAACTGACAGCAAGTTGCATCCTAACAAAAGCATTAGGGACGTCGCTCATTCAAAAACCCAGCAAATTCGTTCTGAAGGCATATAAGGTTGCTCATACAGAGTTTATCATGGACCAAAAGCATAAATCAATGTTCATATAGTGAGTACAAGATTGACATCTGGCCGTTAAGAGCAGATTTTCTTCAAGTAATTACTTACCAAAACCTTAGCTTCTTATCGTAAATGTTGGTGAAAGTGTAGATTTAGTTGTAAATATAGGTTAATCTCTTAGATAGAAAGGGCACGTTATGCGGCATGTTAAAAAATGCCGTGGGAATGTTTTGCTCACAAGGTCTTTTATTCACTGTCGAAATTCTTCGATTTCCGGATGCATGGAGTACACTCATTTCTTTATAATAAACTGGCTATAAGAAACGAGTACTGGACAGTCACAGAAAAATTAGGGAACTTCAGTACTCAAAGCAGAAAAATTAAGAAAATATTAAAACGTTAAGAAACTATTGAAAATAAACGACATTTTTGTAAAATCCAAGAACATGATTGCCCTGTTGGCCTAGAACTTAAGACACACATGATAAAAATATACTTCCCACATCTAAATACAGCATCAGAACTGTAGCGAATCTCTTAACGTGATAAAAAAGGTCACGAATATTTCATAACAGTATTCAAGAAACAATGAGCATTGAAATTTCCAGAACATTAAGAAACTGAAGTACTCAACATCGACCTTTGTTTTTTATAAAAAAATGAGTGTATTCCACACAAGTGTTGCCATGAATGTTGCCATGTTTTTACAATGGCAGTGATATCATAAAATGTCACACGTAAACCATGAGGTCTTGATTAAAACGCAGCAGCGCTGGTTGGGACCGTACTGGACCGATTCTGTCCCCTGTCATTTTTCGATGATTAGCCCTTCCTAGAAAATGCGTCCACTATATGCCTTACTTTACTGCAATACAGCATGGTACCAGCAGAATTGGGACACCAGGTTTGGGTGTGATAGACAGAAATACTAAGCAGAGGGCTAGATCGGGACCGACTTTATTGCTATCAAATTTCAACTGGGACCGGGTGGTGAAATTATTGAGGGGGGCGTGACATCCCCCCACACATTAGTTTACCCCCGCAGCTTTAAAGTCAAATGGACTCTCTATCAACTTCTTCGAATGCTTTAATTTAACTAAATGACATCAACAAATGAAGCTGCACTTATCATGGTATCCTAAAAAACAGACCTCTGCAAATTCTAAGGAAACTTAAAACACAATTAGAAATGAAATATTTGATAAAATACTTTAGTACCTTAAAATTTCCCTGTTGGATGCTCATTCCATTGTGAGAAAGCTTCTAGAATGAAATTAAAAATTTTTTTTTACTATAGTGGGAAAATTTCAAGTTTGAGTCACCAGTCTGTGGACAACACAAATAGTATACAGAATTTGATATTAACAAGACTCTTCAGTTTTTCGCCTTCTACAAACTTTAAAAAGTTTATAGAAAGTCTTTCCACTTAAAATAAAAACAAGTTAAAGCTATCAATTTTTGCATTGCGTTCCCACTAACCCACTTGAAAAACTGATATATTGTTTACTGATATACTGAAGACTCTTCAATTTCATATCAACAAGACAGTTTTTCGCCCTCTTCAAACTTTCAATGGATGTGATACCAGACTGGAAAGAATTTTTCGTGTGTGCAGGGAATTGTTTCCTGCCACTGATTCTTATGCAGAAACAAACCATGTTTCAAAATAACAAATTGAACTTTTTCTTTTCTTTTTTAGTTGTAAATTTCCCGGAAAGACCTGGTAGCTTACAGCAAAGTTCTGACAGAAGAAAAAAGTAAGGACTTAAAAGAGAGTTAAGATCATGTTTGTTGATTCTAGTTTTTAATAAAACAGGCTATTAAAGCCTGGGAAGGTGGAGGCGGGTAGACATTTCCAACATTAACAAGATCTTGAGAGGAAGGATGAGTTGTGGGATAGCGTTTGTCAATTTGGCAAAGAGACTTTGAAAGGAAAAATATTACAGCTTTAAGAATATTGCATAATAGAGGTATTAGCATATACTAAGTGCATACCAGCACTTTTAGGTCTGGCTGTGGTAGCGGAATACTTTATGAAAGCTGAATTGAAATCAGGCACGTAAATAATAGAGGGGTGTGGGGGCGTAACGCCCCCCCCCCCCAAAGTTTGGAAAATCCAGTTACAGTTGGAAAACTTAACGGTTGACTTGGAATTTTTTTCTCAAGTCCAAACTTGCTAATTTTATATTTTAAGAAGTTTTTTTATTTCAAATGTAAAAATTCTAAACATCAAAATTCACAGGCTGAAGCTGACCCATCCACTAATCGTTTTCTATTGTGAATCCCGTCTCCACTGGATCCAAATTGCACAATTGCCCTGTTTGCTTTCTTTCTGACGGGAGTTGAATCAAATTACGAACAGGCAAGGTGAATTTCCAGATAAGAAACTTGAAACTTTACAGTTTGGAAAAATAATACTCGCATTGATCAGAAAATATAAGAGTGGGAGGTTTTTAAGAAACTACGAGTAGTTAATTCAATAAAAGATTAAGAATCTTTCAGTACTAAAAATTCTCAACGCTTCTTATAAAAAACGAGTTTATGCTAAACTCCCCCTGTTTTTTTTTAACGTCCTTGAATCCTTATCATAAATTCCTATGACAAAACTGCTGTGAAGCAAGAACACATTGCAAAACTGCAGTAGAAGCATTTGATCAAAGAAGAGTGTTTCATCTTTCGAATCAGGCATATGCACAAGTTTGCTCTCAAATCATCATTTCAATTGTAAAGAACGAAAAGGCATTTGGTCCTCTAAAAAGTGTTAGTAGTTTTCTTTGATCAAGAACAAAAATAATAGGCTCGAATTCTGGGTGCTTCTATATCGCGAAAAAATGTAGGTATTTTAGATAAATAGATCTGCATCAATTGATCAATTTAGATAAAATTGATCAATTGATCTGAAGAATACTACTAATCATTAAGTTTATCTAATACTGGTTTTGCTTGAAAGTTGCTTTACTTCTTACAGTAAGTTTAAATTTTTGTTTCATGGTAATCAAAATTTAGAGATTTAGGATTCTATGCTTTAGACTAATTGTTGAGTAAGGTTTTGGTAATTATAAAGAAAATAGAACTATGGTGTTCGGGCTATTTACAAATATCAATTTGGTGGGTACAGTAGATTTACTGGTCGCATGAAAAATTTCTCACTTAAAGTTGGAATTTTCATCCTTCCACGCCCCTCCAAAATTAGCAACTTATTTTCGTCACTGAGTGAAATAAAACCACTAGCAGATCTAACATTTCTACCTACTGGTTTTGTGCAGAGTGACAAATACTTCATTAGATGTACAAAGATAAAATGAATAAATTTGTATTTAAGACATCAAAGAATAAAGTTTTTTCAAAGGCAGTCTTTCCACTTAAAACAAAAACAGGTCAAAAGCTATCAATTTTTGCGTTGCGTTCCCACTAACCCACTTGAAAAGCTGATATATTTAACCATTTTTTTACCCGACTAGTGCAAAGGTAGCCTGAATGTAAAGGAACAAAGTTTTACTTATTTTTCAAGTTTATCACCTACCCACGAATAAGGGAATTAAATTTTGCAAAAACTTGTATTTGTTCAAATTCTTTTGCAAATTTCTTAGGCATTAATTTGTGTATCGACCAATTTCGAATATTTTACGAGTAATTATTCAAAAATCTGAAGATACAAAAGCCATTTTTAGCAGGATCAGGTAGATTTTTGGCCAGGGGCCTAGGCTCCTTAGGCCCCATAAGCCACATAGGCCCCATAGGTATTCTGTCATTGAGTACACTGCATGAGTTTTCAATAAACATGTCAATCAAATTTTAAACTTTGACCGTTTATGAGTGATATAATATTATATTTTAATTTTATATATGACTTTGTACAAAGTCTCCACCTCTGGCTTTTAAAGGCTATACGTGTGACAAAAAGTTGTTTCTTACATCGAAAAGAGCTTCAAGTTGGGAATGGTATGGCGATGCTACAGTATGCAGCTTCTTACTTGCGCTAGAAGACCCACTATTACCCATTATCTCTTTTCTTCCATTTTTCCTTCCATTTCTTTTGTTGTTGTCTGTCAGTGACAATGCGGGAAATCTCTTTCTGAAGTCGAGGTACTCCGTTGATCAAGATGGCGATGAACGGAGAGTGCATAGATCATTTGTTACAAGAACCAAAATTAGATGCAGTTAACCTAAACAGGAGCATTCCGATTGAACGAGTTGAAAGCATCGATAATATTTCTTTCATTAGGGATTATCTTCAGGGTGGCAGGCCTTTGGTTATCTCTGGTTTTGCGAGAAACTGGCCTGCAATGCGATGGACCTTAGGAAGCTTGAAAGAGAGAGTTGGTGAAAACATTATAAATGTGAGGAGAAATACAAATGCAGACGATTATAAAGTTGGACAAAAATACAATATAGAGAAAATGACGTTTGGACACTATATTGATAATATTTTGAGTGGTAATAAGAAAGCAAAAAGTTCATACATGGCTGTTCAGAATATAAAGCAAGTCTTTCCTCAACTTGAGGAAGATATAGAGATTCCTAGTTTCGTGGGGAAAATGCATGGTGGACCGTTTATGTGGATTGCGAACAGTGGTCATTATGAATTTTGCCATTTTGACCCTGATGATAATGTTTTAATTATTTTGAATGGCAAGAAGCATGTAAAACTTTTTGACTGTGATTTGGAGTCAATGTATCCAAACGAGAGAGGCTCAAAAGGAAGGACAATCCAATCGAAAGTCTTGATTAGCCAGCCCAATTACACTAAATTCCCCAATTTTCGTCATTCAAAATGTTATGAGGTATGAAATGTGAACATTGGTTTTATAGAGTTGCATTTTGTTTCTGTGACAGCATATACTCTTTTTTTATAAGAACCAATAAATTTAAGTTCAGGCTGACAGTTCTTAATTTTTTTTGAAAGTCTGAGGCTGGATTGTTCTTAATTTGTTCTTAAATCAAGAGAGTGTAAGCAGTGCTATTGCTAGCTTTTTCGCTTTAGGAAGGTGTTCAGGCCTCATTTGCCAACATAGTGAGTCATTTGCCACCACACTTGAAATTCACTGAAAAAGCACGCACACATGGCTAGAAATCCTCGTTTTAGAAATTGCATTTTACAGCTACTTAGCTCAGACTCAGCTTCTTAATTTCTTCTTCATTTGTTCTTAACTTTTGACCAATTTTGAGGCTCTTGATCTTATAAAATTGTTCTTATAAAAAAGAGTATATGCTGTCACAGAAACAAAAATGCAAATTATTATAGTATTTTGTGTGCAAAGTCCTCAAGCTAATATGGGTCAAGATTTCAGATTATCATGACCCAAGTACAAAATAACTGTTGGCTTTGTCGGTAGGTGAGACATTTTACTGTGAAACATGATGCCCAGAATGCAAAGTATTTTTCTGCATGGGGAATTGTTTTCTGCTCTTTATGCTGGCACAGAAGAAAATGATGTTGCAAAATAGCAAGTTAAAAGCTACAGGACTTTATTTTTAAATAGCATATTTTGGAGATCTCATGATGAGGCTGTGCATGAGATTCACAAAAAAATCCAAGTTTGAAAAAATGCATTAGGCATTGATACCACAAATAATGATATAATGAATTCACACTGCTTGAACTGATCAAAATTTGGTCACAGATTATTATATATCTCCATTCAAACTCTGAAAAGTGTCAAACAAAAAGCTTTAGTTCACTAAATGTTTGCTTTTTTCAAAGCCATTTTCAAGTTTTGTACCATCAAAAGATTGTTTGCATATCTCCATTCAGTGGCATACTTTTGTTCCTTTCCTGTTAAGTTCAGATTGTCTTTTACCATGGCTTGCTATGGTTGATTATAATGCCACTCTGCTAGAACTCCACAAACATTTTGATATAAGCAATGTTTATGATATTTTGAAAGAAGCTTTAAGGAGGTTGGTTAGTATTTCTGAATAATGCAGAAAGTTACAATGTCATGGGTATTGCAATAGAAAAAGGATTGATATTTCCATGCTTCATGTCAGAGGCAGATCCAGACTACAGCAACCTATGCAGAAGCATAAGTCAGATATTTACAACAACAAAATAAAATTGAAACTATCAAAATTTTTAACAATTAGTTTCTCTGGCAAATTCTTTTGCAACATTCTAGTTATTTTAGAGTTTTTTATATGTTTTGAGGTTTTTCCTTTTATATGAATCCTTTTCTACATTTCTCTTTTAGTGTACTATTGAATCTGGAGATCTGCTCTTCTTCCCTGCTTTCTGGTGGCATCAGGTTACTTCCAGTGAGACAACAATATCCGTGAATATGTTTTTTGGTGACAGTGGAGAGAATGTGTTTCTAACTAAAGTTATGTCCTCTAGCCAGTGGGGTGCATTTCAGTACTGGCTACTCAATATCATTGAGCAGAATCGGGATACTGTACAATTTAAGAAAGTTTTGGAGCATCTTCCAAGGTCACTAAAGGCTTTCCTTCTGAAGCAATGGCATGAAATACCATCTAATGAACAGTTAGAAAGGCTAGTTAAAGTTGTCAAAAACTATCTACAAATTGATGAACTCCCAGAGCCTGAGGTGGAATGCAAACATGCACCTCCATTGAAGATACGTGGACTGTTATGGAGATCTTGATAGTGTACCAAATAACTTTTCTTGTTTTGGAATAACATTCCCTCATTTGAAGATTTTCCTCAGATCTCCTAACTTATTCTCAATATTCCTTGCTATTATTATTTTTTTTAAACATTAATGGCTCCTTTTAGACCACTCTTAGCAAAATTTCAAATATAAATTGAATTTATTCTGTTTAAACATTTTACATTTTGGTATCTAGGCTCACAACATTAAAAAAATGTTGATGACAAGCTTAATGCAGGTGACAAGCTGCTTGAATGAACACATGAGGACCATTTAAACCAGAAGTTATCATCTATGCAGTATTGGGACAAGACAAGTTTGAACATTAAACTGTGCAAGAGTTTTCTTTTAAAGGTGATGTGTCCAGCTATAGCAAGCGACTCTGCGGGGGTTTTTAGAAACATGTGATTTTTCATGTCATCGCCCCAGTCATTACGGTCGTTCTGTTTATTTATCCTACTGCGAGGTTAGCTTTCCATGTGAGCAGTTTTGCATCGCAAGAATACTAACCAATCGCAAACTGTTATTTTGATGGGTGGCTTGACAAGTTGGGTATACGCAGTCCTTTTATATGGAAACATTACCTTTAAGTAACTTTAGATAACATTTTGAAATCTCGTCTCTCGATTTTTGAAACTACCTCTCATGTTTCTCATTCCTTTCCTATGATAATGCTTTTAAGTTCAAGATTAGTTCTGTAATGATGAATTTGAAACAACAATCTTATTGAAAGTATTATTTTGATATTTCAGTCAATACATTATTGTTAGATGTTAAGGCCTAGTCAGTATTTAGTAGTCCTTTGTACAGCTTATGAACTCAGTTTCTGACGTATGGATATAAGTATATACACCAGTATTTATTTGGCACATGTATATCAGGGCCTTTGACGAGGGAGGGCCAGGGGGTCTTGCCCCCCCCAATTTTTTGAAAACAATAGAGTTTTTTCAAAATCTTTGTTATGGGTGTTAAATGTTCCCTTGCCCCCTCCCCACTTTTCAACATTTGTTGGAGCCCATGTATATGAACTCAGAGGGCTCTGAGGTTACCCCCCCCCAAATACACACACACATTTGTTTATTTTTGAAGACTTTCTAAGATTTTACAACCACCACAAACGGCTCCTTATTCCAACCAATGGCGGCGCCAGCCACTATGCTCTGGGGGACAAATAAAAAAACTTTAGGCCACGCCCTTTTAGCACTAGAAAGCGCTCTTTTACAAACAAGAAAAGCCAATTTTATCTGAAAAGAACGCTCACAACTAACTTTTGGAAGGCAGTTTGAAAAATCAAAGGATGACATAACAAAGTACGTTGCCAAAATTGTCGCCGCGACTGATTCCAAACCCCTGTTCCAGTTTCATTAAGGTGGATGATACCCAATTTTTATCCTTAATCACTTCCTATGCAAAAACCTGTTTTGAAACAGTTTGGTACCTCTTACAGACCTCATCTATTACATGAAAGCAGATTATTGATGTAACTTTCATTTTTTTCATTTTTTTTTGAAAAATCATAGCTAAGATGGTAGATGTTGCCATAGCAACAAACATCAAATATAAACTTGTAGATAAGATTATGATTATGTATCAAGGTATTTTAAAACCAAACATGTCCAAAAGTGACAGGACATGGAAGAGCTATAAAATGAATTGACAGAATTTTTGCCATGGCAACTGTTGCCATGGAAACTCTAAAAAACCTTTATTGTATAATTGCTCATTGTAAATTTGAAATTTCAAAAAATCATCAATTTATTTTGATCCTCTTAACAAGATGAGCCTTCACTGCAAATTTCAATGAAATATGTCCAACAGTTCTTTAGATATCTTTTCCATAAGATAAAATAGTCTGTTTTTCAAATCGGCCAATCAAAGTTTTTGAAGCATATAAGCATAGACTACTTGCATTGAACGTTATTTCTCAAAGCTGTTAGACCAATTTACATGGCAATACTGCTTATAATAGATAAAAGAAACAAATTTCCAAGAAATAGAAACCAATAGGATTACCTTTTCAGCTCTTTGGATCAAATAACATTGCTTAACTACACAAAAAGTAAAATTTTAAACTGCCAGTATTAAACGGCCAAAAATGGTTTCTTCGCACAATGTACTTCTATGTCGTTTTCATTTACAAATACTACCTCCAGTTCCTTGCTCTCATCACTACAGTTGTTCTTTCTTCTAGAAGTAGGAGTAGCTTCAGGTTTCTTTGATGTCCCAAAAGCTCCTGACAAATAGTGTTTTCCAACAACATTTTTTGTCTTCCTTTCATGGCGGAGCTGTCTTCTTCTTCTTCTATATTTGCTTTGGCATTTTTTTTGTGCATTATTAATTCTAGATGAATTTTCCAATCTGTATCCTGTCATTGTATTAATGCCAAGGTCCTCAACTCCTAGTCTCTCTAACACAGACCCCATACTTGCTGCACCTCTATTCCAAATGAGCACTGTGATTGCGGTAGCTGTTAAAGCTTATGATACCCAACAAAAACACGTTTTGGACATTTCGCCCAAAGGGATTTGTTGATGGATTCATTTTGGTTCTGAGTGTACCCTTTCAGACATCTCTGCAGAAGATTCTTGTCACTAAGTCTTTCAAACAACATTTTAAGTTCTTCTCTAGAAAGTGGAGGCAGGCATTTCTCAGCTGAGTAAGTATTTGTCTTACAGGCAAGATCTTGTTTATACCGGCACCAAGAATGTTCTCCATCAGGACAAAGCCTATGTTGTTCTGAAAGACTTTCATTCTCACCAGCAATGCAGTGAAAATATATAGCCC